CCATTATCCACTAGCATCGGATTCAGCCAGCCAGTGGGCAATTGACCCAGTTCTCTCCCGGGCTGACAGTTGCAATTGTCTCGCCTGGCATCGCCCACTTTCACTTCATCTAATTAAGCGAGCGCTCAATGCGTAGTCGCAGTCCCCGGTCCCCAGACTCTGCTTCAAATGAAAGATTAATTTATTTGCCCCGAACTGCAGTTCGCTGCAGTTTGTCTGGCTTTCAGTTTGTGTCCTTCTGGGCAAACACGAAAAAAGCGAGAGTTAAGAGAAGAAACTGAAAATGCAGAGAACAAAATAAGCTATTAAATGGATATTAAAAAAAAATTAAGGTATAAGGGTCTTAAGCATGGGGTCCTCCCTTTCAATCTTCAAATTTTCCCTAAGAATAAGAAATATTTATATTACAATAAACCCCTTTTTATTTTCATTATCTCTTAAGCATGTTGACAGCTCTTAAATCAAAATTAAATATATTATTTTATGAGATTTTCTTAGTGGACTTCCCTGAAACGCTGATGGCGCAACTCTTTTACCCCCGGCTGATTATTGCCAAGGACTCTTGGCACACTGAAACTTAAGTTTACGATCCAATCAAGGACAAGGGGCATAAAAATAAATGCTGGCCAAGCAAAAGATGAAGAACTAGCGCCGGGAGTTCGACTCGAGTCATATATAAATTGGAGACGCTGACCGTAAAAAGCAAAGCAATAAAATTTGAAAGAACAGAGGAACGGACAGGCCAAGATGACTGTCACGGGCTGCCATTTTGCGCTGGCTAATGGCTTATGTAAGAGCCTGAGGGGGCCAGGGACCCCACTTGACCTCGAAAGGGTGTGAAAGCCTCCTGGCCAAGCCAAGCACACAACCGAAAACCCAAACAGCAACAGACGTAAGCGTCTTATTAGATTTTCGTGTGTACTCAGGACACAGGACATACAAGTGCAGGGGGCAAGTAGCATCGCGACGTAGGAATTGGCAGGACAGCACTCGCATTAACAACTTCATTAGGGCCAAAGCACACACAGAGAGGCCGCACAGACACAGGCACACATGCCTAAGCACAAACATACACACACACACACATACAGGACTCACAGGACCCCGAGAAGAACCCCGGGCAGCTGCTAAACTCAACTGTGAAGTACATTAATTTTGTGGGCTTTTGGCAACAGGCAATAAATCTTCGGCTTCGGTTTTGGCTTTCCCCGAACGAGTTTCTATATAGTATCTGCCGAGGAGTAACTCAAATTGACAGCTGGATTGAATTGGGAAATGCAGCCCCCAGCTGACATTTATGGCCAGGCCGAAGACAATGCAGTTCGGGGCATCCCGGGCATCGCCTGCTCCTTTTGTTTGGCGAGTCAAAATTAATTAGTGCAGCCCAAAAGTATCATCCGGCTGTGAAACAATGTAGCCGCAGTAGCAATCGGGCAAAACAAATCAAATTACAACGAGGAGCAGAGCAGCAGTAGCAGCAGCAGCAGCACTACTGTTGACAGAGGATCCTGCCCATGCCTCCCGAGGGCCAACAAAGGCCGACCAGCAGCAGCCGCAACACTCTCAAAAATGAAACTCCAGCCTTCGCATGTTGGCATTGGAGCAACAAATGTTGTGCTGCCTGCAAATTGCCTTTTTTTCTGAGGAACCAAATTGCAGTTTGGCTTTAAAGCTGTACATTCTCTTAAAAGGGTTTTCGTAAGGCGGAATTATGATGGCAGGAACCACAGACCAAAGGATAACAAGTGCAAAATGATTATTCAAAACAGAAATTTCAATTTTCTAAGGAAGGGAAGGCAGGAGGGTGAATTTAGGGATTTATTCTGTGATTATTCTAAAGCATATGCCTGAGCCAAGAAAACCACTGTAGAATGTGGGAAATGTATAAATTATTAACAATAATGGGCAGAAAATAATTATTCCAACTCCATTAACATCTTCAATTAATTAATTTGATACAAAAGCAAACAAACTTCATGCTGTAACCACAAATCCTAGTAAACTCTTCAACCAATTACCTTTATTAAACAGAAACTTGATTATTTAATACACAAATTCTCTCTCATGTATGTTGATTTTGAGTCTGCAAATCTGCCATATCATTTGCTAATTAATAGCATTAACCAGCAGAAAATGATATTAAGCCAATGCAGTCAAGCAAATCCCAAATTCTGCACATTTTTGCCCTAATTAACATTATCTTCTGTGACCAGCTAAGGGAGACGCTGCCGTTTTGAGTTATGTTACGGATTATTGGGCTTGTACATTTTAGCATTACAACCATTCTTCATCTATTATTCCAATGGGGTTCTTACAACACATTTCTCGGCTCGTTCGCTCGACGGACTCCCCGGCGTATACTTAATATTTGAGCAGACAAGAAGGTTGTGCCAGCCATTATTTGTTCATTATTCAACTGTTATCAGCTGCTGGGATCTAAGCCAAAAAAGGGAAAGCCAATAGCCCCCGCCGTCTCCCTCCTGCTCTATATAGCCTGCGGTTAAAGGTCGCATTCTGTGGGCACGTCTGCCCATTAGAGACAATAATTTTCTTTAAATTTGTCGATTAAATTGAGCGCAGCGAAAGAGAATGATATCCCAATGGCAACCGCAAGTGAGCAATGTGTGCGTGTGTGTGTGTGTGTGTGTAATTTTGGGTTAATGTGAGCTCTTAAAGCCCGCCTAATGAATTTAGGCCCCCGTCTGGCGGAATTACGAGTTTTAAATTGCGTGACAGAAGCGCTTTCAAAGGCAATTAGAAATGTGAAAGTGCTGTGAGTATGTGTTTGGACGACGAGTTAAAAGGGCATGACAGAGATATTTAGCATACGGCAGGAGGACAGGACGGGACAGGAGTCCTCTGGCCTTCACACCAGTCACGTGCAGGACGCGCTGCACTGATGCTGATGATTTCCGGGAAACGGAAGCTGGCCCCACATTACTGCAAATTAATGCGCCATTATTAGACAAATGCATGACAAGCGATTCAATTAGGACGCCATAAACTGTCGCACTGGGACCTATATATACAACTAGAACAAACTGTGACAGTTGGGGCATCATTATGTCATGCGAGAGGGCGCAGGACAATGCCGCTCGTTCGCTGGCCTGCGGATAATCAAGCGCTTTTAATGATTGCATATCCTGTGCGGGAAATTGCATTTCTGCCATTGATTGCCAGCACTTGCTAGCTGTCTCTTTCGTCTCGTTTAAGCCCGTCTCTTTCTCTCTCTCTCTCTGTCTCTCTGGAAGCCTGTGGGTTCCGCGAATGGCATCTGAAAACCATTTAATATTAAAACTTTCATAAATATTCTGCCTGGGCGAATGCTGCAGGGCCTGGCGCTCGCCATGTTTGGCACGTTTAGAGAGGATTTTATTTTTCAATTCCTGACCAAAACAGGAGGAGGCCTGTGTAACATGATTCATATACATATATGGTATAAACCCTTTGGAATATCCCCACTCGACGGCTGTCTGGCTCAATTGATGGCTTTGGCCGCTTTTGATTCGGCCTATTAATTAACAATTCCATTTTTGCAGATGTGCGAAAATTGGGCTTTAATTAAATTGCTTGTAATGCCTATAATTATTCCACACACACACACACACACACACACACACACACACACACACACCTAATTTTCAGTGTAATTAATGAGTTTTTAGTTAAAAATACATTTTTGCTTGTAATAATGACTTGAGGGGCGGAAACCGAGCTCTGAACATACAACAAACACCAGCATGTGCCTGGCATTTTCAATAAATTTAAGCACACACACATATACTCACTTGCACACACACACACAGCTCATTAAATGCTTTACATGTGTTGGCTTTTCCCACTCGATTGTGGAAAAGTCAAGAAGGAAAACTCGTGGGGGGGCCTCCGACTTTTTGAAAGTCCTTAATTTATGCAAATGCCTATGCCAGAACGGGCACATGTATGTATGTATGTGTTGGTTCGGCAGTGACGGGGGGTGGCGCTGTGCACTTATGTAAGCCTCATCAATTTTCCATTGACACAAAGAAGAGTTCTATCGCCCCGAAGGCACTGAGAATTGTGCGAGTAGTAAAAGCAATTGCAAACGTAAAGAGACCACCATAAAGTTCGCTGTAGCGCAACAGAAAGATAAAATATTCGACTAGAGGATACTTATTAGAGACTGGCAGCTCCACATACATATGTCTATAGGGTTTTTCATATCTTTACTAGCTGGATTTCATAGGAAACTAAGATAAAAAGCTCTTGTAAAAAAAATAGTGGAACTTGCATTAATATCGGCACCTCAATAAAAGCATTGTAATCGAATATATCGAAAAAAGAGGGTATAAGAACCCTTGCAGGGTATTACAATTTATATACCTTAAGACCTAATGTCTAAGATTTTATTCAGAATTTTGCAACGCAGTTCCCACCCTGAAAAGGTTAGATATTTCTGATCGTCTTTCCCCCTCTCCATTTCTAACCCAAAACACCTTTAAAGGCTCCAGCAATTAAGCGGCATAAGAACCAGAAGAGGAAACCTTGGAGCCGGAGTGTGTTGCCTCCAAAACATATCCTGGATTCAAAAGAAAATCCCCAGTCAAACGCATTAAGCGTAATTACAATTTGAACCCCAGGCTTGACTTTGCGATGCAATGAGCTAGATAAATCCCCCATCCCAGGCGGGATTAGTCGTGACTTTTGAAACGAATGTGATTTGGAGAACGCGGCCGCCTCCATTTTTCGGAGTGTGAAATTGGAGGCTTTATAGATCCATCAATATTGTGAATCCATGTCACCGACTTAACCCGCCGCCTCGGGGAGTGTGGGAAATGATTAATGAAATAGATATCGGCAGATAGCAGAAAAGCTTTACCTTGGGAGCAGGAGATACTCTTATTTATAGGGAGAGCGAGATAAGGGGCAAAGCTTCATCGCCCGATAAGATATGGAATTCCAAATGCCTCGGGCTTTTGCCCAACGCCAGTCTCTGTTTACCACGGCCGTAACCAAATGTTCTCCAATGACTAACCCTATCAGGGCAAGACCAAAGTATTCTGCTGATAAATTTATTGGAAAAATCGAGTCACAGTGCCCGCGAGCTTTTCCGCCATGCGATAAGATATGGAAGTGGAAGCCACAAACCAAGAGCCACTCATCCTCGTCAAGTTATTCAGTGCACCGAGAAGCTTCACCATGGCGAGTTTAGAAATGACGAGACGAAGAGCGACCTTTGCCCTGCAGCTGCTGCTGCTGCTGCAGCTAACTGGATTCAGTCGGACGGAGAATATCGACGCTGTGGAAGAAATAGACCGCTTTTGTTACCCGGAATCCGCTCGAAACTCGCGCCGCTCCTGCGAATGCAGCAACGTCAGTGCTTCGCCCTGGGGCATGCGTGCCCTGCGCATCGATTGCAGCTACAAGGATTATCGGGCTAGTGAGCTCTCCCAGCTGCTGCCCCTCTACATTGACACGCTGGATCTGTCCTGGAACGCCCTGGATGAGGCGCCGATCTTCACCAGCGACAGCCTGCATCACCTGAACCTGATGCACAACAACATCTCGCGCTTGGTGGCCGGCAACTTCAAGCAGCTAACCAGCCTGAGAGAGCTTTACCTGGGCTGGAACAGCATTGGCCAGCTGGAGGCCACAACCTTCGAGGGATTGCCCCATCTGCAGGTGCTCGACCTGGCCCACAACAACCTGCACTCCCTGCCGGGCAAGCTATTCGCTCCTATGCTGGTGCTAGGAACGCTGGACGTGTCCTGGAACCGTCGCTTCAATGAGACAAGTCTGGATCTTTACTCGGGGCTGGGAATTAACTTGAAACTGAATGTTCTCCGACTAGATGCCTGCAGCCTGACCGAGGTTCATTTACCCCAGGATGTTCCCCTGAAGGAGCTCTCACTGCGCCGGAACCTGCTGCAGCAAATGCCCAAGCAGCTGCCCCAGACGCTCGTGCGCCTGGACATCAGCGACAATCTGCTGGAACATCTCCTTCATGAAGATACTTCCAACCTAACCCAAGTTCGTCAACTTTACATGGAGGATATGTCGCTGCTGCAAAGCATAGCAGCCAATTCCCTGGCTCCTCTAGAGCTCCTCGAGACGCTGAGCTTCCAGAATAGCCGCCGGCTAACTCATCTTGATGCTGAGGCTTTTGGCCATGTCCCCAGGACAGCTGCTGGGAAGAAATGGGCACTGCGGTCGCTGAGCTTTCGTGGCACTATGCTGCGCACCTTTAATTCCACGCTGGCGCCGCTTTTTGGACAACTTGCCGAACTGGATCTCAACGGTCTGCCGCTGCAGTGTGACTGCGAGCTGCTCTGGCTAAAGCAGCTGCCGGTGCAGACCAACGGGCGTTGCTACAAGCCGGCCCGCATCCGCGGCATGCTAGTGACCTCCGCCCGCGCCGATGCCTTCAGCTGTGATTCCTGGCCGCGCTGGGCCTATAGCCTGGTGGTGCTTACGCTGATTGCCCTGAGCGCCGCTGGCATTTACCTAATCGTGATGGGTTTGCGTCCGCACCGAGGCGTCACCATGCGCCGGAAGGTGGGCGCCGGCAGTCCCTATGCCCGCGTCACCATCGAGCCAAATCGCCAGGAGAATCCGCATTAGGTCACCTCGGAACCCGCTAAACTACCTCCTAAGTTGTTGTATGTGTATGTGAACAATAAAAGAATCCTTATTTAAGTGTAAAGTGAAGACTATATAAAATATATATATTGATAAGTAAGAAAGTTGAGATAAAGTCAAAGGAAAAGCCCCATAAACTTAAAGATACTCTTCCCTAGCTTTCACCGGAACACGCTTAGGTTCGCTGTACAGTATCTTGATCCTTAGCGAGGACTTTGTGGTGTAATAACGATCGAGAGCATTCACGTCGTAGTGCTCTTCTAGGGCGCATAGATACGGATAGCTGGGATTCGGTCCAGATCGGCAGCCTGAGGCTGGTTGAAGACCCTCCTCGTAGGCTGGCTCCTGGGCCATGTCCTCGCGGGCAAAGTTGCAGACGATAAACTGCTGGTGCCACTTTTGGTGGCGTCGCTGGCGGAGCACGCCGCAGCCCATGTGGGTGGCCCGCTCTTGGATCAGTTGGCGGAAGCTGATTAAAATATATAGATATATATTTTATATTTATAAATAAATATATATTTGAATGCTTCTACCAATTACTCACCTGTTTGGCTTCTCATTGCCTAACTTGTTAGTGCTCCTTTTGTACTCATTAAACCAGTTGTCGATTTTGTGATCCAAGAGCTGGAGGTTGCTATGCTTGCGGGCACTGAAGATCACATGGCCAATAAGCTGACCCACATGCTTAAAGCGCCTAGTGTTGCGACAGGAATCGGTGGATAAGGAGCATTGCTTGACGGTCAGTTCGGCCAGGGTGGCCAGTTCAGGATCCCAGGAGACGCTAGCCATGCGAAGGGCCGCTCCGAAGCCAGGGAATTTTCCAGAAGCCACTTCATTCCGATAGAAATTAATTTTGTGGAGAATAAAGTAACGCAAACTATCACTGAGGGGTAACAGCCTGGCCTCCGGAAAGCATTTAGTACCAAGGGTCTGCAAGGACATAAAGTTTATTCATTTTTTTAGACAAAATGTGTATAAATATCCTGTTCTCCAAGAAGAACAATGTTTTTCTGGGCAAATCATTTCAAAGAAAATATATTTTTAGAGCTCTCTTCTTACCCCATTGTTGTTACAAGCCACATGGTCGTTGGGACGAGGACACCAGTTCTCCTGGCAGTAATCCCAGGCTCTGGCGGGAATTCCAAGCAGAGCAAAAACCACGACACAGATGTACCACACACGGAACAGGAACATGTTGACAATATGACAGGCTACAAGTGCTGCAATCCCCACATGTTAAGCGGTCATGACGAGCCCGAAAAATTACAATTTTCATGGAGAAATAAGAAGACCCAGAACAAATTTACAAACTAGAAAAAAAAGCCCGATTTTTGGGTAACCTATTTTGGTAAATATATTTTAAAAAGCAATATATTTAATTAAATACAAAAAAATATATCCTTAAAGTGGGGAAAGTTTAGGGATTCTTTAATTTTTCTCTCCATAATTAAGGTCTCTTGAAAAGCCTTCATCCGAAACACTTTATATAGAAAGCAAGTCGAATTTATATTGCTAACAAACCAACTCCACTCAATATTAACAATAATAAAGTATGTAATAGTCGGAGTCATAAATTCTCGGTTATACAGTTTCGCTGGCGATGGTGTCAAGAGATTTACGAGCCCTCCGAATGGAATTCGCATAAATAAATATTTTTCTTTATTGCGTTTCCGCGCCGCTTGGACAGCAACCAGCAAGGTTCAAATTATTAATTCCGATATCTGACTGGCAATAATTGCAGACCAACTGACGAGAGCAGAAATACTATATATATTTGCACCTTATGAATTAATTAAAAAATAACTGAATATTTCAGGGAACTTCAAAAAAGAAATCTCTCTGAACAATGAAAAGTGGTGGCAGACCTACTAATATTAAGATCATGAAAACTAGAACTCTATGTAACGTAAGAGTCTGATTTTCCGATTTTCCAATTTATTTATTTTCAAGAATTTATTGTTATCAGGAGAAACCTTTCAAGTTTAATTAATCGCAATAAACTTTAACTCTCTATCGCCGCCTTGCAAGCTAGTTGTCCGGCAATTATTGACAAGTAATTTGCATTTCATTACGACAATCCATCAATGAACGGCTGGTCCGTCATCGGCACCGCTTATGCATATTAATTCTGGGCCTTTTTCCAAGCCGTGCCATCAGGATGCGATTCTCTCTCGGCGCCTGCGTCCTGGTGGCGTGTGCCAGTGGCCCAGTGCCACGAGTTGCATGCCACTCCGAAACCTATTCCGAAACCGAGCAACCGAATCCGAAACCGAGGCTTAGACAGCATCCAGAATCGCTAGTTGTGCCAGTTGAAATTGGTGCGTCGAGGCGAGTGGACGCGCTGGCGGATGATTGATGCGAATATTGCGTATACGTCGTGTGAGCGGCTCAAAAGTTCGTGCGTGCAGGAGTCAGAGTGTGCGTGTGTGTGTGTGTGTAAGTTGCTTCAGCTGCTTGTGGCTAACTCGAGAGACGCCCGTTAATTGTGCGCTTGACGTTCTGGCTTTCACTGCACGAGTGCGAATTATAAACCGCTTACAAAGGCCGGCGGCTACTGTTGTTGTTGTTGCTCCTGTTGTCTTGCTGCTGCCGCTCTCTGTGTCGTTCATCAATAAATTATAATGTCCTAATACCAATTGACAGCCCTGGGAGCGGCGGCATGAATAAAATATCAAAAGCATTTTGGGCCCTCAAAGCTGCAGGTCTCTCAGTTCGCGTTATCATCAGCGAATGAGCAAAGGCAATTCTCTGGTGTGGCGATGCTTAAGTTGATTTCCAACAAAGCATTTCACTGTTTCTGTATTTTTTTTTTAAGGAGATCGGGTGTGGGGTGTTAGTGTGTGTAAAACACACTCTCTGGTGCACGGTGAACAAGATATATATGTATATGCCACAATAATCTCTAGCAATTGTCTGGAAAAGATGTGTCTTTCTGAGTATTTTAAAATATATTTTATTTTGTTTATAATCTGACAGGGTTTTTTTTTTTGGTTATAATCTGACAGGGTTTTTGGTTGTTTTTAATGAATTTAATTAGTTTAAATTTAACAGCTTCTTTTAAGACCATTTAAATAGAAAATGAATATTACCATTAATACCGGAGAAAGTATTTAATATATCAAAAATATTAAAATCACTTTGTATTTATTTCTAAAAATATGCCAAAACTCATATTTAGTTTATAATAATCACCTTAAATTCATTTACAAGCCAAGATTTCCTTTCTAAATTTGTTATCTATTATAAAATGATATGTTTAATATATAAATCAAAACTAAAATCAAGACTATCTTTCTCAGTGTGTGCATGTATTGTATCCCCGTTTGCATTTATTAAATATTCAGCGTTTATACGCAACAACACAGAGAGTCGTTGCTCTTGTTTTCCCCCTTTCTTTTCCTTTTTGGCTCAGAGAACTCCCTCATTTCTTATATTTTCTGTTTTCTCCTTTCTTTTTTTTTTGGAAGGAGTATCTCAAGCTGGGAAGGAAAACAATCCTAATGTACATTGACAGTGCGGTGGCCGAGGCTCCGGGAGCAGAGCCATTTACCACCCATCCGGCCGTCGGGCTTAGCGAGTCATGTTTACTTAATGGATACGCCAGGCAACTATTAAGTGCTCCCCGTGCTGCCAAGGACGACTCCTTATTTACTGTTATCTGGCAGTGTGCTATCATGGCAGCGGGCAACGGCCCAGCGGATATTAGATTTGATACGGCCATGTCAGTTAGCCACATTATCTCCCATTTGCATTTTCAGTCCCGCCTGCACTTTCTAGGCCGAGAAATTAAAGCGCTAAAAGCACTCACACTCAGCTGTTGTCAGCTGAATGTAAAATGGCTTTTAGGTACTTATTATCACACCTGCAAGCAGCGAGGTAAAAGGTGGAAATGTGCGGCGAACTTGAGGGCGAATTAGCTAACGAAATTGAGATTTGACTGTCCCTCGGGGGCAAACCGACAGAAATGTCCCACGAATTTACTCGAAAATCCGCATTATGTTATCTTGAATGTCCTATCTTTAGACCATTACCCCTTCCACTGTGAATTCTCCCAAAAAAAAAAACGGAAAAACAACAAAAGAATTCCAAAGCAAATTCTCCCGCCTTGCCTTGGCCAGATTCCTCTGTCTTTCGTTTCCCTTTTTTAATTTTAATGCGTATCCTTCGGCTGCAGCAACAGCAACAACACCAGCAACAACACCAGTAGCGACAGGTGAGCAAGGCGACGAATCAGGACCTAAGAATTAAGCCAAAGTTGAAGAGCGAGTAACAGACACCGCCAGCGGGCGGTCCGAAAAGCCAACTTCATTTACGTTTGAAACGCAGTTGAAATAAACGACTTCACGACACTGGCGGATTTGCTAAAAAGTAAGTTAAGCCCCTGCCATCCCTCCCCCAAAACCCCCCACCATCACCTGTCATATCCCCCAAGGCGTCGGCCTCCACTCCTGCGTCCGCTTACGGCATTCCTTCACCTGCTGGTGATGCTCATTAAAGCCAGCGGAAAGGGAACAAAGGCGGTGCACCGAAAATAAAAATAATATCTTCTGAAAGGAAAAAGGGTTTACAAGGAAATTGATAAACAAAAAATACGAAAGAATAAACCAGAATTTATAATTTATTGATTAAAATAGATTATTAATTAATTCTTAATTTTAACTATTTAAATTTCAAAAAATAATACATTATTAGCTCGGTGTAGGCCCGAAAAGTATCATATTCTTAGCCCATAGATTGGAGTTTATTTTGAAGGCAGAGCCATATATATTTTTCTGCCTGCAAAATAAGTGGCAAAGGCGAGAAGGAAGTCAAGGACGGCGCGTCCTTTTTCGGCCAGTTGGCATTGTTTCAACTCAACGGCGGATGTAGCACCGAAGTCAGCAGTTCCTCCCCCGGAAAAGGACTTGGCATTCCTTTCCGAGCTCCGAGCTCTCGGCTCTCCCGCATTCCAAGCCGTTGCCCTGCACTAGATATTTACAATTGTCGTGCGGGGTCTAATTAAATTTCACAGCGTGGGCATAAATAAGAGCAGGCGATTCCTTTTTGATTCCTGGCTGGTGGCCTACTCGGGGCTTCCCCTTATTTGTTTGTGTTGTTCGGTGTGTTGCATCTGCGGGCGGATGCGGAGCCCGGGAATCCCGGCATCCGGATGCAACTGGCAGGCAGGCGGCAGGCGGAATGGCAACAGCTGGCGGCAAAGAAATATTAAAAGTTTTTACCTACGGCTTCCTGCCAACTGCCACATGCCACATGCCGCATGCCGCCGCCACATCCCTTTCGCAGGATGGGTACCAAAACCGAAAAATGTCACACAAATGTGTGTGCCAGCAGCTGCTGCTGCTGCTGCTGCATGGACCAAAGCGATTTATGACAACGCCAGCAATGCAAATTCACGCTTGGCCAGGCCCAGTGTGCATTAGACAATGATATCCGGCTGCAGAAATGCTGCACGAGCAACCAAAAGACCCACCAAGGACGATCACGGACTGGAACTCGATTTGCCATCGCATAATTTCCCAAGCTCATGGAGGAAAATGTTGCAGCAATTGCTGTAATGCGGAGGAGCATTAAATAAAAACCGAAAATAAAATTATGTTTATTTTCCCCCCACCAACCCATTTCAGCGGGTACGTGTGTATGTGTGTGTGTGGCTTCTGGAGAGGAGGTCTTCAAAAACTTGCCAACGACACAAGAAACTTTCCCTTGAAGCACTCTCCAAATTATGCTTTTCCTTCTTGTTTTCCTTATGGGGCAAACTTGCTTACACCGAATTCAAGAGACGTTAACAACGCTTTTTCAAGACAAGCGGCGGCGGCGGTGGCGGAGGGGGAGGGGAAAAGCTGTAGGAAAAACTGGTTGTTCTTATTTATATACAGGCAACGATAAGCAAAAGAGAACAGAGTCAGATGGGACAAAGATATTTGACTACAAGGACCAAGGCAAACAATGTTGGCCGATTCAATTACATAGTTTCAGAATATGAGCATTTTTAGCATCGTTATTGTCCTTGTCTATTGTCTGCGCCCAAATGGGCGGCTTGAATGTCCCTCAAAAAGCATCTTGCAACTTGAACATCCTCATGGGAGGGCAAAAACACACACAAATTAATATGATTTATCTAAATCTGAAGCATAGAGTCCTTTAAAAACTAATTGAAATGCACCAGCCCCATTTGTTTATGGTTTAAGGGAAGCTTTCATTTTGGCCTCTCTATATAAATAGTTTATTTTTTGAAATAACTAAAAAGACATTCGTATTCATATATAAAATTGAAAAGAGGTAGGTTATCTACCAAGCCGCAATGTTTTTAATTGTAAACTGAGTTAATATTTGTATAAACATTTAAAAAATGGTTTCTACTTCATGATTAAAAAGAAAGCTTAGTTTTTGTAAATTGTATGGTTAAAAAAAGGTTTTAAGTATTCCAAAATTACCTAACAATCTTAAATCAAGATTAAAAAAGATATTTTTAGACTTCACCTAATCTCTGAAGAATTCAAATAAATCATTATTTGGAAAATTGTAACCTAAGCCAAGTTCACAGTTATTCATTTGTCACACGGCCTCATGTAGGACTGATGATTGAACGCCGAGGCTTGGAATTTCCACATTTTCACTAGAAACACAGCACATCCCACCAGGGAAAACACTTGTCACCCCCCAAACACACACACAGTCAGGCTCCAAATGTTATCGCTTCGTGCTTATCGCAAAACGCATCTCGCAGGCGGGAAAACACAGAAGGGGAAAGACATGAAGGAAAACTCGTGTGCGACAGTTTGCCATTGTGCCAAATTGTTAATGCTCAGCATTCTCTCGGCGGTTGGCTGATGTCTGCTTGCCTGCTCCTTTCGTCTTATTGTTCTTCGCATTATCATTGTATCGTCGTCATCGCTGTTATTCTCCTATTCGCCTACTTTTCCCCCTTAAGACCCAAGACCCCAAAAAATCCCCAAACATCCCGCACATCCTACATTTTTATTTTATTCGCTTTTTCGTTGTTATTTTCTTTCTGTTTTTTTTTTTTTTCGTAGCTCTTTGCGTCTGCCGAGAGAGAAAATTTAATGCTTCTGGTGGCGTCTGGCGGTCGCGGCGCCAAAGTTTCTTTATGACCTCTGCCCTAAGCTCCAGATACTATACTCTATATACATATATGTAAAGGATATCCACACCACACAAACAAACACGCAAGGGTGTATTTGTGTGGGTGAATTGATTGATAAGGCTGCTGCTATGAACGAAACAAAACAAGAGTTGAGAAGACACAAAAATAGAAATAGAAATAGGAATAGAAATGGTGTGCTGGTGTTTCTCCGCTTTATGACGTTTGCTAGATTACGCATACGTAGCGTTGGCATGCCAGGCATTACGCATACGCAGCGTTGACAAGACAGAAGACAGGAAAGCCCAGCCAGCCAAGCTGCAAAACCCCAAAAACTTGAAGAAGCCGGCGGCAAACTCGAAAACTTCGGCCATAAAACAGAGAGAGAGAGCGAACAGGGACGGGCGGGAACCGCAAAGCGTTTGCTTAGTTATCCCCGCCAGCATCTCGCAAACTTTTCGCTTTAATTCCACTTTGGCAGTGCCTTTGCCATTGCCTCATTTTTAAGCAAATATTGTGGCAGACTTGCACACACCCAACCATGTGGCCCTGCCGCCTTCGGGCTGTTTTGCTCCTCCACATGTGACTCACTCGTTTGCATGGGCCAGCCATTGCTGCAGCTATGGCTGCCAATAAAAAAGCATTCAACATTCAACTAATTTGAAGCCGCGTTGAAAGTTTTACGGAGCAGCTCGAGGCCCCCCCCCAAGTTATATGCAACTAATTACGTGCGTTACTTTGTGTGAATAATGTGCTGCGTGGTGGCCATATCTGGTAATTGCCTTTGCTATTTTTTTATTACTTCGGGTGCCAGCTTAATGGCCATAGGCGTGCTCCGAACTTGACCGCCCTGTCAGCCAGAGTGGCCATCAAATGATGCAGAAAGTTAGGGCCCAAGTTCTTCAAACAATTCTGGTTTATGTGGCATGTGATTTGGCATGTTTTGTAAGTTAACAGCCGAGTTAGGAATTAAAACTATGCAAATTGTGGGCCCAACCAGAGATAGAGCTAAGCTGGGCGCCTAAAAGTATCATCAAATTTGTTGTATCTTTGTGGCAAGATATTAAAAGGGGAATTTGGTCCTAAAAGTTGGCTGCATTTGATTTTAAGTACTTTCTGTATGTCAAGGATGGGAGGTGGGAATATACTTAATAAAAAACCTCTAGGAAATTAGCTGGAACTTAAAAGACTTCTAAGCCACATATAAAAAATTATAGATGTTCTATCCACATGCTATTGGATAGGAATCTATAGGAATCCATTCCTTGCTTCAAGCATTTCCTTGTTAAAATTGTTGTCCCACAAACATGAATCCTTTATTATCTCTTTTTTACCTTTGTTCCAAGCTCCCTGGAAACTTTTCTAGAGAAAGAAAACATAAAGCAGAATTGAACAATCAAAACAGAAGATACTCCACAGATTCAACCATTCCCCTGGCCATATTTTCATTCATTTTACAGCTTTTTTCAGCCCAGTTTGTCCTGTTTGTCCATCAGTTTCGATTCGATTCGTTGCAACCATTGAGACACAGATTGATGTTAATTATCTGCCTTCACACCGTCGCTCACTTCGGGCTGTCAATCGGCGGGGTGGGTGGGGAAGGACGACAGTTTTCCACCTGTCCCACTCCCGCACTCGTTTTCCCTCCTCTCTGCGGCACAGAGTTTATGACACGAGTGTAATATAATTCATATTGTACCGAAAAAATTTTAATGCCGCCTGAAAAATAACTCCCAATAAATAATCCTTAATGTCCTTTGGGTGTGCGTGTGTGTGTGTACAGAGTGGGTGGATTCCCCAGCGTGTGTGAGTGGGCGTATGTTTTGGCTTATGTTGGCCCATCATAAACAAGAGGCTGGGGCGTGGCCCTGGCATCACTGTTTGTCCTTGTTGTTTTATGCGGTGTAACCGCAGCAGAACGTACAACATACAACCACCTAGGATGCGGCGGCCATCATGTCCTGACAGCCTTATGACGTGGCATGTCGCCTGCTCCTAACTTGGAATCCCTGCCCGTGACATTCGACTGTAAAACCGGAAAAATCCTGGGAAAACCCCGGGCAAAAAAGCAAACGAAGGAGCGCAGCATAAAAGTGAAACATTGCCGCGACAAATTTGTCAACTTTGTCAAGGCAAGGGTGTCCACAACAAATAAATAAACGGCCACGTCTCTCCGCTTTTTCTCTTTTTTCTTGAGCAATTTTCATTATTATTTATTTATGCTGCAAGCTTGTTATTAATTATTTTTTGAGTTGCGTTATGTGACGATTTAGCAGAAAAACAACTTAATAATATACGTAATTATTTTATTTATTGAGGTTTATGGTATATATCGGTTATATGTTTATAAATATAGTAAGTATTTTAGTTCTTCACTTGGCTTCTTCACGCAACTCAAACTTGCACCAGAACAGTTCCCGTGGCACCATCCGGAAGCCTGAGATGCTGCTCATCATGTCCTTCGAGGTGCGATCCGTGGGCTTAAGCCTGTACTGCCGAAGCAATTGATAGAGCAGAGACTTCACCTCCATGAGGGCCATTCGGTTGCCAATGCAGCTGCGTGGACCCACGCCGAAGGGCAGATAAGTAAACTGCTTGATTTCATCCTTGTGCTCCTCGTCAAAACGCTCTGGTCGGAAAACCTCCGGCTCTGGAAAGTTGTCAGGATCACGCTGTATGGCCGCCACGGGTATATGCACGAGTTCATCCTTTTTTAGTTTCACCACTACCTCACCCTCTTCATCCTTGAGCTCGAAGTCTGCGGCGCACATTCGATCCAGGACAAATGCCGGCGGCCACATTCTCAACGATTCGGAGACCACACAATCCAAGTATTTCATGGACATTAAGGTGTCATAGTCGAGTTGCTTGCCGCCCAGTTCCTCCTCCACGGCCACGATCTCTTCGTACAGCTTCTGCTGAGCCTCGGGATTAGCAAGCAGCTCATGGCAGGTGAAGCTCAGGCAGGTGGCCACCGTTTCAAAGCCGGCCGCGAAGAATAGCAGGCACTGGGCCAGCAGATCTTCATCGTTGAACGAGGCATGCTGTTCCTTCAATCCAGTAGCGTCACCCTTGGCAGCTTCCTGATCCTTTTGGAACTGTCGTTGAGCCTCCATCAGCAGGTGGATCATATCGGGTCGGACGATACTTTGCTCCTTTCGATACTTCATGGTGCCATAGACCAGCTTCTTGAAGTAGTCCACATTGTTCATGTCCATAACGGGAACTTTAAGGGCCTGTAGATTAAGAAGGGTATTTAAGGAAAGCATCTTAATATTCAGGTAATATTGCTTCTTACCTTCATCAACTTGGGCATTATAATATAGAGAAACACTTTAAGTCCGCCCCAGAAACTGAACTCTGAGATACGCTGCCCGATGGAGAAGAACTCGTTGTTGGGATCCTTGAAGGAGTTCACCTGAATACCAAAGGCAGCCGTTGCTATTACATCGTTCGTATAACGCGTAAAAAAGTCCTTAAGCTCCAGTTCCGAGTTACCCGCCTCCAACTGACGTCGCACATAGCCCACCGCCTCCTCATTGCAGGCATAGATCAGCTCGTACATTTGGCGGATCTTCAAGCTGGTGAACGTAGGCGTCAGGGTGTTGCGCATTTGCTTCCAGCGCCGATCCCGCAGACTGAGCAAGCTCTTGCCTACCAAGCTTAAGTCATCGGGTCCATCAGTAATACCCTTGCGGTGGTTGGAAAAGTTATCAAAGCTCTTGATGCCCACCTGGCGGATAAGTTCCGGATCAGAGAGGTAGAATAGGGCATCGCGAAGGTTGAAAACTCCATAAACCTTGTGGTTCTTAAGGCGCATGTGAATATCAATGCTGGGGGAGATTTAAAGAAGGGTTAAGCAACGTAGTTTTTTCAACAAAAAGTGCATAACTCACCTGTGCTTTATATACGAATCCTTGCCCATCATCACCGACCAAGGAATATTACCAAAGAGCGGAATGGGCGCCTCATGGACCACGCCCCGTTTCGAAAAGTAGCCAAAAGTATGGACGGACCATTTGTATAGCAACAAACCGACCACGGCCACACATAACAACAACTCCACAAATACCATTTCGGAAATCCGGGGGATTTGACGGGGTTTTGGGGAAGAGAGTTGGGGCGGAGAGGTTCTAATCGAACTGCGCAGCGTGGGGGTGCTTCGAAAAAGTTTAGAGAGAGCGTCTTTTTCAGTCGAACGCTGAAGCGCCACTGAAATAAACAATATGCTCTCTTTGCTTATATACGTATACGCAATTCTAGCTGAGAGAGGTAAATAACAGGAAGAACAAGAACCGGCAAATTGTATAGAATTGTGTGTGTGTGAGCTACAAAAGAGAGAAAGAATCTAAAAGTTAAGAGAGCGTGTTTACTTATCAATTAGCGTTGGCAGTCACATGCTTATGTATTCTGAGTATTAAAGAAATATATTAAACTATCTTATATTTTCCAAAACAAACAAAAAATCAGCTTTGCATATATAAGGAGTTTCACATTTTTATGAAATGTATACAGTAAATGACATCAGATACTATTTATAGATAGCAATCGGAACGAAATATTTGAACATATACACATCAGATAGTACATTCACATTATGTGATACCTTTGCACTCTGAAACCCGATTAAACCCAAATAGATAACCAAAAATCTATGGCAACTGGTTAATAAGGTGGGGAAATAGAGCTATTCAAATTACTTTGTTTGTTTGCGGTGGATTAACCCGCCAAATCCATTATTCAGTGAGTGCTTCCGAACGGACATCTGCGAGTAGATTCAATGCTCGTCTGCGATTTGGCATTCGGCATGTCATGCCTAATCTCATCGGCATAAACTAATTTCAGCATTAATCCCCTTAAGTGACTCAACTATTTATTATAAAGGACTTAGCGACGACAGCGTGGTATAGAGAGAGCGAGAGTTTCCTTGGAGGAGTATGGAGGAGCGAGGACGAAGGAGATAGCTACGTGCCTGGGACCTTACACCATCGGCGACCTCAAACTCAAACTCAAACTGAAATAGAAATGAAACTTCTGTCACTTACTGCATCTTACACAGGGAAAAAATAGAGTGGATTTATAGAGATTTAAATTTAAACTAAAGAAGCTAGACAGCTTGTATATTATAATATATACATGATCAGCATCAAAAGCCAAATCATTACTAATTTTTTCAAAATTTTACAAAGGGTTACATCAACAATTAAACAAATATATTTATATATTTTAAAGTCCGTGTGCTGATTTGTTAACCCCATAAAAGACATCACAAAAAAGCCTTCCTAATTAAAATTTTGAGCTTAGTTATGATCGATTTTAAGTTTGATCTGACAATATTTTAACCTTACCTTCAAGTGTGTAGAAACATCAACTGAATATTTTCCTAATTTAAATGTATTCCAAAAAGGTCTTTAAGGTTTTTTCCCAAGTGTCCTGGAAACCGTCTTGGGTGTGTGCACACTTATATAATTGTGTGCGTTGGAGTGATGGTGTAAGCATAATGAAATTGCTGGGAGTTTGCAGGTTGGAAAAGTTTAGTGTGCCGCACTAATGTGAGAGGACGAAGCCAGTCCCTGGCCCGAACTCCTTGGGCAACCAGCTCACGTCCCGGCCAAATGACAAAATTTGCTTGCATTTAGTGAGCGGCTAACGAGAAATTATTGCACTGCTAGCGGGATAGGGAGATGCCAAGAGGAAGATATCCAGACAAGGAAAGGAAAGGGAGGGAAAGGGAAAAGCTAACAAATCGGCCAGCAGGCCAAAATCCCGTTTGATTCAGCGACCAGCATGGAATAATATCAAGGAAGAGAGCAAAATCAATCTCTCACTCGCTCTCTTCAGCTCGAGTGGTTCACCCGCTTTGTTGATGCTCGGAAGTAAATCTTGCTTTCCTTTTGACTTCTGGCCTGTTCCAGTGGCGTCAACAGGATGCTGAAAAGGGGGATTAACTTCCAATTAAAGTGTTTCTGATGAAATACAATTATGTTTAGACCTTAAATGACTAGTACTTCTTCAAAAGAAAGAAGCTTTTAAAGGAACTTAAGTTAACTTATTTAATTTAGTAATAATCCCTCTAGAAACATTTTCAAGTGGACTTAGATCCTAAGCAATTTCACTAACTCCTAAAATAATCTTTATATTAATCACCACCCCCTTAAAATGGCACCCTTGGACGACACTTTTCTGAGCTTTCTTTTTTGTTTTTTTGCTGGATATCAAATGTGTTTACATTGCCCAAGGGCGAACGAAACGAAGAGACAGTGGGTGGGAGGAGTGGAAAAAACCAAAATGGCCAAGTACTTGAAGTCGTTTTTTGTGCACTTCATTGGCAACTCATGGGTTTGGGGCCATTTGAATTGGATGTCCTCGTTTTCATCCGCATCCGCATCCGCGTCCGCGTCCTTGGCTTTGTTGCTTTTGCTTTCGCTGTTCTCGAGTCTGTTTTCGCTTCCATTTCCATTCTTTGCTCTGCCATTGCCATTACATTTCAAGTGCCGCTAACTTAGCTCCTCAGGCTTCCGCCTCCTCCGCCTTCCTGTCTCCTTCTCGTGTGCTTTGATGTCCGGCCAAATAGGCAAAGTCAATGTTTTGACATTCTGACTCTAATTAGGCCAAAATGTTGTGTTTTCTCTAATCAAACGGATAATAACGGAAGCAAGCTCTCGCGGCCGTGCACACAGGCGCAAACATTTACCCAAGACGTAAGTGTGTGTGATTTAGAGTGCCCAGAGCGGTGTCCATGTGTGTGTTGTGTGGGTGCGAGCAAGAGGGAGACAGCTCGCACTTGGCATATTTCTTGCATTCCACAAAACTTTTCTACACACACTCTCCGCCTCCGCCTTTCTCTCCCACTCAAGTGGGCAGAGCTGGCCGCAAAAGAAAAAGGAATATGATGAAGATGGAAGGCAGAAGAGCAGTCGAGCTTCAAGGATCGAAACTGGAAATGCCCTTGAAGAATGAAGAATTATCCTTCGGAAGAAAGTGAATTTAAACCATAAGAGGATTAATAATATTGATATTTCAGATACTTAAGATAAAAGAGTAAACTAAATCTCGTGGCCTCTTGACTAGAAAGGATAGCTTGGTTATTACTATTTTCAGAATACTTTCTTTAGTAAGAATTATTTTAAAAGTAAATTTTTTTTTAATTTTTTACCCTACTTCTTTTCTGAATCCCTGTCCAAAGTCTGAATATCCTCCGTAAGAGTATACAAAATATGCACGAAATGCTCTCAGAACGCCTCAAGCCAAACACTTGTCCACTGTTGCTGTTTGCTTTTCAGCTCGGTTTTATACCATATCCTTGTTATCCTGCCATGCAGAATTTCAATTTAGCCAGCTCTCTTTGCTCTGTACGAGTTTATAATTAAAATAAATAAATAAGAGGAGAAGCATTGAATGCAAAACCTCATAAATATTTGCTCGTTTCGGTTCGACTGTTGGATTGAATGCTTCCGGAAAGTGTGCAACTCAAATTGAGGCATCTCCGAGAAGGAGTCCTTCGAGAAAAGGACCGTAAAGCACATCATTCGGAATCCGGAATCCTATTCCGACTATTCTTGACTTGGAGCCCGGTCAAATCCGCTTTGAATAACTGCTTATTGGAATGCCAAAAATGTTTCTGCACGATAATCGCGCTATAAAAGGCTTAGCCAACTGCATAGTGTGGAAATATACACACTCACACACGCCAAAACAGAATTCCATATAAAATGTTAATTTATTGCCATTGTGGGCCATTCCACAAACGATGTTATTATGCAATCGCTGGCAAAACAAACCCCGGAAAAATACCAGTGAGCGGAGCCATACCAATCGGCCGAAATTTCAGTTGAAATGTATTTCTATGGCCGTGTTGTGTGTGTGGCCCACATAAATTTATGACAAACGGAAAACGTTTTGGGTAGATTTTTCGGCTTTTTTGGTCGCTCTGCAAAATCAACAAAATGCAATAAATATTTGAAAAATAAAACCGAGCTAGAGTAGAGCGCAGTGAACAAAGCTCTAGCCATCTCATTGATTCCCTACGAATCGGACTCGGTCTCGCTGTCGACAGGATCTTGGGCAAATGGCCAAAAGACAAGGCCCGACGAACTGGCGGTGGCCAACACCTGCTCGTACGTGACCGAGGCCAAGAATTTATGTGTGTCGAAGGAAATCGAAAAGCATTTTTTATGCACGCATCAAATTTATGGCCTTCCCCGAAAATATGGACATGGCCAGATAGCCTCGTTCCAATACCCAATTTCAAGTTCCGCGACCTCCTGCGGTCCCCGGAATTTCCCAGTCAAATATTTGCCCAGCCCCGCCGGGTTCTGTCGGGTACGCGACTCCTGTCAATCGCAAATTCCAGCTCCCGGGGTGCGGGTCAGTCATGTCATCGCATAGATGAGCTCTGCTTTGTTCTCGCATACTAGTAATACCCTTCCGAAGGAGTACTACGCATCCCCTGTTCATTGAGAGGATTAGAGGCTCCAGTCCATGCCCAATTCAGGATTTTAAAAGCTGAATTTAACAGAGGTCCATAAAGTTAATGGAGCGGAATTTACGAGGTGCCGCAGAAATCTCTAGTGGTTTTTACATCAGAAAGGTGCCTCTAAGTAGGCTGTATATATTTTTTAATATTATTTAAATGATGTCTTGAAGTAAGCAGTGATTTTAATGATAAATTAAGATCTTAAAGCCTTTAATTAAACCAACTTAAAGTTAACCAGAGGTATTTTTCGTTTTACTGTCACAGTGAATCCTCTCCTGCTCATCTCTAGTAGGAGGTATGGAGTGGGTAGAGAGTGGCCCTGCCTAATATATGATAAGGATGTCTATACAATATGGGCCTTGACCCCCGACTTCGCCTCTGTGCGCACTCATTCAAATTTATGCTTATGCCTAAACGCTGATTATGACAAATATGCCACGCTCCACTGGACTGGCATGTAGCTGCCACCCAGCCTGCAGGACATCCTCCCCAGCCCTGATGCTACTCCTCCTCCTCCGCCTGCTTGTTTCCATGCCGGCTTATTATTATTTCTGTGGTCCTGTTTTGTTTGCCAGCATTTTGTTTGCTTTCGGTCAGTTGACGAAAATCCCAAAATAAATAAAAGTTTTATTATTAGCTCGCAGGAGTTTGGGGGACAAAATAAAAGCGAAATTTCAGGTTCCATTCAAAGGCCCACTAATGACACGCACGCAAGGATATACATATATACAAAAATCTATATTTATATATAAGCTCCACGCATGCGGGGGGTGTGTCAACAATTATAATGTGCAAATTGCTTGATACGTGAGTCTTTGTGTGTGTGTGTGTGTGTGTGTGTGAGCCAGTGTCACCTGCCACATTTGCTTTATTGCCGCTCATTAGGGATGCTCGACTGAACCCTTCCGCCACTCCACCGCCACCCACCATTATCGTCCCTGGCCGATGTTTTACATGTTGCTCTGTTGACTTCCAGCACGTATTAGTTTTTCCTCAGTCACCCAGGAGGAGCTCCGCCTCCACTCTGCTTAGTTTATCCCATATCCTCAGTCCCGGCGATTTGAAAGCAAATGACAAAAGATTCCTGCTCGCCAGCTGCTCCGACACTTTGATGAATGGGGTCACCAAGTTGTGGCTGCCGGGATTTACGAGAGTGCGACACTGGGATACAAATGTTAAACGCTCCGGCGATTCAAGTTCATCTGCTCACATGCACACATGGAAACAAAGCCAGCGGAATTGGTCATTGATTTGGATTATACTCCTTTTATATTTCTTATTTTCGTCAAAAACAATAGTATATTGATAAGTCAAGGGTCTCAGTTTTTATATATGATAAACTTTAAAAATCGGTCTATGTTAAAAATGACTTATTGTATTAAAGCTTTAACCTCAAGATATTCAATTTAATATTAAATAAACCACTTCATACTTTCAGACACATTTTAAATTGATTTCTGTGGTAAGGACCATATTTGGCTTTAAATATGCTTCATTTCCAGCACAATTTCCCCTGTTTGGTATGCATTTTCAATGTATATGTTGATCCGAATTAATAATGATTAAATCCCGAATGATGACACCAAAATGTGGGTTAATTGTTGCTGGCTTTCGAGTATTTAAATACAAATTGATGGAATGCAAAGCTTTGTCTTGTTTGTGGTAGTAAAATCAATCACTAAAGATATATTTTTGAAAGAAAATGTTTAAATTCATTTCATTTTATGCTAGAACAAATAAATAAAAACAAACTTAATAGGATAATAAACAATAGTAATTCCTGTGCAGCTATTCAAAGCTTCCGGGTCAGTTTATTCAACAATAAATGGACTCTAAATCTCACGGAAATCATATTTCCCTTGCAGTCTTTGTTCACACTCATCTTCCGGGGCTTAGGATCTCCACGATTCACATGACTCAGTACCACTTGTGTCAATTGTCCTGGCAACGGCGATTATATTGCGTCTGCGATGCGTAATTGTCGGAATTGTTGCCGGCCGGAGCCGAGCAATCTCTCTAATCCAACAATAGAAGGGTCTTGCGGACAGGCAGGACAGGCTCCCGGACTGCGTAACTAAGCCCGGAGCCGTAGCCGTAGTCGGGGCTAACAAAAAAAGGATTATTTTGATTATTTTGCGTGTTTGCCAGTGAAAGTGGATGGGCGAAATGGAGGTGGAAAGCTGTTCATTTCAATGAACTTGCTTTTCAAACGAAATTTTATCATGCTTGGCCAGGCCGAGTTACCCATTTCCCAGCATTTCCCCCGATCCACAGCCGAAACAACAATAAACCGAAGCAAATCTGCTACGAAATTTGCTTATGTTTGTGCCTTTCTCCTTTTTCTTTTGCCATTGAAGACATCCAATCCCTGTGGCTAACGAGCTGGCTCAGCTCTGGAAGCGGGAGGACCAAGCGTACGAAGAGCCTTGCAGGCGGCGGAGTAGGAATCGGAATCGGAACCGGAATCGCTGGCCAAGAGAAGCGCTCCGTCAACGTTTACACGCTCCAGCAGCCGCATAAATTTCCGCTTCAATTGGACGTGTGCGGCGGTGGTAATTGCAGCTTTGATTGCCACCAAAAGCAGCAGCAGCAGCGGGAGCAACAGGAGCTGGACAGGATCCCTGCCGCGTCGTCCCTATCCTGGTCCCAGCGACAGAGACGCCAGCTGGGCCAGAGCTGTGACGAAACCAAATTCATTGAAAGTTCAATGGGTAAGCAACAGACCCCAATTCATTCTATTCCATTCCAGCACCGATACCGAAACAGAAACAGAACCAGAAACCGAAACAATCACAATCAGCAGGCAGCAATAAGAATTTAAATTAAATTTTCGCCTTTTTTTGTATACGCCCCTTGTGTGCTCTGCCTCGGATTTGCCCCTTCCGAAGGCGAAAAGTTGAAACAGAGACGCCGTCTGCTGTTTGATTTCGATGTTAAATTTGCATAATTTTGTTAAGCAACATTTTCCGACTCGGCCCGAAAAGCCAGTAACCCAAGCCACTCACACTGCGAAAAGAACTTTTTCTAGAAATCCATCGATTTAAGTTTTAGTTGTGTGTTAAAGATTTTACTATATACATTTTAAATTGAGAAGCGTGATGAATTTGTTTCTGATCTAACATTTTAGGTTAGAATTAATCATTATTGAATTTATTTAATTTATTGCTATAATAATATCTCTTATCTCCATCGCTTCTTTTCCGTGTACAGCCCAAACGATGGACGACATGGTCTTTCAATGCAACAATCAAAATTCGATTTATGTGCTTAATGCCAGCTATGGTGCATATGGGGTGAGTCCTTTGAGTGTTCCACTCGAGACTGGCCCAACTATCTGAGCTTGTTTGGTTATTTTCTTTTTATTGTTCTCCTCTGTCTGTCTCACTTCAACTGCAACTTCAACTCCAAACTATCTGGAATCTTGGCAGGACTATGGCACATATGCGGCAACAAAGCGTGAAATAAATGGCAGCCAGAGCAGAGCGGCAAATCCAATTGAGGCAACTTGCTCCAGTGGGGGAGTCGTCCTGCAGCATAAATTCAAAACTTTTGGCACTGCCACAACAGCAACAGCAACAACAACAGCAGCGGAAGGAGGAGTAGATGTGGCAGCGGGAAGCGCATCAAACTACGTAAATCCTGTCGCTACATCAATGTCAACCGCAATGTGTTCACCGGCAACAGCGGCCCTGCAAAAATTGTTCAATTGCAGCGTTGGCGGCGCCTGCCACAATGTCACCCAAACCCATCCCCAAACCCTGGGCCAAATCCAGGACCACAGCCACATCACCAGCCACCACAGCATCAGCAGCAGCAATAACAATGCCCCTGCCAGCAGCCACAACAATAGCTGCCTGTCAGCGGCAGGCGGAGTAACCCAAAACGGCCGGAATCGGAGCCGAAGTGGCGGCGAGTCCCTGGATGGCCCAGCGGGTGTGACGACAGCAGGAGCTGGAGTAGGAGCAGGCGCCGCCGGTGGCCTCCCACTGATGCCGAAGAAGAAATGCACCAATGTCAAATCAGCGCTTATTGCCAAGAAGACAAAGTTTCTGAAATATCTCGAAGAAGAAAAATGGCGCAGCAACGCAGTAGCAGCAGCGGAAGATGCGGGCGCCATCAGGTATGTAAGACTGAGGCACTCGAAGAAATTAGCTACTGAAATTAAAAATATTCCAGAATATTAAGAGGGTTTTTTACATGAGAAAACATTTTTGGAAAGCATTTTTAAGAGTCTTTTTAATAGTAAGGGAGGTTTCTTTTTAAAATAAAACAGAGCTCTTTAATGACATTTTAAGTTACTTAGATATTATTTAAAGTTATCAAATCCACTGAAATCCCTTAGAATTCCAGTGTATATTCTGGTGGAGTATGTATGGGCTTGTGTCAGCGGAGCAATCTTCTCGCCGCCGCAAAAACTTATAAATTCCCATAAATGTTATAAGGCATCTTGCAGCGCGCTGCAAACTGTGGCAACTTTTTATGATGGCAATCTTGGGGCACACGACAGGACGGGACAACCATGGCGCCTTGCTCCTGTGTTCTATATGTATAGTTCACCCGCCGAAGTGGTTTCTCAATAAGTTGACGAAGGACCTGGCAAATTCCTTTCGATTATTGCTTAATTAATTATTGAAGTGCAGCAGCAATCGTAGTTAGTTACCGCTTATTTTCCGAGTAAATCATGGAAACTTATCAGTACCTTATCGATTTGCCCTCTCACCGTCATGGATCATTTTTCAACAAAAAAAAGTCTTCCTTATTTTATGGCTTCTTTATGGTCATCTTGCGCTGGGGAAAATGGTATTTTCAGTTCATTTTTGTTGCGGCTTTTAAGCGCATTCAATTATCTGACGGGCGGACACTTTGTTGCAACTGCGAAACTTTGCTGCATTGTTCATGAAGTCATAAGTTTTGATCATCATCAGCGCTTAGCAAAGTTCACCCTGCCCAACCCGGTCGCTTTTCCGCATTTTCCGCTCTTTCCAGTCATTTGCGAAATTGAAAAATTAACGCGCTCGTCGACATAAACATAAAGTGCGATGGTAGGCAGTGGAGCTTAAAGGGGGCTTAGCGGAAAGTTGATTAAAATGCATGATGGCCATAAATGTACATATTGAAGTGCAATAATCATATTTCGCGGCCCCTGAAAGGAGAACTTAATGCAAAAGTTGCAACTTACAGCACCCCAGACATCACTCATACGCAAAGTTATCCCCTTATACCCCAATCCCTTTTGCAATAATGATGTCAAAAGTTCGTTCACTGAAAATTTTCGCCAGCAAAGGCGGCTGGGAAAATTTCATTAATTGCATCAGAGGAAAAAAAAAAATGAGAAAGGGCAGAAAGGGGAGGACATTTTTGCTTTGATTTATTAGTACCCGGTGCGCATTTAATTAGTAAACGTCAGCAGGGGTAAAAATGCAAAAGGACTCCTGTGCTCCTGCTTCCCTTCGGCACCTTCTTAGGCATTTTCATTTTCCGGCGGCACCGTGGAAATTCTTTGGCGCACATTCATCAACTTTCTGGATGGCGACACCAGCGCAACTGACAAGAATGACTTCGTAAACTTGTGTGTTGCAGAATAACTACGGAAATTTGTTGTGCAAAGTTACTCACTCTTGCAGTTTTTCGCACATTTCTTGCTCACTTTTTTCCCATTTTTATTTCTTGTTGTTAGCCCTTTTAATGGCGCCACACCGTCTGGCCTTCGCTGATGCGATTTAAATGGTCCTCGTTGGCCACCAGCGACGTCAGGAATGTCACACAGTTCGCATTTAAGGCCACCAAGGTGGCTTAATTTATCGTGGCCACTAGCTGGAAAGGCTGCTTGCCACAATGCCTGATTGCCGCCGCAAAATTAAATTGGTCTTTTTTGTTTTAATTCTGCATTTTTTTGCAAGCTCGTTGATTGCGAAAAGTTCCCAAGGCTGCATGCAGGATGATTTATCGGTTTCATCGATCGATAAGCTCATTGTTATCGCTTTGGCTTGTGGGAACTTTCGATAAAAAAATTGAATTACTTTTGCAAAATATTTAAATTGTCTTGAAAATTATATTTTTCGTTGAGTTTTTGTATTCCTTTGGGGGTTTCTTTTATTCATGATTATTATTCCATTTTTATTATGTTCTGCTTTCTATTTTTTATGGAAATATAAAAAGGTTTAGGGCCCTAAATTAAATCTAAACCAGAAGAAAAGCATTTAATTCTGAAAAATCATAGAACTCGGCATGTAGAGTCTATAAAAACTTTTAGCTTTTATTAGGTGACAAAAACAAATGGATGGCGTGTTTTTAGCACCTATTATGGCCTTGATAGGTCTCTGGGGTAATTAGAGCGTTAATTTCCGTGTACTATACACATGACTAGCCATTTTCGTGTCAGGGTTGCCCTGGGTTACCGCCTCCTGAACACACTTTATATCAATTTGCATCGTCCTTCGGCCCGACGTCCTTACGCACCACTTGCAGCCATTTGATACGCGTTTAGTTTAGTCAACCAAAAGCTAAATAAACTTTCATTTAACATGCTCGACAGCAATGAGGCGGAGCCACCCAACAACAACGGCGGCAACTTGAAAAATCAGAGCAACAGTCGGGAGGCTGCGTATCGAGGTGGAAGTGGATATGGGAGTGGCAGTGGCAGCGAGCAGCGCCAGCTGAATAAATTGAGCAACTGGAGCATGCATAATGAGGACAACAGCACCAGCACAGCACCGGCAGCACTGCTGACCAGCCAGCAGCAGCACCAGCAGCAGGCGAAATCCAGCTTCGAGCTCTACCAGGAGGCAGCCGACATATTGGGCCTGAGTTGCAGCCTCTGTGATAATTGCCGATGCCTGGACTGCCAGGTGAGTGTGAAGAAAAGATAAATAAATAGAATTGGGAAGCAAGCCAAGGAAACGTCTTAATATTTGTCTTATTTAGTAGAAGATTTTCTCAGAGACATTACCAAGTAATTACTTAAAAGATTTCCTGTATAAGACTTAAAGATTTAAATTAAATTAATTTTATGCAAACAGCAAGTCAAAGTAAACGCAAAGCCACTTTCTGTGAGGTTTTCCGTGTACTTTTAGGGGATTTCCCTTGGTTTCTGTTCGGTTTGCATCCCAACAGGGAATAACCTGTAGCCAATCAAGTGCTGTTCAATCCTGGAGCTCACACAACCATCCATTTTCTGGCTCATCCACAGAGCGGTTACTTTGACTGCGACGACGATGATGAGAGCTACTCGGAGCACTCGCTGATGGACGATGAGTACGAGTTCGAGTTTGACTGCACCGCCGAGGAGCTGCAAGCGGTGCTAACAGGCCGAGATAGGGAGCTGGAGCCTTGCTGTCAGCCCCTGGGGGCCAGACCCGGTTCCCATTTGCGCCACAATGGGGCTTCCCCGGACCCGGACACGTCACACACGCAGCCGGAATCTGTCGGACATCGGTTGGCCATCGATTTTGATTTAATTAACGCCACTTGCAGCCAAGTTCTGCAAAACTGTGAAACATTCAATGAATTGAGTCTGCTAGATGCCGCCGCCGCCGCCGGAGCCGAGCGTCCGTACACGTAAATCCAGGTAGGTGTCCGGTGGTATGCATGTGTAGTCCGTTTTTGGGGAATTTCGGGAATTTTGTTGGGGTGTTGCTGCTGCATGCATGACAAGCATATCCTTTTGGCAGGGGGATTTGCTTTCACCTGTCGCCGGTCAAAGCGCTGCGGAGAGCTACCCCCCCTTAAACCATATAGATCCTGTCCGAAATCCAGTGCGGACTCGAATGCAATAACAGTTTCTCATTCGTTTCCAGCCAGCGAGAGAGTGAAACTCAAATTGGGGTTTATGCAAAAATGAGCAAATTGCATTTTATTCTATGCGAAAGGATGCAGAGCCAGAAAGAACTAAAAAGAGGAACGATGGAGAGCTGCAGTGGACTATAAGTTACCGGGTGGGAAACTAGATTTAACTTTTTTGTGCGAAATTTAGTTATAAAAGAAATGTCTAATGAACTTTATGAGAGTACCATAGGATTTTAAAGAATAAATAAAAGTTTTATATAAAGATTTCGAGGATTGAAAACAATAGTATACTTATTTTTTAAGAAATTTATAAGCTTAGGGTTAATAGGAGGCTGTATCCCAAATTCTAGGGCTTTAGCTCTTATAGATCCTGAGTTCCAATAGGACCAGTGAGTCAGGGGGCGAAAACCTAACTGAGTACTTTTTGTATTTTTATTTTAAACTCTGAATAATATTATTTGTTCCTTATTTTATTATACCCTTCAAATACCAGGTATAAAAATAACGCTGAGTTGGCAAAAAGCTTAGCCAGCGAGGGTTTTGGTTGGCGGATTGGCGTTGCTTTGGTGGTTTTGGAACCGCAACAGTGGCCAAATGGCCTGGCACTTGGTCAGTTTATTGCATTTAGTCAAGTTTTCGTTGTTTGCATGGACGATTGTTGCCAACAAATGAAATTTCGAGGGCGGAAACAGAAGCTCAACGCTGGCAAATTTGATTTTCCTCTACACACACACAGAAACAGGAAAAGTGGGGAAATTTTTCCATATTTGGTGAGGGCTCAAAGCAATATGCAAAACATGCATTTCCGTTTGTTTTTCCCCCTCACTTTTTTTTTTTTTTTGTGGAATTAAACTTTTTCAGGGCAGCTCTCTCTTTTTTTAGCTGTATTATTTATTTATTTTTTTGCTCTCTTATTCAATTGAAATGCACGCCGCGGCGGCACAAAGAGCACAAAAGCCGAAAAAGGCGAAAACTATGAAAAATTCAGTGCCATCAAAATGGCAAACGGCAAAAGTGGCGAATGGGAAGCAAAGAACTTAAATCGAATTACATTTGCCAAATGAAATTTAAAGATCCTGCTAGCCAAGTGAGTAATGACTGCTACAAGCGGTGGCAATAAATAGGATGCTCCTCGTTCGCCAGCCGACATCCTCCATCCGCTGCTCTGGTTCCTGTTCCGTGCCCCTTTTTCCTGCCACAATAGCCATGCTCTACTGCTTCCATTGCTGGCATCCAAAGCCTACCGTCTAAGCCCCCGAGGCTTAATGTCTACAATGATGCAGAGAAAGAAAATATATAACCTTAAACTGAATATTTTTATTAAAAAGATTTTAATATTAATTTTTACTGTTAAATTTATCGATTTTCTTTATTAATTATTAATTTTAATCTCTTTTAAAGTCAAATTTCAATCATGATATCTAAAAAAAAAGACAAATATTCTGATACTTAAAAAAATATGTAATTAATTCCCAAACCCCTCTAAATATTTCTCTCTGTGTCTAAAAAAGCTGCGTGGTTTCCCTCTTAGTAAGTGTGTGTTTTGTGCTCGAACCATGTGGGTGTTGGCCAACTGCATTTACTCTTGTTTAACCTTCTCCCAGATGAAGGAGCAACACCCAAGCACCGCCAGGCAGCCAGCTGTTGGCCATTTGCCAGGCGCCCAGCGGATTCCGCTTGGCCAAAAGACAATGCACTAAATTGTATGGGAGCTCGTGTGTTCTCCCCAAAAAAACATGGTCTCACAAAGCCCACCCATCCCGAACCCATTCCTTTCCGCCTGACAGCTACTTATGCAATTTCTGCCCACGGCAAGTATGGTGAGTGCTTTATTGAAAAATCATTTTACCTTAGATTTCCCGACATGGCCAATTGGGTGCACACACTCCACACACACACACACACACACATGCAGGGGATACCCGCAGTTAGACAGAAGCGCCAGCCATAAAACCGAGCTTCAGCAAATTAAATTTTACGCAACGGCCACAGAAGTGGAAACATTTTGTGTGTTTTGCGAGGGTTTTTATTTTCAATTTACCAGTTGGACAGTGGTCTCAATTTCGTGGCAGAAAAAAAGGAACTAGAAAAAGTTACTGAGAACATGGCTCAATGACTGCACAGGGAAAAAAAGATATATGAGATTTAGAGACTAAATAAAATTGTTTAAAAAAATATCAATTCAATATTAATTATTTTGAAAGAAATTGATAATAGAATGTCTTATAAGTTACAAGAGTCGCCGAATTCGTACTTGAGAATTGTAAGTTAAATTTCTTTTTTCAGTTCTCCAAAAAAGCCTTATCATAAGTTGAAACGCAGAACTGTTTCTGAACATAAACTTTATATATATTTGCTGACATTAATCTTAACAGTATTTTTTCCTGTGTAGCCGCCTAAGTAACCTACTAAATTAATGGACCCTCCATCAGTACCAAAACTTTCAAGTTCGATGTGGTCTGCTATTGACAGTTTTCGCTGCTTAAGTGCTCCCAACCACGGTGCAATTGCGGATCCGAATCCGAATGCAATTGCCATTAGGGCGCCCCTAACCGCACCGCACCACGCCCACAGCCACGCCCCCGCTTAATGATGCTTGATTTAATTAATGCGGCATTACCTTACGTGGCCAAGTCCCCTTTGGGGCCTCCTCCCGGGTACCCTTGGTGACTGGGACTGGGATTGGAAATCGCAATGGCCGGATGGCAATTGGATATTGTGAACGGCTGCCGCGAAGGAGGAGTCGGAGTGGCAGGATGAACCACATTGCCATTTGCTGATGATGATAATTTATTGCCCCGAAGGGCTTACCAGGTCCCGCTCCGCTCCGTTCCTCTGACTCCTCTCCCTCCATATATGTATGTGGGGGGAAGCTCCTTGGAGGAAACGATTTCCGTTTTCGGGCTGGCCCCCCGGGCGTGGGCAAATATTTGCCATGGCTTTCTATTTCCCCAGCCTGGCCAAACAAATTGTTTACAATATTTATTGTTTGTTCGATGTTCTGCGGCCGTTGACAATGATGAAATGGCAACTTGGTCACCAGATGGAGGATGGCTAAGGGATCCGGAGGAAGACCCGCCCAGTCGGGGAAATCAGGGCTAAGAGAAAAGTGACCAGAAGGACACTCACTCTCTGACTCTGTCTGGGCAATCGGACGGCGTCAATGCTCATTTCCGTCGACATATTTTCATTTCCTTTCGACTTTTTGCTGGGCAGGCTTCGCTGGCTGTTTGTCCAAGGATTACCAGCAGCTGGCATTGGCACTCCTTCCGCTCCTTCGGCTCGCCCTTCGTCCTTCGTCCCAAGCCGCGTAAAATGTAATTCATTAAACTTTATTGTCCAACGTTTTCCACTCGCTCTCTTTCGCTGACCTCGCTTTGAGTTCGACTTCAGTTTAATTTGTTTTTTGGCGGCAGGAAAACCTCATTTATGGCCCATGTACACACAAAACTTTTTGCAAAAAAAAAAAATGTAAAATATACGAAATAAAAATAAAACAAAAACAAACGAACCAGCGCGAACGAACGGAACGCCGCCAAAATCATAATTAAAATTTTCAATAAAATCTCCGTGAGCAAACAGAACCCCATTCGCTCTGCTTGCTAATTATAAATTATAATTTTCCAGATCCTTTGTTGCCGAAAATTAATCTTAATGAAATTATTCAAACAAAACTTTTGTGCAATCGCTGGGACTGGCTTTGGGGTTCGGGCTTGGGTCTCACTTTCCCGCCCCGCCGGCAATTAATTTCGCTCAACATTCATGGACAAACGGAGGCACGTTTCGATAATGAAAGCCGCAAACGGCCACGCCCCCTCCTAAGGGGTCCCTCTGGCACGCCCCCCACTAATTGTGCTAACAACTTGATTCCAGCTGAGCAACTTTCCCCACTCGACGACGAGCGGGAGTCGCCCTCAAAAATGGTCTACACCACATAAAAGTCTCCTTCTCGCCTTGTTTTGCATGGCAAAAAAAGTTCAGTTTCGAGTGTGTGTGTGTGTGTGATGCCCCAAAATGTATGCTATCTAATTGTTAAAGCATCAAGCAAATGCCACAAATTTGAATGAGCTGTGCTTCTGCTCCTCGCTTTCCCCGATGAAAATCAGACACGGGCCCCTCTCCTACTGCAGTTTCATAAATTTGAATTTCAAATTTAATACACACACGCATGGATCTGAGGCGGAAAATGGCCTCAGATACGACTCCCAGATACCTTAAATTAGAATTTAAAAAACAAATGTGGTTTTGGGGGTATACCTTCAGGTTCCATGAATCCCAGATATTCCGCCTGACAGCCTGACAGCTGGAATGATATCTCAGGCAGCCTGTTGCTGACAATCAAGGTAAATGAAAACTGAGTGTGGGAATAGGTTCGAAGGAAAGATATATATCTTAAGAAAATTATATCAAAATAGCTAAGGGTATGGTTAGGTGAGATTCAAGATTTATTTAAGAACTTTTGATGCTAGTACAAAGTGTCTAATTGTGAGAAAATATTATTAATTTAAAGACAAGTCAAGAGGCTTTCAAATGGAACAAAGTCCAAAGCACACCAAGAGTCTCTGCAGTTAAATTCTCTATGAGGAAACTAATCCTTTCAAATCTAGTTTAAAGCTTAAAGTTTACTTTCTCAATATTTGTAATAATAACTCTCAGCAGCTGTACAGACCGAGCATACCCTCCTTTCCCACTTTAATTACACAGTATGTTGCAAAGCAAAGTTTTCTCTCGATGCTGGGAAAGTTGAAAACTTCTATCCCTATGCAAATTGATTTGTGTCGTGTGTTTCTGCTACAATCTCCAATTCCCGCCGCCGCCACCTTGTGCGTGTGGGCGCTGTGTCCTTGCTAGTCATATGTATTTATTTGATTAAGGTCCTGTACGGCTGGCATTTGGAGTTTACATTGTAAACTCGGAGCCAACACAGAACTATTAACGAGACATCGTCGGGGATAAATTAATTAAAATGTCAACGTGAATTTATCTTTCGCACAAGTTGACAAAAGTTTCATTTTCCCAAAGGACGAGGGATGTCTTAAAGGCGCCAAGCAGGCATAATTTAAGTCCAAAGCGAAGGGCGGGATCTATGAATTTTTTATGAGCCCAGGAGGGAAGACATAAAAATTAAAATAAATGCTGTGCCGGATTTTGTATGCGAAACCTAGCATAAATATGCATATTTCCATCTTGTATTTACTTTTTTTCCTGTCTTATTTTCTATTTAAACAGATAACGAGAGAAGGCAACGAAAGGAGGAGGAGGAACAGGAGGCCCAATCAGCCATCGGACACTGCGGCTAATTAAAGTTTAACATTCCGGCGAAGCCCATTAATTGCAAGTGACACCTTCGGACAGCGGCTGCCACACCGCTCTCGCCCCGGGGTGTATTTGCTTTTCATTTATCTTTCTGATTTGATTTCAATTAAGTTCCGATACAAATAGTATAAATCGAAGGACATGCTTTCGCTGCCATATATCCTATATACAAATATGCAATCTACACTCCTCTGAACACACAGACACTCCCTTGGACGTTATGCAAACTCAAGTGGGGCACGTGACGAAATAAATAAATTAATTGCGAATTGTAATTTTCCAATCGAGGCGGCGGAAATTCAATTGCTGGCTGGAAAATCTGAAACATTTTCAGTGATTATTATCAGTAAATATGATGCCACACACATGCAGAAACAATGTAAAACAATTGTGCCAATTTCATATTCATATTGGAATGAATTGCAAACCAAATAACAAAAAAGGGAAAACGAAAAGCAAAGGGGGATTATTTAGCCCGTAATCTGACAAACGAAACAAAATAAAACAAAATGGAGCCGAAAACTATTTGCAAATTCCATAAAATATTTATCTCTATGTAAAGGTTCGGTGTTGGTAGCGCTTAAGTATTTAAGAATTTTCGTGTGATGCTTTTCATTCGTTCGATTGATTTCAAATCAAAAAGAAACATTGGAAATATATACATATATGGATTTGTGTTGGAAAATCAACTCGGGGGCAATGTCTTTCTGGGTCAGGGGTCGCCGTTTTGACGGGTCGTGTGTGTGTGCAAGCCACACAAGCCAACGGGGCCATTAGCTTCAATTAGCAGCTAACAACTGAGTGACGGCCAGAATCCGGAGATAACAGCCAGCCTACCCGCCGACGCTACAGATATAAAGTGCAATCTCGGCGAGATAACTGGGTCTGCACAATCTGTAATTTGGCCCATTTGGTAAGTGGCTCCCAGTTGGCCCAGTTCGCATTGCGTCGCCACCGAAAAATTACGAATTGCAAGGGATATCGCTACGGCCGGAGAGACAAAGGCGCCAACGAAAAGGCCATCAGCACATTGCCAGCTTAAAATGTAATCAAAGTTTGGGCCACAGACCTCGTATCTTATCGGATTGACATGTGCCCGAGGCTTTAGAGTGAATCACAGTGCCCGATTTTGGAGAAAACAACGCATCCACCCAAGGAATGGATAATCTCGGGACCGTACTCCTGGTTCTCTGCGTCCTCAGCTTCCTGCTCTTCCTGCTGCGAGTGAGTGTTCCCAGACCCAGCTTGCTCCAAACCCAACTATCAGGCCTTGCCTTACAGGTGCTGCTGATTACCTGCCGCTCCTACGCGACGTCGCAGCGCCTCAAGGAGGAGCCAGGTGAGTCAGGTGAGCGAGGGTAGCGGGAGGGCCTCTCATCCCGATGAGAGCAAACATAAATATTTGCCCTAGTTGGGCCACTGAACTCGTTCTTGGGACGCAAAAGAGAACGAGAGCCGTTCTTTGGTCGCCATAAATCATGGACGACATTAATATGTATTTATGTGTATGTGCTCTGATATATATCTATTTGCGAACATTTATCATATCGCCGCCGCCTCATTAGATAAATTGCGAATGCGAACGCTAACAAAAAAGCAAAGCCCTGGCTCGGCACTGGTTTTGTCACCTTATCAGCTAATGATTACAAAGCAAATATGTGTCGTTATTGGTGTCTGACCCACGCCCCGATGAGGGCCATCAATGCGGTGGCCAGTAGCTCGGGTTAGTTGGGTTCGACGGTTCGCCAAAGTCGAAGCAAGTTTCACCTTTTTGTTTTTCTTCAGACCGAAACTCTGAATCATAATTTAGAGTGGAAAAATCCCCTAACTAAAGTCCCTTAACATGGCACCTGCCACAAACGCAACGACGGGCAGTGAGGCTTGGAATACAACGACCACTGCTCCATGGAATAACACGACTTATGCAGCATGGAATTTCACGACCACCACTCCCTACCCCGTCTTCCTTCCAGATGAAGGGGGAGTCTACTATTGGTCCTGGTACTCGGGCTATGTTCTCTATGTTCTGTTGATCCTCATGTTTATCGTTGCCCTGCCATTGGCTGCTGTCATGGTAAGCCCATACCGGAAACCGGAAACGTCCTTCGTTCGCTAATGATTTCACCATTCGTTCTCAACCACAAAGGCCGCCAAACGCAAGCGGGAGGCAGCTGCCAGGAGTCTCGCCCTGCAGAGACAACGAGGTAATTTCCCCTTTTTGCTAAGACTCGTCAAGAGTTTTGTACTTTTAATTGAGGGACCAGACCGCATCTAGACTAAATAACCTGCTTGAGGGCTTCGAGGAAACCGAAGTTAATCAGTCCCAAGTAGAGGTAGTAGCAGTTGAGCTTGAACAGTTCCCAGCGCTCGCGCAACCGCAGCCACAGGATTCGAGAAGAACCGGTGGCGGCCTGTTGGACTCGCTGCTCGGCGTAAGAGGATTGCACACAGCACTTGGACATGACCCAGAAGGCCGTCATCCGGTTTTGGGTCCGCAACGTTGACTCAATGCCGCGAATCAAGTCGTTTGTCTTCAGAATGAGCAGCATTTGGCGGTCCACCTGCTCGAGGACATCCGAAATGTGCGGCAGCACCAGTGAAGTGTTGTTCTGCAGTGTGTTTTTCTGCAAAATTGAAGTTTATAATTGAGAAAAGCTTTGCTCAAAAGGAAAAAGTATGTGACGCACCTCTTCTTTGGAATATTTGACTTTGGTGAGGCCCTGCATCACCGTCTCCCACGGCCGACCCGTCACCATGCATGCAAACAGGCCATAAAGGTCACCCTGGAAATATCAAAAGAACTTGTAAAATATTTTTTTTAAGTTTATATATTCCTAAACATACCTTAATGCCCAGCTGCTCGCTGTGCAGCCGCATGGCCTTACGATCCACGTTCAGGATACTCAGCCAGAGATTGGAGTAATCGTAACGGAACTTGTCCGTCAGATTGGCATAGAGTCCGTGATCCAGTAGGACAATCTCCAAGCTGTCCTTCGGCGTGCGTCGCACCAGAATGTTGCCCGGATGCGGATCGCTGTGCACAAAGCCGGTGCGGAAGATCATCTCGGAGTACAGCTGACCAATGCGATTGGCCACCGCAAAGGTGTCGATTTTGTTCGCCCGGATGTAGTCCAGGTCCGTGACATGACCACCCTCCAGATACTCCATGACTAGAACACGTGAGGAGCTGAATTTCCAATAGATCTTGGGCACCCGCAGCCACGTGTACTTCTCGAACTGCTTGGCCACCTTCTCCGCGTTGCGTCCCTCGTTGAGAAAGTCCAGTTCGATGGGCAGGTTCTTCTTGGACTCCTCCACCAGCCAGTGGATCTTGAAGTCGGGAAATATCCGCGCCAGCACATTGACAGCCAGTTCCATGGTCTTCATGTCCACCCGAGAGTTGCCCTTGACGTAGGGATGTTGGACTTTGACGGCCACCACCTCGCCGCTCTTGAGCCGCGCCTTGTGCACCTGGGCTAGTGAGGCGGTGCCCAGGGGCTCCCGCTCAAAGCTTTCAAAGATGTCCTCGGGGTTGCAGCGCAAATCCTGACGTATCACCTTGTAAAGGTCCTCGATGGGGTTCTGCGGCGCATCAGAGTGCAGGATCTTCATTGTCTGCACAAACTCCTTGGGGAGCAGGTACTCCAAGGCACCGATGTGCTGGCCCACCTTGATGTAGACACCCTTGTTGGTGCAGATCAGCTCGAGCAGCTTTTCCGCCGCGATCTTGTGAACCCGACTCTTCTCCGCCTTGTACTCCGGCGTTGTCTTGTCCCATTCTCTGTAGTAGAGTTCCCGCTTGTAGGTGAGTGCCACGTCCACGACGGCAGCGGCGGACCGCGAGAGCCGCACAATGCCCAGGGAGTTGGGATCATAGTCATTTGTGTGGAGGCTCCAGCCAGCGGAGGCGACACCGGCGCCCAAGACGCCGTAGCCCAGCAGGCGTCGCAGCATCTCCTGGAAAAACACAGAGCGTTCCACCGATTAGTCACTCATTCAAGCGGGCAAAATCAACAGGTGTCAATGTCAATTAACCTTTTGAAGCTTTCACTTTTGATTATTGCGCCAAAGTTCCCCCTAACTTTTGATCTTTGAACTTTGCCTTGGCAACTGAGTTGGCTTTGTTTTTAGCCAAATCGAAGCAACTAAACGTGTTGCACATTCCCAATCGTTTTCATTCAGATTTTCCCCATCGACAAGCGCCTCATGCAGCTCAACTTTCACCTCGACTTTGGGCCCGCGCCGCCATTATGTAAACACTGAATGAAGGTGAGGCGCTGGCTCACCTGCAGTACCTGCCCATAGTTTCACTTACTCGATTCCGTGCGCTGAACGTTGGCGCCGCGTGTTGGACGGCGCGAAGGTGCGGTAATAAACAAAGTCTGTGATTAAATTCAAGCGCACTTTAGCTTTCTGCAGACAGCTGTTCGGCTGACGTCACAGAGACCCCGTCAGCTGGCCTTAAAAGCGATGTTGGCGATTAACGATAACAATGTTATCGCTCAACAGAGCAAAGTTCGCGGGCTTGTTATTATTATTATCGCTATTCAAAACTCTCTCCAATCAAAAATTCCCTATATTTCTTTTCTAAATTACAACTGAAAATCCTTTCCCACAGCTCGTCGCCAAATGGAGATCAATGTGACAAGCAACTGCACCGGTGGTGGCTCCTCCGGCGGAGTCAGCAACGTGTGCCTAAATACCCAGGACGAGATCAGTGTGCTGCCCAAGACCTTGGATCTTCCACCCAGCTACGATGAGGCAGCTTTCAGCGAACAAAAGCAGGGCAGCACCCTGACCATAGCCACCACCTTGGAGGCCAGCAACCCAAATCTGGCGGTCGGGATCAACGAGCCGCCGCCAGTCTATGAGGCAAACATGGCCACTAGCACAACCACGACCACCACCACCACCACGTTCTTGGTCAATGGCCATCCACCGGTGATGTAACTCAGTATAGCGAGTCGAGGAATACAACAAAAATAATTAGTTTATTCATTAAGAAAAAGTGTACAGTTCAGTTTATGTATGTATTTAAACTTTGCGCTTAAGAGAACCGATTGAGGAGCTCAGGACCAACATAAAAACTTCTTCAAAACATTAAATAAAAGGTTAACCGAACCATTCTGAGGTTCTGGAAGCAACGATAACGATTTTTCGTATACAAAAGGACTATGATTAAGTAGATATTATAAGCATTGTGATAATGAAAATCGACTCAGAAGTGGAGGATTTGATCGAGAGATGGTCCCCTGCGTCCATAGGGATCTTTGGGCAGCATGAATACATCATCGCACCAAGTGTATCCAATTACACGAGTCTCCACGATCATCCTGAAGGCAGGACTCTCGTTAATCAGGTCTCGGTAGTTGTCATTGGAGACCACGGCCGCATTTCTCTCGTAGGCAAGCTGCAAAATAAAAGTGAAATCGGGGATTATTTAGCAGTGTGCTTTAGTTATAGTAATCATTACTCACCGATCATCATAGCTGACTGATTTATGACCATAAAAGTTCTTGCATGGCGTAAACCATATCTTTCCCCCCTTGTACAGCTGGTCAAGGAGCTGGGGATTGCTCGATTGGAAGGCGTTGCGACGAAACAATGGCACCACTGCCCTGACATCGTGTCCCATTCTGCTAAAATATTGCAGACAATACTGGAGGCCCTCCGAGGAGAAACAAGTGCTTCTGCCATGACTGCAGGGGGAAGATTTTTAGTTTAATTTACAAAAATCTTTAGACAATCGAGAACACTTACGCAAAGGCCACATTGCTGCCATCAATTATAATATTACGCTTGTTCCAGTTTGGATGGCCGATTGTCTCCACAGGTTTGTCCGATTTTCCTGTGGGATTGAATATGTTGCTGTTGTATTTCCTCACTTGTTTCTTTTCCGCCGTGGAGAAACGGAAGTCTTTCATTCCCGCTGTGTCGGTCTTACGATTTCCTTTGTCTTTTTGCATGGTAACTATCTCTCCCCCAATAGAGTCCTTCAGAGGAATCACCGAATCACAGTTGTTTTCGATGGTTAGCGAAGCCTCAAAGCCTTTCTCTGTTGAAATTGGTTTAGTATCTGGCTGGCTTTTGTCCCCATCATTGTTTATAGGGACGTTCGGAGGCTCTAGCAGCACGCAGTCATCGTTGATTATTTCCCCCTCTTCAATATCCTCATTGTTCCCTGTCATTTCCTAAATTTAAAGTGTATTATGTTATAAATAATTAATAAATAATAATTGGATGGTTCACCTGGTTGGTTGCGGTTTGCGGTGTGAAGATTTTGGGCGGCAGCTCAAGGTTCTTGGTGGGGGAATTCCTAAGGAATTCCAACTTACGCTGAACCTGAGGATTCTTTTGAACTTTGTACTGTTTCAGTTCTTGGTTTTCCAGTGGCTTTGGAACTATTTCGGCATCCTCTGTATTTATCTCCAGTTGCTTTGGAACTATATCAATCTGTAGTGGCTTTGGAACTATCTCAATCTTTTCTGTGGTTTGGAGTTTTTCAGTTTTTCCCTCAATTTTTTGAGGGGTTTTCTTCACTATCTGGTTTTTTTCCATTGGCTTAAAAGGTAACTCTAGTTTATCTATTTTGTTCTCATTTTCCTTATTTTCCGAATCCTCCTGGGATTCCTTGAATCCGTTTGTCACTTCAATTTTCTTGGCACTTCGCTGGCAAGCCTTAAAAAATTCCTCATTTTCATCCCCACCCAGGTTTAGGGAGACGAACGAGATATCCATAAGGTTGACATCTTCCTCAGTCTTGGAATCCGGCTGGGAACCCTTGTTCAGTTTCGGCGTTTCAAATGTTTCGGTAACCCTCACGAGTTCTTTCTCACAAAGTCCCGCAACATCGTCAGACTTCTTGACTTTCAGCCTTGCAAATTTCTCGGCAAGGCGATGGCAATTCTCCAGAAGATCTTCGTCATCGCTGACGAGTTCATCTGCCATGCGATGGAATTTCTCAAAGAGTATCGCATCATCGACTTGTTTGGTTTTCTAAAGTAGAAATACAAATGAATAAAATATAAACGAACCTCGAGAATAGTATTACCTTTACGGGCGAGTCATCCCCAAAACACAATCTGAGATTTTTCTGGCATTTTAACTTATTCTTAAGAGTGTTGAGCATGTTTATCAAACCATCAAGATCCAGTTTAAAATTACGCAGTGGCTTGCCCAGTCTTTTGCGTAATTTCTAAGGAAAAACTTGTGTAAAAAATTATATATTTAAACGTTGGTGTCCTTACCTTCGGTTTACGCTGGATCAATGAAGGTCCGGCCATTGTCCTGTTGTGCTTTGAGTTCGGGGCGTTCTGAAAATACACATTTAACTAAAGTATTTTACCTACTAAATAGGGAAAAAACTGCTCTGACTCTGTATTATGGCTTTTAAATAATTTTTTTAATAATTTGTATATAAAATAATCAACTACTTAGAATAAACTAATAGCCTGGGAATCCTTGTTGGATAATCTATCCGGCATGATTTTTATAAATCGAAATTTTATGATATTCATCAGTAATAATAAAACTTGGCAAAAAAGAGCATGAAGCTCTTTTAATTAAGAGATGAGTGTTATTTTGAGTGAAAAATAGAACTAAAAAATAATCATTATTTCAGATTTTTATACCCTTGCAGGGTATTATAATTTCAGTCAGAAGTTTGCAACGCAGTGAAGGAGACGTTTCCGACCCCATAAATAATATATATTCTTGATCAGCACCAACAGGGGAATCTTTCTAGACATGTCCGGAAGAAATCGATTTTTTGGCCATTTTTGAGAAATTGAATAAGGGGTTACATCATTAAAATTTTTGATTTTGATAAAAAATTGAATTTTCAAAATTTTTAAATGAAGTATGCAAAATTATTAACTGTAGAAAATCTTGCACAGAACAGTTTACCGATTTAAATTTAATGCTCTTTTGGCCGAGTTATGATATTTTTAATTTTAGAAAAAATCAAGAAGTTTTTCAATATAAAAAATCAGATTTTATAATACAAAATAATATTTTTCTAAGTGAAGGAATCATTTCCGACCCCATAAACCATATATATTCTTGATCAGCATCAACGGGAATCTTTCTAGATATGTCAGGAAGAAATCTATTTTTTGGCCATTTTTGCGAAATTTGATAAGGGGTTACATCATTAAAATTTGCAGAAATGCCCAAAAATTTTGATTTCTTAAAATTTTAAATTTGGTATGCAGTTTTTTTAAATTAATAAAAACTAACACAAAACTGCTTTCCGAATCGAAATTAATGCATTTTTGGCTTAGTTATGATATATTTTAATTGCTACCTGCAAGGGTATACAAATATAATGACTATGTGATGATTTTAATAATTTTTTAATCTAAAAATAATAATTATATTTGATGTTTTATAATATTACGCATTTTTAATAATTATTAATGATAAAAAGCATATTTTTAAAATAAAACGTATAATTTCAGAGATCTAAATAAAACACGAAAAATTCAAACAAAGTGTTTATGCATTAGGTTTTTTTTTTATTTACTAACATATTTAACATTAAGACTATTTAACCAAAGTTTGTACGAATCTTAAGTATATTTTTCCATGAAAACTCGCTATGTACACTTTGTGGTGCTTAAGTAAATATGTGATGACCAGAAATCAACTTATGAGCTGTGTGCTTAAATTTGCCCTACTTCATGGCAACACTAAGACATTTTTACATAAATAAGAAAGTTACTGCTAAGTGAGCTAGCATCGCAGAATTTCATCCAGAGTGGGTCCCCAGCGACCGTAGGGATCCTTGGGCAGAATGAATATGTTGTCGCACCATGTGTAGCCCAGGACTCGAGTCTCCACAATCTTCTTGAAGGCAGGACTCTCGTCAATCAGGTCTCGGTAGTTGTCGTTGGACACGACGGCAGCATTCCACTCGTAGGCAAGCTGCAAAATGAACCTGGAAAAGGAATGCATCATGAGTACTTTTCCGAATGAATAAAACCTAAAATATCTCACCGATCATCATAGCTGATGGATTTCTGGCCGGGAATGTTTTTGCAAGGAGTAAAAACTATCTTTCCCTCCTTTTGCAGCTGATCGAGGAGCTCGGGATTCGAGGACTTGAAGGCGTTGCGACGAAACGATGGCATCACAGCCTTGGCATTGTGTCCCATTTTGTCGAAATACTGCAGGCAGTACTTGATGCCCTCCGAGGAGAACACGTTTGAATTGCCATGACTGCGGAATATTTCATTAATTAATTTTAGTTTTAATTAAAAATCAAGTTGGAGGAATAATAAAAGACACTTACGCAAAGGCAACATTGCTGCCGTCGATGATAATGGAACGCTTAGTGGACTTGGGCTTGTCGCCTGCCTGCCCGGGCTCGTCCGTCTCCTCAGTAGGATTGAACGTGTTGCTGTTGTAGTCTCCAACTTTTTTCTTTTCTGCCGAGGTAAACTGGCTAATGTTCATACGTCCACTTTGCTTTTTCTTAGGCTTTGCCGACTTTTTGGGGGTTTTCTGCTGCTTTTTCGTTACGTTTTTCGGCAACGGATTCAGCAAGGGAATGTAATCCTCTCCCCCAATAGAGTCCTCCAATAGGATCACCGAATCATCGTGGTTTTCGATGGGCATTGGCATTACGGCAGCTGGCATTGATTCGGGACTTCCAAGCAAGTCGATGCAGGAGATGTCCGCCGGTGAAGTCGTCTTGGTTAGGGGGGAGTACAACAACTTATTATCCGACTTTGGTGTTACAAGCAGTGCCACCTCGCGGCGGGAATCTGTGACTATCTTCGGCTTGGTCATTATTTCGGCACGGCGCTGGCAGGCCTCAAAGAATTTCTCACTGGAAAATGGTTCAGTATCTGTATTGCTTTCGTCCCCATCAATGCTTATAGGGACGTTCGGAGGCTCCAGCAGCACGCAGTCATCGTCGTCACTGGTTTCGATTATTTCGCCCTCTTCAATATCCTCAATGTTCCTTGTAATTTTCTAAATTTAAAATTTTTGAATTTATTATTAATTAATAACAATATTTTATATTTTCTGGCTGGTTCACCTTTCGCGGTTTGAAGATTTTGGATCTAGGCAGCTTAAGGTTCTTGGTGGGGGAATTCCTAAGAAATTCCAACTTACGCTGAACCTGAGGATTCTTTTGAACTTTGTACTTCTTTTTAATTGAACTCATAAGCTTTGTCATGCTCTTGCGATTGAGTTTCTTGTTGGTGTTCTGCAATCTCTTTGGTAAGTTCTAAGTGGTCAGGAAACGCAGGATTAGATTGATCCTTGAGTTGCAATTACATACCTTCGGTAGGTGGTCTTTGAACTTCTTGAACTCAGTTTTGGATGGTCCAGCTGCTTCATCGCTATTTTTTGAGGTTTTCGTATTTTGTTGTGCCCCTGCCTACATGTTTTGGGAAAATAAGATGGAATTTTCGGTTAGTCAGTCGGCAGTGAAAGGCATTTTCCTTTTCTACTTACTGCGGCCTAGAGTTTCATCTAGTTTTGGGGTTTTTATAGTGCTATATAGTGCGGTTTGAATAAAACTACAGGGTTCTTTTTTGTTACATTCATTTACATCAACTTTATTGTGAGCTGGAGAGTCTCTACAGGGCTTACGTATATATGTCTAAGCGTACACACTAACTAGGAAATCGTTTTTGATTCTGACCTAACTTAAGAGTTAAACTAAATAGATGCATGGCCCAGAGAAGACAGGTCATGCAGCCATGCAGCCAAACGAGGTAAAACGGCCCGTAAGTACACAACTCAATTGCAGTAAACAAAGCAGCCCCGTCGCATGCCCATCCTTCCAACTCCTGGCAGAGGGCCTAGTAGTGCCTACTGCTGCTTTAGCTCGCGGATCTCGCTGCGTATATTGGTGCGGGCCAGCTCCTCGTACTTGTCGTGGTACTCGCCAGTGGCATAGATGGAGGGAATCATCAGCAGGGTCTCCAGCACCTTGATGCGCATGGCCTTGTATGTGGCATCATCCAGATTGGCGTACTCTGACCGCAGCAGTGTGGTGTAGTGCTTGTACTCTTCCGGAGAGGAACTTGAGTCGAAAGGTGGGTATGAGTGCGCGAGGGAGGAATGGGTTGGGCCATGATACTCACGCAAGCACCACCAAGTCCACATCCTGCAGCAAATTGGCCTCGTCGTCATGGCACCAGGTTAATTGGTTCTCTGGAGTCTTGCGCCCCAGCAGATTGCACACCAGACTCTTAGCGCGGTCCTATTTGGAGGTGGGTTGGAACAAATACACCGTACAGACAGCGGTAGGGGGGATTGTTGCCGAGCATTACTCACATCCTCGATGACGGCATCGTGACAGAACTCCTCGAACACCTCGATGTTCTCCTCCGAGCAGCTGCGGTTGCCATCGAAGTGATAGTACTGGAAGAAGGCCGCCAGAACAATGTTGGGATTGGCGCATCCTGCCAGATGGGGCTCCTTGCGCTGCATCATCTCCTGCCAGTTGTGGTAGGCGCGCGATGGGCTATCGGAGCTTAGGTGCTCCTGGATACGGGCAAACCACTCCTTGGCCACCTGTTCGGGCACATCGTGGTGGTCGCACACTTTCTTCCAGATCTTCTCCATGCTAGGTGGGTTTTATGTAGCTATTGCTTTGGCCTCTGGGAATCGTTGGATCCAACAAACACGGCTCAGTTTCGGCGGTTGTCTGGTGTTTCTCGAACTTTTCACTTTTCACTGGGAATGTTGGGGATTGGGCCCTGGCGACTGCGCACTACGCCGAGGTGCCCAAAACCCTTCTTGCCACACGCGGGAAAACGGATACTGCGCATTGCAACGGTGTCAACTCCGGAGCGTCAACAAAATATCATATTTTCTGGAATATAAACAAAGTACTCACCGAAAGTTTTTCTTTCTGAGGAGACCCGCCAGCCAGACTGAGCAAAATTTTCGAAGCCTCATTGGAGGAAGCACCGCCTACGTGCCACTGACTATTCCTCTGCAGCGCTTTAAGGGCCTTCATGGCCTTCATCTTCCTGAGCTTGCCTTTGCCCATTTTGGGGCCTGAAAGTTAAGATAATCGCTATAAACTTTTAATTTCGTTGGAAGCAACAGCTGGTGCGTGCTTAGAGGTGCCGATAACATCAATACATCGGTATTTTGACTATCGATGTTTTGGTGCCATCACTAGAGCTGGCAAAAATCGATGTTTTCTACTATCGATACGATTAATATCCTAACAATCCCCTTTTTTTGATGCCCCTGACAACCCTGTTTTGCATTGAACGAAAACAAATTTTGCCAAAAACCATAAACAAAACCCGTGAGTGAAAAAAATGGAGCTACTTTAGGGGATCCTCACTTACACGGAATCGGACTACATCATGCCCCTCTGCGTGCTCTGCCTGGTTTCCTCCGATGGCGGCTACCCGCTTCTATCCGCCGAGGGCGTCCGGCTAAACATTAAGGGGACCATCAACAAACACTTTTCGTTTTTCGAGGTAAGCTGCGCGACATAATCGCAGGTTATTGATATTATAGACTCTGCTATTTCTCTCCTGCAGGTGATCACTGCCGGCGGTGATGGGGCGGTCTGTCGGGAGTGCTGGCAGTGCGTCAGCATCTTCGATGAGTTCCACCAGCGGGTCTCCAGGCTGCACCAACAGCCAGGCGCCGGATGCGACTCCAAAAGCGTGGCCATCGAGTTCTGCGCCGAGACGGAAGAGGCCATCAATCCTCTGTTTGCCGTCGAACTAGATGCCCTGGCCGAGGGCTTCTTCGCCCCCAATGAAGTGAAGGTGGAGGTCAACGAGCTGGAACCTCTGCCCAAAATGGAGCTCCTCGAGGATCCAGTCAATACGGAAAGGAAACCCGCCGCCACCAAGCGACTGGGTTCCCAAGGCGAAGGTCTGTCGCAGCCCAAGCGTCGCATTAAAAACGAAAAAATGGTAGACAGTGATTCGGATGTGCCTCTGGCAAAGTTCATCAGCGCAGAGATTAAGGCCGGCGCCAATGGACCAGCAAAGAACAACGAACAGGGCAAGGGACAACCGCTGCGAAGGAGCACTAGACGTGGTCGGCCACCAAAGGTCAAACCAGAGGATCTTGCGTCTCCCAAAAAGGAACTTGAGTCGGATGATGATGACCACGGGGCTAATGACAACGACAGGGAATTCGTGGCCGCAGAAGCCGTCTTGGGTACTGACGACAGCTCGAGTTCCTCAAGCGAAAGCAGTGACGATGACTCGGACGACAGCTTGCCGGACTTTGAGCCGGTGGAGCGGTACGCCGAGATTCCCAAGCGCGTTGTTGTGAAGCCCAAAAAGTACCGGAAACGCGAGAAACCATTGATCCCACCCAACCGCATGAGTCGCGAGGAGATCGAGCAACGAAAGCAGCGGCAGGACGAGTACGATGATATTATCCTGCAGTTCTTCAAGAAGTTCCCCTGCCACATCTGTAACCTCCTCGTTCAGAACTTTTCGGACATGCGACGGCATCAGCGGGTTTCCCACGACATGGAATCGGGTTACATGCAGTGCTGCGGGAGAAAGTTCCACACACGCAAGAGTCTGGCGGAGCATGTGTTGGTCCATAAGAATCCGGAACACTTTATGTGCTCGCAATGCAGCCGGGTCTTCCAGGATTCCCGTGCCCTGGAGGTCCACGAGCAGACGCACGTGAACCCGGACGTGAAGCCAGAGCCCAAGGAGAAGCGGATGTGGCCGTGTGAGAAGTGCTCCAAGAGTTTTACCAGCAAGGCGGCCCTAGAGTATCACTTTATGTCCAAGCACGTACCCAAGTCCGAGTTCAAATACAGCTGTACAGAGTGTAACAAGAAGTAGGTAGACATGTCCTGCCCCCAAGGCCCAATCTAATCCCTTGCATTTTTCAGGATTCCCACGGAGCGCAAGCTGAGGGAGCACATGCGCTACATGCACGATCCGGAAACGGCCATCATTTGCGACAAATGCGGCAAGACGTTGCGTTCCCAAACGAATCTCAAGAAGCACCACGAACTGGAACATTCCGAGGAGCCACGTCCGAAGCCCGATCCCGTTCAGTGCGAGATCTGCGGCACCTGGCTGCGTCACCTGTCCGGGCTGAAGCAGCACATGAACACTGTGCACGAGCCACAGGGCAAAGAGCACCGCTGTCCCATATGCAACAAGCAGTCCACCAACTCCAGAGCCCTCAAGCGTCACATATACCACAACCATCAGTGTGAGCGCAAGTTCAAGTGCGGTATGTGCGAGAAGGCCTTCAAGCGGCCGCAGGATCTAAGAGTGAGTCACCCCCTCCCATTTTCCAAGATAGGGAGATTCATGGCCTCAAATTTACAGGAACACACGTCCACGCACACCGGCGAGGTGCTCTACACCTGCCCCAACTGTCCCATGACATTCTTTTCCAACGCCAACATGTACAAGCATCGCCAGCGGCTCCATCGTGCCGAATGGGAGGCGGACCGGAAGAAGCCGCTGCCGCCGAACATCATGAAGATATCGCAGGGCGCCACTACGGCGATGAAGAAGCGACAGTCCAGCAGCACCCTGTTCCCACAGTTGGAACAGAAGCAATAGCATTTGCACATTTACGACATCTATAGATAGTAGATAAATCGTCAACCATTATTATTAACTCGCACTTAACACAGATAAGTTAAGCCATAAATAAGTAGACGCGGACATATTTACATCGATTTATGAGGCTCGTAGCGTTCGTAGCTCGTATCTTATCTAGCCATCGTCCTGTGGTATCCGGATTTCCTCACACATCCCCTCCTCCCGGTGGATGCTAGCCCAGTGCTGCGAGAGCTCCCGGCTGATGGCCTTGCGAAAAACCATGCACGAGATGTGCGGCAGCTTCTCGAAGCGCACCCGCAACAGGCCAAGCTTGGCCAACGAATAGCGCCAGTTCTTCATGAGGTGGGCATTCTTGCCCACATGCTGCGAGTCGGGTGTGATGAGCACAAGGATGCCCTCGGGCAGGAGCAGGTCGTAGGCCTTCCGACAGCACTGCAGCCGCTGCTCGGCGCTGGGCATGTACTCCAGCAGCAGGCTAAAGATGACGCACTCGTAATGGTTCGCTGGTAGCCTTCTGACACTGCCCTCTTCCAGCTCGGGTTCCGCCACTCCAGGCACCACTTCAACTTTCAAGAAATCCGCCTGCAACACATCTTCGGTGGCGGGGCACAGATCCAGAGCCGTTACCTCCAGGTGCGGAGCACTGGCAAAGGGATTAAAGCAGCTGCCCACGTCCAACACCCGTAGCCTGTCCGGCGGCTCCTCCATTAGCTGACACCTCACCTCTCCCAACTGGCCCTCGCTCTTGTAGGATTCCAGGAGTCGCTGCTCCCGCTGCCGCTTCTGCAGGTAGATGCCCTCGGTGAAGAAGTACTTGGTAATGTAGTCAATGGCCCACTTGATGCGGCTGCGCGCCTGCAGCTCCAAATTCCCGTCGTTCGTCTCCCATATGGCCGCCAGTTGCCGCATGGCCTTGGCGTACTCCGCCAGACGCTTGGCATTTCTGGGACTCGTGTGCTCCTGCCAGGCCACCGTCGCCCCATGCTGTTTCGTCAGCTGGCGGAGGCTCTCGTGGCAGCTCTTGACGATGCCGGCCAGCCGCTGGTGCTCCTCCGTTGCCATTTCACGAGGTTTTGGATTTTGACTGGCCTGTTGGATTGTTTACTTCGGTTGAGAGCAGTGCTGCCAACTCTTCTAAAAATATTAAAAGGCTTCCGAAAAAATCTGGAAAATACCTGGCAACACTACTGGTCACACTGAGGCGCTTTTCAAATTTCGTTGCAACAAGGGCGCGGAAATTTCCGTTAAAAGAAAATTAGTTAAAATTTGGAATACCGAAAGTTAGAAACACTTCAAAACAAAAAATGACACTTTCAATTTAAACTTCAGAGATGCGACGGGTCACAAAGCCATTATCAGCCTCTGATTTCCGAATGATCCTCGGGTTGGGCGAGTCGTCGAACCAGGACATTACGTTGGCGCATAGAGCGAGGACATCCATGCAGGGATTGGTTGGAAACACTCGACCGAGGAACTCCATGAGCATGGGCTGCTTTCTTACCACATCACAGTACTCGTCATACGAAATGTTCGTGTCCTTGTCCAAGTCGAATTTAAGGAAGATCATTTCCTTCATGTCCTGCAGCCATAAATTCCTGAAACATAATTTATAGGTGTATATTCCGCCCATCTTACCAATAGCAGCTCCGTGGCCTCCTCTTCGTCCTCGCCCTCAAAGAATTTCTTAAGAAAGAACCCGACATCTTCGCCGTTTAACTGCAGTTTGTCTTGCTTGTCGTATATCTGCAGCGAATTATATTATAAATATAATTCAATTTAATGACAGATTAACGGTTTCTCACAGAGAAGGCAAACTCCATCTTTATCTCCAGGTCCCTGGTGAAATATATGGTTAAAAGCCTCACGAAGGACTCCAAGCTCACGTGCCTGTCGGGACAAAAATCGGGATGTGTCCCTGCAGAACCATGACTAATCCGATAGACAGTAGTAGTGCTTATGTTGCAATCAGTTATTTCAAAAAGATCCAGCATGAGAGTGGTAAGCTGCGAGATAATCATGAACTTGGCCTTTGGTCCATTGGCCAGGACCATCTTGTGGTACAGCATTACAATGCAAATTAGCTCGTTCGTCGTGAAAATGGAGTCCTTGCTCATCTGAACAATCTCGTTCGCATACAACCAATTGAAGCGGGCATTTTCAAGGGTATCTATGGTCTGATCCAGGTCTTTCATATTGCAGGGACTTTTTTACAAATTTTGGTGGTTTCCTTGTGTTAAAATAAAAAGAGTTTTGTAGTAAGTCTATAGAAATACTTATTACATCAGGTTAGACTTGGAGTGATGTGGCTTTTGAGTCAACTGTACCTAGACTAAAGCCCCCCCCCATCCAATTAAAACACTATTCCCAACTTTTTACACACTATGTATTTGTATTTATTTATCTAATGGGTTTCATTTTACCTTGCTCTCGCCGGGATTACGGCATTTATTAAGCTGAAGCAAGTGACAGGATATTACAGCGCTATACAACACACGTACGTACAGTAACTTATGATTATACGCGAGCTATAAAAGATGCTCGCTTCCGTATGTATGAACAAACATGTCCGAGCATGTTACCTACTATGTATAAATGGTAGTCAAGTTACAAAAAAAGCTTATAACTAAAAAAAAAGGAATACATAAAAATAATACAGTGGCCATATAGAATACTGACTGAGGAGGAGTAGTTTTGGGGAACTTATTCAGAGTCTGTGCTTGAGTATTTTGTTTTTTCTTTCTTTTTCGACGACACAACCGCGTTTTCAATTGATCTCTTGTTTGTCCGGAGCACTTAACCGATACAGATACAAATATATAATACTAGTTTTCTTTTTTAAAAATGCAATGTCTGTGAGTGAGTTCGTGAGGTGCGAAATGCACAAAAAACAACAGTCCATTTGTCGTGACGACAGGCGGCGGATGCGCCGCCCCCGTGTGGCAACTTGAGTGTGTGGTGTGTCTATGAGTATTCGTATTCGTATCCGGCTGTCCGAAAGTTCAAATGTCCGGATGAGCTACATTTCGCTAAACGTATTTCAAGCTAAATTTTAAAGTACTGTTTCTTCTTGATGTTTCCTCTAAATGCACTTACACTTCTAATTGCTGGCAATTCGTATTGTGTATGCATGCGGGAGCCCCTAATTGCAGGCGGCATTGAGCGCCAGCGCCCCCTCCGCACTAGTCGATGGCCCAGCCACGTCGTGAACATTGTTGTAGTCCGCTTTGGCATTGCATTTCGCCGCGCTAGGTTCCTGTATGCTTCCGTTGAGGCCGCTGCTTTTGAGGGAGTATATGCTCAAGCGCGCCTCGTGCTCCCGCCGCTGCTGGCGCAGCCGGATGTCGTGTTCCTCGCGCATGTGTCGCAGCTTCAGGTCCTGCTCCTGCCGGTAGTAGGCCATTTTAATCTCCTGCTCCATTTGCTCGAAGCGCAGCTTTTGCTCGTGCTCCCGCCGGGCATAGTCGATCTCGGCCAATCGGGCCTGTTTCAACAGTTTGAACAGGTCCTGCTTGTACTTTTGCTCCATCTCGGAGGTGCTGACAAGGTCGACGGGCTGGCTATTCGTATCGGCGGCTACTTGTGTGGCTCCCAGAGAGAACTGCTGGAGTGTGGTGATGGGAGCTACGCTGTTGGAGGCTTCATTCTCGTCGGACAGCACTGACTGGGCCTGCGAAAGCTGTGGGTGAAGGGAGATATACGAATATTTCATCTTCTATGAGAACTTTCCCCTAGTCCCCCTCCTACTTACATTTCTCTGTCGCCTTTTCCGCGGCGAGGCGGCTGCTGTCTTTTCGTTCTCCTCTCCCGTTTCGGCGGATGTTTCTGCTTTGGCGCCAGCCAACGGCGACGGCTTGGCCTTGGCCCGTTTGCGTCGCTGGGCAGGCTGTTGGGCGGCGGGAGTGCTCTCCTGCTGCGAGTCCGCATCCCCGCCAGCGGTGGACGGCGGCGGCGATGGGATGGCTATGGTGGACGTCTGCAGCGTGTCTTCGCTGGCGTTCGTGGAGTTGGGCAGAGCGGCCAGCGGCATGTCCTCGTCCTCGTCAATGTCCAGGAGCTCCTTCTTGATCGCTCCGTTCGTGTTGGCGCTGCGTGTCTGGCTGCGCGATGTGACAGGATCCTTCTGCATCTCCTCCATGAACTCGATCATGCGCATGCCCTCGAGGGCCTCCGCCTTGGGATGCTTTTGCTGGTGCTCCCGCTTGGCGGAGTTCTTCATGCTGCGCCACTGCACCTGGATCTGTTCCAGCAGTCTGTGGCGAAAGTTGAGCGCGTTGAACCTGAAGGGGAATGGGCATTAGATCCATGAAGGGCAGATAGTTGCGCCATGCCAACTTACTGTTTGGTGATCTGAGACCAGGCCAGTCTCTTGGCCTTTATGCTCTTGGCGTCAACGCTTCGATTCTCGACGAACGCCACCTTCGACTTGATGACCTCGAGGAGCAGGCCGCGCTCGGCCTCCTCCCAGTTGAGGGAGCGTTTCTTGCGCGTGCCCTTCTTTTTGCCGCCCGCGCCTTCCTTCTCGCCAGCGTCCTCGGCCGCATCCTCTGCATTCTCCGCCCCCTCGTCCGCGGTGGCGCTGCTCGACTTCTGTGGCTTAAGGTCGACCTTCTCGTCCTCGTCGTCGTCTTCCGGTGGCGAGGACGATCCTTTGGCTAGCAGCTCTTCCAGTTTCATTGTTTTTGTTTACAACTTGGCCTTACAATTGGTAGGATTCCAATTCGAACAAGCAGGCTTGCAAAAATCCTATTTGATTTCTGTATATACTGGAGTTGCAGTGTGGCCAAACGGAGCGAGCTTGCGGATACCAAATATTTTGACAAGCTCATTTTAGTATTTTTTATTGCGAATTTTCTCAAAACTCTGGCAGCACCAATGCTTACAAAAATATCGATCCGATTTCGTGTTTTTTAAGCGTTTCTGGCGTTTATCCAGCATAAAGAGCACTTCAGCAGAGGGTTCTGCACCAGAGTTAGGGTTTATAATCAGCGGAAAATGGCTGGAGGCGAGGAAAAATACTTAAACAATTTTAATAGTATGGCAAATCGAAATGTCAGCCCGATTCTTATCGATTTAAGTGTGACCATCAGGCAGTGACATCGAACTATCATACTTGGTATCACCTCTAACGAGTAAGTAGCAGGCCCAATTTTTCGTTTCATAAGATTATTTAACAATATTTTCCAACGAAACCAGCGAGATGGCTTTCGGTGACTATCCTGCTGAGTATAATCCCAAGGTGCACGGGCCCTACGACCCGGCCCGATTCTACGGCAAAGGTGAGCGCCTTTCGCGAAATTACGTAATTTTTAGCGCACCGTTTTTTGCGGCAGGCGCTTGGAGCACATTTACACTGGCCAGCAAATTAATGATTTACATAATTCTTCCGCAGCCGATGTGCCATTCGGACAGGTGAAGTTGGGAGAGCTGGGCGCCTGGCTGGGACGCCGCAACAAGAGCCCCAATGCCCTCGCTGGAGCCGTGAGCCGTGCCTGGTGGCGCTGGCAGCACAAGTACGTGTTCCCCAAGCGCGCTGGCATCGCTCCCTTCTTCCAGCTGACCGTCGCCAGCATGACGTTCTTCTATCTGATCAACTACACCAAGTTGAAGCACCACAGGAACTACAAGTACCACTAAGCGGCTCTCCGCTGGTGGCACCTCCTGCAACTCTACTCGATCTTGGTCCAGTTACAGACTTTCCACACGGCGTGCGAGAGGCGGGCGGGCGAACACCATACAACAATTACTATATTTGGCTTTTGTGTTTTAAAAACTGCTTAAGTGAATAAAACGGCTGCGGATATCTCTGCCCACACTCAATTGTTGTCGCACTCGAACACTGCATTAGGCCCGATGTCCAGCTCGGCATCATCATGCTCCCACCCAGTGGTGGGCTTGGCCGTGTGGATCTCGCAGATGAAGGGCAATTCCCGGTCGCAGCTCAGGGTTTGCCAAGTACCCTGGGACGTGAGAGCAACGCAGCTGGCATTGGCCTGCTCCTGACTGCAAATTAATGGGAAGTAGGGTCATAACTATAGACTTTTTGTAATGATACCCACCCGAGGCGAGGATGACCCGTATCCCAGGCTCTGTACAGAAAGCACTGCAGGCTTTCCTGATGAGAATTTCGGAAATCCATTGGACTGAGGGAAGTGGAGCGATTGTACGCCAGACCCACATAGGCCAGGAAGACATTTGGCTCTGGCTCTGGTCGGCCAAGTTGCTTCCTGTTGAACTGGAGCAGCCACTGGGCCAGGAAACTTGTTCTGGATTCCGAGGCAATATGGGCCAAGCTGCCAGTAAACTCGGTGGAATTGGAGCAGGTCAAGGAGGCATTCAGATAAGCAGCTGGTGTGGTATACACCACAAATAGACCGACTTCCGGCAGGCAGGTGTAGTTCCTAACCACTGGTCAATGGCACACACTTGGGTTACATTTTGTTTTAAGCTTTTCATTTGGAAGACCTACCTGTTGGCCTGCCATACAAGCTGTAATAATCAAAGCGACTGTCGTTGATCATCCCAGAAAAACTATGGTTTTGTGGACACTGGAGGACATGACAGTTGAAGAACTCTCCTGGCTGCTCGAAGGCTGTGAGTTGACTGCGCATATGCTTTTGCTTTTGGGTTTCATTTCTAAAAAACTTAAGATCAAATAGGTTATTATGCCTTTTTGGTCCCCCGGGAGCATAGTTAAAGGCCAGGCCACGCAGTTCTCGTGTAAGATTAGCGCACTCTTCCAGTGAAGAGGTGCTCTCCAAAGCAAGAGCATTATCCGCCGAGGCTCTTTGACACTGCCGCACCAGGTGGAACTGCAGAGGATGCGATTTTTCAGTGGGACAGTTTAGAGAACAGTTTGACAGGCCACTCAGGAGGCTCAAAGGTAGTAAAATTATAAAAGTATAATAAGATAAACTCATGTTGCTATAAAAAACTCCTCTGTTTTGGTGAATTTTCAAAGCCTAACTGATATGGGATGCTCTATTTCAGTTCTATATCCCATTGTAACCACTCATGCCAACCCTTATTTGTCACTCAAAAGTCACAAAAGTTATTTAGTTCAATTTGCTTTTATTGTTCAATGATTAATATTAACTTACGAGGTAAACTATAATTGAGCTTTTACAATATGAATTGAATTGCGTAATTGAACGGCTCCAGAGGAGCATTCCCAGGCGGAATGCTCGATTGAAGCTGTGCAAAGGCCTAGACTTACTACTTTGAGAACTGTTGCCAGATATTTGTTCTGTTTCTTTATCAAATATAAACTATATATAGTAAGTGGCTGATCGGGACGGCTGCTTTATGATAAGGGCTCCTGCCCGCGTCCAGATCGGAGTGCAGTTGGTTCAAGTAAAAACAATGACAAGAAAATATTCAGGAAATTCAACTAAGAGTGTCGGGGGACGTGTGCAGTTTTTGGACCTTTGGCAGTTAGGCATCCGATAAATTAATAAATTACGAATAAGAGTTAGACATTATGTAGATACGAGTACAAATATCACCTGAGCGTCGGCTGCTGCATTCGTTGTTAGTTCGAGTGATTAAATTAGAAGGAGGAGGACGAGAGGGGGTTGTAGAAACACGCTTACACTTACAGTGGAGTGTCTGAAGGAAGGGCGAGTCCAACACCGACTGTGCGGAACAGAGCTCCAAAGATAGAGCGTATCCTTGGTCGGAGCTCTGCGACATTAGCGGGCAATTGGAGACAATGGACCCTGGCCATTGCCCGGTAATCTCTGCACAACATTTTGTGAACTAAGACTAATTATTCTTAAGCTAGAGACAGCCGCTGGACGACTGACTGCTCCGCTCCAGCATCCGGCATCCTTAGAGACTAAGTGGCTCCCAATCCTATCAATCGTTGACTACCGCAGCGGCACCTGCGCGACCGAATTTCATCCTGGTGTAAACTTTCTGATTTTCAACACTTTGAGTGTTTTGATTTTGGAAACAATTTGAATTTTGAATTTCTGTTTTTGTTTGGACTCCTTAAAGCCGCTTAGCTGCTGTGCGAGAAGGCGGTGTTCGTGTAGGGTCCGCTGTAGATGGAGCTGCCCGAGTTGGACACCGTCTTGGTGCTGCGGCGGGCCATGATGCACAGCACGGCGGCGACCACGGCCAGCATCAGGATCAGGCCGGCGATGGCAATGGCTATGGCGAAGGTGCGCTGTGACACGCACAGAGCATCATCCAGGGTCTGGAAATTGTACAAATAAAGTAAATATAAGACATTTCTATGGTAATTTCAATCCAGCACTCACCTTCTCCTTGTACACCGCATCATCGTCGCTGTCGTTGGCATTTTCGTTCTCATTCACATACAGGCCAGAGAAGACCTCAATGGTGGCCGGCAGGCCGTCCTCCTCCTTGCTATCAACGGCAGTCTGGCGCTTTGGCCGCTTGCCGCTGCACAGAGGTGCCTCCTGGCAGGTGGGATCCTCCAGAGCGCACAGACGCACATTGCACTGGTAGTAGACGGAAGTCGTGTAAGGGAACTTGTGCGCCGGAAAGGTCACATTGGCGGCCAGGCGATCCTCGGTGTAGTTGAACTGACCCATAATTTCGTTGTCCATGGGACAGCTGTAAAAAATAAGGCTTTAAATACATGGAAACGTAATGAATTCAAGATTAACTCACCCATCTTCGCCCACCAGTCGCTGCTCTCCCCAGCCCAAGCCATCGCGAACTATGCAGTCGGTGACATGTAGTCCGTACACCTGTTGCCTATCGATGCTAATCACCAGGGTGAGTGGATCGCCGATCTTCACGTCGTCGGCTATCTTGTGCTCATCATTGTAGATCTTCATGTGGCAGCCGGGCATGGGAATCTCATTGTTGCTCACATCTTCCTCCACCTCCTGCGGGGCATTGGCATCGTAAACATCCTCCTCGTCCAGGTCGTCATCCTGCTGCTGCTTGTCCAGGGATCGTCCATAGTCCCGGCGATCGTCGCTACGAAAGGCCTGCGGCTTTTGGGCATGCTTGCGCAGATGCTTCTTGGGTTTGATGGCGGCATCGCGGCTCTTGTAGGCGCATCTCACATGGTAGCCGCGTCCCAGGTCGGTGATGAGCTTCAGATGAGGTTGCAGTACGATGGTGTTGAAGAATTCGATTCCTCCATCGTCCTAAAAAGGCGAAGATGGTGTTTAAGATTAGACTCTAAGAGGAATTGTAAAAGTATATTTCTTACACCTTACCCCAAATAACACCTTCTTGATATTCAAATTACATCTACTTTCCACTCTAAATAGATGCTTTCTAGTTGCTCAAATTAAAATGAGAATAATGTCTCTCATTACCACCTACTGACAAAAGACCTGGACGCAAAAACCTGTTCGCCCTCGATCCCCTAGCTGAGCTGAGTCGCTCCAAGCTGGTCACCTGCCTAATGCTAATGCCGAGAAGCCATATCGGCCACATGAACCTCGAGTGCCAGCATAATGTACTTACAATGGCGGCACAGCCCCTTCTCATTATGCATTCAGCAAGATTCACGCTCGGCTGCAGCCGACTCAGAAGTTGAATGTGCGATGGTCGCAAGTGGGGGGCTATGGAGCACTTCCTGGAGCTACGCCATCAGAATGGTGCTAAAGCCGATCAGCCAGGTGTGACGTCTAGCCAGCCGCCCCTTTCGGAAAGATCCATGGGCCTTATCTCCTCGCAAATTAGCCAAGTTTGCATGATGAATTTTAATGGCGATAGTAACTAAGGAACTTGGGAAATCCAAGAATATGTTGGACGTCTGGGCGGCATGATGCAATTTCCCTTCATTAAGGGAATTTTAATTGAACTTCCGCTGAAGCAGGCAGGTAACTTGCCACCTGCTTATCAACATTTGAGTTTGCTTATAATTAATTTTAATTGTATTTTGTTCTTTGAGGGAATAGAATTTTTTCTAAGATTTATTTTCTTTTGAAGAAAATATTTAAATCAAGAGAAGGGCATGCCAGAGCATATTTTGGAATGAATTATGTTCTTTTTAATGTAAATATCTATACCTTATAATTTTTTCAGTTTGAATCTATTAAATTCTATTCATTGTTCAAAGTAATCAAAGCAGAACAGAAGAGAAATTCAATAGAAAACGACCAAATTAAATCAAGATAAATCTATCAAAATCCCATATGGGATACTAAATAATCAATAATAAATTTCTAATAAGATATTTTTATATATTTTATAAAACTCTCCTATTGAACTTTTTCGCTCCATGTATCTCTAACGGTTTATTCGCCCATCGGTGCGCTGTGCTAATTCCAACGGGCACCAGAAGGCAGAAACAAATCGAGTACACACACTCGATGGCTTCGACCGAACAGAAGAAAGGTGAGGTAATGACAGTGGCAAGTATAGTACTACTTATATATACTCTGGCGATGGCTCGGAAGTTTTGTAATTGGGTCTCGGCAGATTTTGGGCACGGAAGTTCTCCGCTTAAGTGGGCTCGGAGGGCTCTCCTCTCCTCTGGCAGCGGGCTTAATTCTTAATGGCCAGATGATGGCCGGCCTATGTTTGTTTGTTTGTTGTTATAGCCGGGGCATTAATCGAGGGCCAGCAGAAGAATAAGCCGACGACTTGCGGCTCTACACTGTTCCTGTCCCGGTGGTGTGCGATTTATTGCCCAACACGGGCTCCGAAGCGTTTCCGTCGCTTGGCATTGTCCAATTCTGTGATTCTCCGATTGTCTGACTTAAAACAAGACTCAAGGGGGGAGGAGAAAGAACCGGTAGGGGCTTCCTTTGTTGCCCAAGAACCCAACTTGCCGAGAAGCGTTGACAGTTATGTTTCAAGTGTTAGTTCTCAGCCTCCGGGCATCATCATCATCTCGAGACAATGGGCCAATAAAAAGCATAATAAAGTGACATTTAAGATTTCAAGAAGATTTCAGGCGGCGGAGAATCTAACGGTAGAAAGCCTATTATGTCATTATAACACTTCTTCATCATATATATCATATGTATGTGTGCCGTTGTGTCGAATGTGGATTTATTTGGAGGGAATGAATGCAAATGCATCCAAATACGGTCCCCGAAACAGGTTCACGCTGGACGAGGAATGCGTGGGAGTCGGCCGAGTGACCTTCGCTCCAAACACGGCGGTAGCAGGCATTAAAATATCAATATCGGCCATAAAGCCGCTTACATGTTCGTACACTTTTGGCCTTTTCACGGCCATCCGCTGACATTGGCGGCCAATGAACGCACGAACCGCCAACGTTGCTCTCAGTAAGCTTGTCAGAACAAATTGATTTCACTGCTCGAGGGAGATGGTTTGCTCGCTGAGCCGTGAAAAATATGAAGTGTTCGATTGGAGTTTGGAGTTCTGGGATGGCGGCAATTAAATTTTAATTAAAAACGTTGTTGCCCCCAACCCTTGACGACCCTGTGGCCGATTTAATTATGCCTGGCATGCCTCGCAGTCGCGACTTGACGTGGCCCTCGACTCTGCCGCTCCTCAGTGGAACTGTCATGTGGCATCTTGTCACGCGACTTTTTACACTGCAGTGAGCTCATCTCATGACGTAAGACAGGATGGCTGGCAAGACGGGTTGGCCATTAGTGGCTGCACGCTGGATGAGACCCGCTCATCGTGTTTAATGACAAACATTAAAAATATCTCCCGACAGGCCTTGGCCGCCTCTCTGTTGATTTTCCAGTCGAGGGGTAAATATTATATTTACTGATTCTTGCTTATTGAACGATCCGTGTAAATTGCTTGGGTCAATACGAAGCACATATGTATATATACATATAAAGGCGCAGCGGCGGCGAAGGACAAAGCAATGAAAAAAACGAAAGACTTAGGCAACGAACTGGAGAATACTATACGTGAGAGATATGGTATGTGTGCTCAAGGAAAAAGACAGAATAAGTATTAATATTGTTGACTTTGATATGGGGTTAAACATTATTATTTTACAGCAAAGATATATAAATAGCCAGAATTTCAAGTTTCATTTATAAATATCTAGAATTTCCTGTTAGTGTACCATTCATTAGAGCTCAATATCAATAAAAATATTGCGCAAATAACTTGATTTTTATTTACTCCTAAAGTATTATGAGTATTCCATAAAAACAATCCTCGTTTTGTTTAATAAAGGAGCTATTAAAATTACAATTACCTACAATTTTCCAAAAATAATTTATTTTTAATCACACATAATTCATACAACAAACTAAATTCTATTTAACTCTTATCTCTTTTTTTTTATGGCCACCTTAAACTTAAAGATAATAAATATAGCCTCCGTATGAATGGCATATTATGTATCATCCAATCAAAAAGTTGGTTAACAACACACAGCTAATCAACCCCAATCAATAACATAACATTCGTTCCATCAACCGCATTGCGGTTCTTAAATGCAATGCACTTGGTTGCCACATCGATTGGACGTACGACTGTCGTAACTGCAATTAAAATTTGTAATTTCAAAAATTGTGTCAATCGAGCGAAAGGAAAAAGCAGCAACAGCTACAGCTTCAGCTATACAAGCAACAAATTACAAAACGCCAGGCCCCGTAAATGCCGAGAAAATTACATTAATATGTATCACAATCGGACTTTATACGCGGCTATAAAAATGCCGCTGTCGGTGCGTGAGTTGCAGCCGCATTTAGCCCGGTTAAGTGCTAATTGAGATTTGAAAATCAGATCCCCAATACCAGATCCCAGATCCCAGCACAAAGCCAACCGTTGTTGGCCCAAATCGATCGGCCGAATGAGCCAATAAATACGTCGGGCCATATATGAATTAGACAAACCCAATAGCGTGGCAAGACTGAAATTTATATGGCACATCTTGGCCGTCTCTCTCTTGGATCACACGATATTGCTTACAGGGACATGGAGGCAAGGCGTCATGCTCGCCGGGGCGGTTCAGATCAATAATACGCTCGTACAGATCAGCGATCTTAAGAAATCTGGTTTTCATTTAAACTGACAGCCTACACAAACAGAATTTTTAAATAATTGAAATGCGTGAAATGGGAATATACACCTACGATAAGGTATAAGCTTAAGGGTTCTAAAAAGTTGAGTCACAGATTAACAATGATTTTTAAATAAACAAGGATAACTTTAAATATAAATGAACACTTGTAAAAGGTTTCCATAATAAAACAAATATATAAAGATCAACAAAATCGAATCAGAATTAAGAGTTTTAGGTTTCTGAGTCATTCTAATAATTTATATTTTTCTTTCTTAGCCATTTTATATTTTTCAAGCTATTAATATTAATTTCTAGAAAATATTATATGGCTTAAGTCGTCACTATAAGGTTCTGTATTTTATAAACCATGTCTAATGATTGCTATTTTAGCTGAAAACTGTGTGTATCCATCAAATCGCATCATTAGTTTAGCCTCAAAAGGTGCGTGAGCTGGCCAACCTTTTAAATAAACAAGTCATCTTGGACGGACTTTACCTTGTAACCAATGAGTCGTGTTGCCATAAAAGTGCCTAAACTTAATGTTAAATTTTTTTTCTTTTTTATTTGCATGCCAAAATGGCAGAACGAGTTGGACGGCTTGGACGTGCCATCACCTAAGATCTCCGAGATCTGAGATCTGAGTGGGTGCGTGTAATGAAATTCTGGATTGGCCAATCCAATTCGACTCACCGTTTCCTTGGGCATCGTGTTGCACGACCGCAGGGGCAGCTTGTACCGCAGGGAGCCCACGTGATCTCTGCGGGGTAGATAGATGGCATAATGGATTAGAGTCGCCAAGACGATCGATAGATTGCGCACACTCACCTGTACTCGCTCAGGCATGTGGAGTTCTTGGACAGGCCTTTCGGATAGATCATGCCACTGAAGAGCCCCGTCTCATGGTTTGGCGGAGCATCTTTGATGGTGATCAGCATCGAGCCGGACAGGCACTTGATCCGCACGCTCGGCTCTACCGCCGGCTTGGAGGTGGCCTGGGTCTCCGCCTCCGCCTCGGCCGCCGCAATGGCTTCGCTCAGCGAGCTCTGGGCATCCTCTGAAAAAATCGGAAATTATGAAATGCAAACAGACGGGCATAAAACACGACAAGAGGCCCACTCCCGAAAACGGAATGTTTGCGCAGCTGAAAAAGCACAGTTAGATGGCGGAGGAGCAGCAGGAGGATGCTGCAGCTGGAGGAGTAACCTCGAGAGCCGTTAGCATAAATCATGAGCAAAACAACCAAGACAATGGCCCATGGGAGCAGTATTTACTCAAGCCAGCAACTCCGAGTCTAAGTCAAAGCCAGCATGCGGAAGACTTTAGTAGTTTGTTAGCTTAAACTGGGGAAAAAATGTTAAACTTAGATTGCTAATTTGTTAGTAATACATATTAGATTAACCCATTCTTTTAATAAGTAAATATATTTTTAAATATTTTAAAATATATTCTCTTAGCCATCTTAAATCCCTAAAACTTTTTTACTTTTAGTGCTAGTTATGCCTTTGAAATCAACATTTTATTTATAAATCTCTACATTTTCTAATCTAATCTTTTTTCCACCATTTTATAAATATTTTTTTCACTGTTTGCTCATGACATTGAGACGCTATTGAAGCAGCAACATCGAAATATCAGCAGCAGCAGCAGGAACAGCAGCGGCAACATGGGGCGAAGACACGGCACAGAAGCGCTCGTGGCCATTAGAAAGATGCCATTCTGCAAGGCAAGTTCCTTGAACTTCAGCTCGGGCCATGGCCTGGGATTAGGTTGTGCTCTTGGCATTTCCTGCTTGCAGCCAGTCGTAGATGTCTACAGATGGCAATGCCAAGAACCGACTCTTCTTTGCGAAGGTACACAATTGGCCAAGACCGAAGAGGAACGACTGGAAACGGGAGATGGGAGAAAAGCTGGCCAGGCACGTTCGCCCTGGCAGTTGGCTTTGTGTGTATACGGGGCATGTACTATATATATATACGAACCCGTGGCGTGGATGGACCCAAGCCGAAGCCCGATGGGATGCCTGGATCGGTTCAACGAACCTTGCAGCATTTCGCATCACTTACTGCGGTTCTTGGGCAAAGTAATTGCATGCAACGCGGCCAAGCCGGTTTCCCACTGGCAACGAATCCGTCGCTCTGACTCTGGCTCAAGCTGAAGCTCTGGCACTCGGCACATAAAACATTTAATGGCTTTCTATTATGTATAATTTTATGGTCTCCGAAGGCGAGGCGAAGTGCACTTCTCAAATAGAACTAAACTAGACTAAGGCAACAATGGATCGCATAAATTACACGTCTCCGTAGCGAAGAACAAAGAAACTGCAGAGCCCGAAGCCCAAAAGTATCTCAATTCATGTTGCTACTCAAGCTGTCTTGTTAAAATACATCATATTTTGAGTTTTTACGTTTTTTCCGGCGAGAATTATGTGATATTTCGTGATCTAGACCTGATTTAAGTTAAGCTATTGATTGCTTTCTCTGAGCTAAATTGTAAGTATCAAGATCGATGGGATTATGCCGGAAAAGAAAACGAAACAGGAAGAAAGAGAGATCTTATTAGATCTTATATCTGTTTAATAAGAGATTATTGCTATTTAGAAATTGACTTCTAAGATAGTTTCAAAAGAGGCTTTGTTTTTGGAGCTGTAGGGCTCTTTCACTATTCAAGGAATCACAAGTTATAGTCCCAAATATTGTAACATCGTTTAGATGTAGAAACAGAAGTTGATATCACCATAATTCAGGATATAATCTCCACTGAAACTCATCTTCAACCAGGTATCTAAATTTTAAAGGAAGTGAATCCTCGCTCCTCGTATTAACTCTCATCCCCCAGTTCCTCAACTCCTCCCTCTACGACTCTCTGCCCAATCCTGGCTCCTAGGTCACCGGGGTCTTAGCCAAATTCCCCCCCAGCTACAAACGTAATGTGAAAGCCAGAAGGAAGTGTGCCGCAATGTTTGGCCAGCCGCCTCTCAATGAGGCAGCACCAAAAGCCAAGCGACTTCAATGGACTCTTGTTTGCCATGCGATTATGTACCTGGCACTTTGCTGGCTTTACTGGCGGTGCTTTGGTACCTTTTGTGATTTTGGCCAAACAGTCAAAAGCGTTTTGCAACCAACAAGACAACAGGCAACTTAGCGAGTTTACTTAACAATGGCAACAAAACGCTGGCCGCTTGAAGTGGAGTGTGTTTATAACTCTAATTAGGTAATAGTTTGGAGGGTAACTAATGGATCAGCGTAATGCTAGATATTTCTTTTATTTATAATCTATAATCATAGGATCAACATTTGAATTTGTTTAAAATTTATCAAATATCTAGTTTGTTTCAAAATTCAATAAACTTTGGTCACAGTTTCGGGATTGTCTCTATTATAATTATTTATTTAATAGGTAATAGGTAATAAAATAACCCATTTCAATCATCTTAAATTACTTTTAAGTGATATTTCAAGGCAAAATCCACTATATACTTAGTTAATAGACAATAAGTTAGTATATGAAACGTGCTGATGTCTAATTTGAATATTATTGTGGCTAACAAAGCTTCACCAAAGCAACCAATAGCCTTCTTTCTTTACCAATTTGTTAGCCATTTCTCTTAAGCCTCCCTCCCCAATAAATTACCAACTCCAATCCATAGAATTTTAGCTTCTTAATAGACAGATTTATGTACTCACTGACTGCCGATGGGATCTGCGCCGCGTGCGTCGTGAGAGCTGCGATTGTCTGCAAAGAAAGTGGAGACAAGTCACTCATTAGCATAGTTGGAACAGCGGAGAGGGGGATATAGTCCGCACAGCCTCTATATATAGTCGAACCCCTGACGGCGGGCCCCATAGAGCGTTGACATAAATCACGGCAAGCCGACAGTAAGTCCCTGCTCTAATCCATCGCCAGTAAGCTTCTTTAATTAAAGCTGAGGAAAAACGCCGAGGAAATTTCGTTTTCGTGTTGCCTGTAGATATGGCCAAGCATTATATTCTCACGATTCTAAGGCTGACTTCACCTCCTTCTCCTTTGGCTGCCTGGCGAAAGTTTTTGCAGCCTGGGTTAGAGTTGAACCCGAACCCGAACCTGAATCTGTGTTGGATCAGCGTCCGCAGACGAGGTTGAGTCGGGCTTAGAATGGAGTCGGTGGTGTGCCACTTTTGGCCACTTGGCTGGAATCGCATTTAGCATACTAAGAAGAGAAGAAGGAGGCGGTCGCCACTGGCCTCCAGTCTCATATCCAGGTTAATCGCATTGGCATGCAATTGTCATTCAGCGGCCCCGCTGATTGATGTCCAATTTTCCATTTCGGTGCCCAGTGGACGCCAGAACCCAGGTAATACTTACGATTAAGTGCAGCGCCGTGTAGAAAATGTCCATTAGAGTGCCGGTCCTCATGGTGCGACCTGTCAAGAGTGAGAGAAAACCAAAAATAGGCGGATGTTAGTGCGGTTTGCAAGCCTTGGCAAATAGTCAAAAATCAAAAATCAAAACCCAAGACTCTCGAAAACTGAAAACCCACAGAGAGAAACCAGTTCCACACCCACAACACACTCACACACACACCTAGAGGATTATGCTAAATCACTCGAACCGTGCACACAGCGATTCTGTAATGAATATCGTGGCCCAAAGGCAAGCTTTCTGTTTGCCAAATGGGTCAAGTCGACACGGCCGAAATTTACTTCGCGTGCGCGCTTATTGCAAATGGGTTAACATCGGCGGACCGGCTAACAGGTAACGATATGAAGATAAATCAAGGAGGAGGGAGAGGAGGAGGAGGTATCTCCAAGATGCCAGCCATCGAGCGCTGAGTAAACAAACATCATCCGTCAAATGCAGCATCACGGCATCATGACTCTGATTTCCGCTCCTTTTTCTACCATACGAGTTTGTGCAACAGAAGCCGTGCAGTATTACGCGAGAGATATTAAACACATATCAATGGCCCGTGATAAACGCTTTTCCACTTCCTGCAGGCCGGTGAGAACCTAGCAGGCCAGTCATGGCCAGGAAGGCTTTTCCGAAACTGGTCAATACACCGGGGAAAAATAAAAGATTTAATCTTAAAGGAAAGAGTGTGATAGGTTTTTGTCACCAGTTTCTTAATGATTTTAGCACAATTACAATTTGTTATTGAATGTTGTATTAAATTATATTTTAAAATCTTCACATATCCCCCATCCTAAATATATAACAATGAAAATCAGCCTTTAATGTGATACATTTTCCACTGTGCACCTTGATTATAATCTTGGGCGTTGGAAGACAACAGCAAGCCGCGGCTTAGGCTGATGGCCTACAGGCGATAATGATTTGTTGTTACCACTGCCGCTGCCAACACATTTCATTTACGGCTTCCACACAAACACACACGACGATGATGTCACAAGACCCGCACTCCACTCACCCCAAAAGCACCGTATCCAGATGCAGATACCCCGATACAAACACAGAAACTGGCTCGGTTATTATCCAAGAGCTGTAATCTCCTTGGGAGTCGGAGTCTGGTTGTTATTGAAATGAGTTCGGGAGAGGCACGGAATTGGGTCAATAGATATGGCTGGAAATTGATAAATTGTTGGCATTATGCAGTAAGCACACATCAATTTGTCAAAAGCTCTAGAGCCCACACTTCCTGAACAATGCGGATCAGAGATCGAAGATCGGATTGGAGAGCGAATGGGTTCGCAACCAACGTGGCTTAGAGTCGAATGCAAATGGCCAACTGACGCCAGCATCGCCATTGGAGCCGGCGACATCCCACGGCGACAATACCAGTACGAACGCGCACTTCCACTGGCATTGCAATAAATTAGCTAAAATAAGCAAAATGACGCAAGCCGCAGCGCTCCAACAGAGCAGTCGAGGGAGACGGGTAACAGGTAAAAAATAAAAATAAATCCGAATTGAAAACGCAGCTCATGCAGGCAAAAAATTAGCTAGGAAAAATGCGGCGAAGCACGCCAACGGGCATTATGAATAATGACTTTGATTGGCATCTCTGCTGCTCTCGTTACCTAGTTCGAACTGGACAAAAAAGTAAAGCAAGCGAAAATAAAATATATATAATGCCCAATGCCCATTGGGAATGGCAAATCGAAAATGACCTTCAATTAGGTTCATCGTTGATAAGGGAAATTGCAAAGAATTGGGGCAGAAATTATGGGTTGATTCAAGGTTCTTTCTTATTTATAGAAGAAATTTAGATCAAAAGGTTGTTTGGTTATAAAAAGAAAAGTTTAAATCAGCAGGAAATGAAAGTTAAGACCATAATTTTCGTAAGTAAAGCTGTTTTTATATAAGATTGAAAAAATCTAACCTAAACTAAATAAAAGTACATTTTTATACCCACCCTTGCAGGGTATTATAATTTCAGTCAGAAGTTTGCAACGCAGTGAAGGAGACGTTTCCGAACCTATAAAGTATATATATTCTTGATCAGCATCAACAGGGGAATCTTTCTAGATATGTTCGGAAGAAATCAATTTTTTGGCCATTTTTGAAAAATTTTATAAGGGGTTACATCATTAAAATTTTTGATTTTGATAAAAAATTGAATTTTCAAAATGTTTAAATGAAGTATGCAGATTTATTAACTGTAGAAAATCTTGCACAGAACAGTTTTCCGATTTAAAATTAATGCTGTTTTGGCCGAGTTATGATATTTTTAATTTTAACAAAATCAAGAAGTTTTTTAATATAAAAAATCCGATTTTATAATACAAAATAATATTTTTCCAAGTCAAGGAATCATTTCCGACCCCATAAACCATATATATTCTTGATCAGCATTAATATTCGAATCTTTCTAGACATGTCCGAAAGAAATCGATTTTTTTTGCCATTTTTGCGAAATTTCATAAGGGGTTACATCATTAAAATTAGCAAAAATGGCCAAAAATTTTGATTTCTTAAAATTTTAAATTTGGTATGCAGTTTTTTTAAATGAATAAAAACTAACACAAAACTGCTTACCGAATCGAAATCAATGCATTTTTGGCTTAGTTATGATATATTTTAATTGTTACCTGCAAGGGTAAAACTTAATTTATCATATAACTCCTCCTTGCTAACAATTTGTATACATTTTTGTTTTCAGTGTCCCCTAGCTGGGAACTTCCTTTTAACCAAAGCGCATTTCCTCAATATAATATTCTGTCCACGGAGTAAGTACGTCCCAGAACCCAGGTCTAGAATATAAATTATACAATTTCCTTCCATGAAAATGACTCATTGCCCAATCAATCGAAGTGGTTGTGTGTGCACTCGCTGGTAACGGATATTTTCAGGTGTCAATTAAAATTCATTTGACACACATTCCTCGCGGCAAATAGCACCGACAAAATAAAAGAAAAAACTAAACTAAACAAACATCGAAGTAAAAACAACAAAATGGGCCGTGCAACTGAATAAATTAAATGGGTTTTGCGTGCACGACAACTATGAGCCACAAATGTTGTGTGTTTTATTGCTAGGTTTTTGTTTAAACAATTGCATTTTCATTGAGCTGAGTGTGTGTATATGTGTGTTTGCTCTGTTAATGTGGCGGCTAAATGACCTCGCGTGTTTCCATTTTCCAGCAAACGTAATTTATTTGCGTTTAAATACCGCAAAGAGGGTATGCAAAAAAAATAGTTTTGAAATGCTTAACTTAACTTTACAGCTTTCTGCTCGAGCAAGATTGTAAAGGCGGGGTAAAAGCCAGAGAAAAGTGTGTGAAAAGCCGCGTAACTGTGCGTAAAATTGCGCTCCAACTAAATAATCGAAAATTAAATGTTAATTGCCCATTAAATGTTTTGGGGCTGGGCGCGACTAATGGAGGAAACCGAAAAGCCAGAGCCAGTTTAATTAAAGACAACGACCGATAGACCGACCTCCTGTGTGGATCTGTTCATTCATCAATGTATCTGGGTGAACCACATTAATCAAGGGAAGATCTCCGAGGGAGCCCAATTAGAATATCGACGACTCCCATCTCCCTCAGATCTGGTTCCAATCTGGAATAGCCAGAGGCACTGCTGGCAAAATCACACATTAAAATCGGAGAGAATCTGTGCTAAGCACACATACTGGCAGCGGTTTTAACCACACGGCTTGACCCATTTGGAACGATGAGGCGAGATGCGAGATGCGGGATGCGGGATACCAACTTTCGGTTGCGGTTCGCCATTAAATCTCGTACCGCTGCTCGACGATCAATCAGCATAGCGATGCGTAGAGCTAATTTCGCTGCAATTTCGCTGCCATAGAAAGTAAGTTGGGGAGGGTTAGGTATATTAAGGTCTTCTCTACTGCATTGTGTGTGATTGTATCGCATTGTTCTTAATGACGGCAATTAGCGGAGTCGTCGAACAAAAAGGGCAGCTCCGCGGCCAGCTATTTCTTTATTTTAAACGGGGTCAGGCAACCGGGCTTCAATGTTAGATTTTTCGTCTTAGCTTTTACTTTTACCCAAAAAGAAGACAACTTCTAGTTGTGCCATGGTTAGCCCCAGGTGTTTTTGTCTCGAAGATCAAAAGGCAATTGAGGCATCGACTTTCACCTGCTTTCGTATGCAGGCGCTATGTCTGGAAATTAGAATTTTTAATGCGACGATCTCACAATTAGCTGGCATTTGATCGGGGATTGATGGCCAGGTAGCCAGCTCAAGCCAACTCGCTGGCCCGGCTCCCGAAGTCAACGGTTCGGAACGAACTTTATTTTTATTTATTTTTGTTTTTGCTTACCTCAAGGTCAGTGCAATTGTCTCGAGTTTTTTCCTCACCCCTTTGTTCAGCTCTAATGAGGCAACAATGCTTTAATTTGCTGTTGGCCAATTGCAATAAACGCCAACGCCGATACCGTTTAAAGATTTTGATTTGGCCAACAGCAGCCAGCAGTCGACGCCGGCCACAATTGGCCATTAAGGCAATGTGAGAATTTGAAAATCGCACATCATTAGCTTGAGTGGTGCGACCCCACCTTCTGGAGCTGACCTGGTTGCGTTGGTTGCCACACGCAGCAGCAGCAGCTCAAACTGGAGCGTGGAGACGACGGCATCTTGCCACATTGTGCGAGCCAAGTTTGGGGTGAGACCAAAACGGAGCTGGCTGGCCAATTGGTTGCGTATCTGCTGCTGCTGCTGCTGTGGGGTTATGTAAGTTCTCTCTGTTTTGGCGTGGATTTGTCAAGATGTCCAATTTGGCTCAAACGCTGACTGGCAATATGCAAAAGCGCTGATTGGACACCCACCACAAGCTACAAGACACTAGCCCCGCGGCTCTCAGCCTAAATATGTATATTTCTCTCTCCTTCTCATTTTGACGCCTAATTTTTTGTGGGTTACAAGCTCTGCGGCTATTTTTTGCCACAGCAACAAAAACAATAACAAAATCCCCATAAACCCCAAAGAAATTCGCATTGAACGTGACTTGAGCTAAACCGTAGACATGAATGTGTTTGATTTTTATCAGGCAAGTCTACAATTTTTCAGTTTTAGCCATTTACTTTGGGCTTTTTGCTGTTTTGCTTTTGCCTTTTGACTGGCGCCCATTGTTACCCGCTGTTTTGTATTTTTTTCTCTCGTGTTTTTCTCATTTTGCCCCGAAGGCAGAGCTGAAACTAGTTTTGTAGTTCCGTTTTTGCTTGCGCGTCGGCTTCGGCTTTGGATTTTGCGTCTAGAAGTACTTAAAATGGAGGCTCCCAGCGACATTGGCAACGGGCAGCGGCTACTGGGAGCTTGATGGATAATTCGTCATTAAAACCTATTTATTGAGGGCCATTTTAAATGCTTATACTTGGTGGCGAATGATGAGGGAACCCGCTGATGAGCCAGAGACACGGGCAGTACTAATTACTGGCTGACCTCATGCTCCTTCTCTCATAATAACTTTATCCGTGATACCCTGGGTTCAGCTTGTACATATAATATGTATATTTTAGTGTTGTTTTTCTTTTTGTAGAGGGCAAGAAATGATCTCATCTTGAAGTAAATTGAGGAAAGAACTTTGCTGGGATGAAGAAAATTATTTCTTTGGCTTAGGTCATATCCGTTTATATGAAAAGAACAAGAATTAAGTTCTAATTTTGTGGACTTTAAGCTAATATAGAACAGATTTCTATTAGCAGACTTTAATTCGAGTTTAGAATATGTGAGAACCAATCCTGGCCATTTAATTCACTTAACCACTGGCCAACCCAAGGCAGTTCAAAAGTCTTGGCCTGCCGCCACACCCCATTTAAGGTTTTTGGATTTGAAAGTGACTCCGAATGAATGGTATAAAACTAGACTGCAATAGCAATAGTGTTGTTTTTTTTTTGCGTGGGGTTCGGCTAAAGGTAAAAGCCTGCATTTAAGTCCGCTTCAGTTTGCCAATGTTGATTTAATTCGCCAAAGGTGGCGGTGTCAACGGCGGGGGAGCGGTACAACTAGCCAGACGACTTTTCATTTTGGCCAAACAAACAAACAAACAAGAAAACCATTGCAGCAAGCATATTGTCCAAGCCGGAGAGTATATGACTCACGGCTGGCACGCCTTTCTAGCGGCGCATTTTGGGGTTTTTGCATAATAATTAGTGGCTAGCGCGACAACGCGTCGTATGAGTAATGAGCGAGCCAAGTTCGTTGCCTAAGTCTTTCGTCTGTGGTCTTTTTACTGAACTGTAAATCAATATCTTGGCAGCGGAAAATCTAACGTTGCCAAAGGTCTTAGCCTGGTTGAACGAACTCTCTTTTTTTTTTGGCGCTTTCTTTGTCGGTTCTTCGGCGTCTCTGGAGATTATAAATCAATCAACAACGCACACCTTTTGGCATGCCCACACGCATTTCGCAGCTTAGTTCATGAACCCGCTCCGCCAGATTCGTCATCATTTGCATTTAAAAGCCACAAAAGTTGGAGGAAGTTGGGTCTCTTTATGAATCGCTCCACACTTCACATCACCCAACCGCAGAGTAATAATAAAAAAATATACTACATACAAGCATATTTTCCGTCTTTATTTTTATACATTTTGTACCCGCCTCAAGGTCACATTTCGAGCCGTTTGCCTTTTTCTTCGCTCTGCCTCGGCCTGTTATATAAACAAGTTAACTACACATGATGGCTAAGAAACTGGTATTCAGCTGGCAGCCCGCCAGCTCGGATTCGCCTTTTAATTATACAAATTTTACGCTTGCGTTGGCGTTCCTCATAACGCCAAAGCGTAATACTTGTGGCAAACAAAGCCAAAGCATTCTCCGAGAATGCTGAGAGGAGGCAATGAGGTAAATCTCCGGACAGAAGTTGCGGGGGCAACTACTTAGACTCCATCGATAGGCCATATCCGAGGCGATTATCCATTATTCACAACACAAGGCGTTTCATTCAACAGCAGATGAAGACCATTACATTGGGCCATCAGACAACAATATTTTGATAGCTAACAAACCACAAATTAACCAATTAATAGGCCATGCATCACCCAAAAAAGGGAAAGGTTCAGTTTGGCTGGGTTCCCATCCCATGCCATCCCTAGATGATGCAAGTGTCGGGCGAAGCCGAAGCCGTTCCCGCCGCCATCAATCAAATTTTCTAATTGCTTCTTTAGACGCCCGAGACTCACACGACCCCGACGAACATAATTATGGCCCTGTACGGGTGAATCGCTTGATGCTCCGTGGAAGTGCTAAAACTCCGACCAGAAGGAGAACCCGAGCTTAATTACTCCGGGGAGTTCGTTGGGTCAGCCAATTAGCAACAGATTCTGGCTTATAATGGCCGCACACAATGCGTGGAAAATGTGAATGGACTTAGGGGTTTCCAGAAACTCTGCTCGATGACACATTACTTATGCGCGTCACATCCAGGAATGGAAACTGGGAACTGGCAACCTGGAAAAGCGGATGCAAGACGGATGTCCGTGATGTGGCTGCTCAAGCAGCTGGCCCATCCCGGCCATATTTGTGTCCCCAGATGATGCAACTGGCTGCGAACTTGGCAGCCAATTTCGGCCAAAGTCAGCCTTGGCAAACAGGTTCAGAAACGCCGCAGATGGGGACACTTTTTTTGTGCGAAAAACGCAGATGAGACCGATTTCATTTGCACAGAAAAGCAATTGCACAGCTCCTGCTCGTCTCCCCCGGCTCGAGAAAAATATGATATTCCCCATCACAATCATTCCGCGAATTTCAATCGAGGCAAAACAGAGGCTAACCGGTTTGGCTGATGGATTTTTGGCACAGCCAGAGCCACATCCACGTCGTCTGGCGATTTATGAAGTCATCTTTTAAGGCTGTTTCGGTTTTTGTTTTTGCCAAACGGCACAAACTTCGATTCGCCCGATTTTAACTGTATTTCTCTTTGGGGTTTTCTGGTTTTTAAACGAAAAACAACACTCACCTCTATCCAACTTCGCCCTTTTTTGCGTAATCCAATTAGTTATGTGGCCCGTTGTCTTATATATTTGTTTGGTTTGCTGTTTGCGATTTTGCTACGGTTTAAACTGGTTGCCAAAAATAATGATGATTTTTTGAAAATTTTGTTTCACACAAGTTTCAGCTTCAATACATTTTTTATGTGTGTATTTTTTGCTTGTATTTTTTGAACGGGCTTCCTCTATAATTTTGTTCGTTTTTTTTTTTCTGTGGCCAACACTCGTTTTACATGTTAACGCTGCGGGAATTACACGTTTAAGAGATTTGGCCAAGAGAGACGGAAGAGAGTTTAGGCCCTCTCTAGCGAATTTTGGCGAATAATCCGCGGTTGCTGCTGTTTTTTTCTGAGAGACAAACAAAAGACTTGAAGCAACAAACTTCCCGACACTTTTACACTTCCCTCCCAAAAAAATACAGGCGAAATATTCAAAAGATTCACAAATCATTCATCACGTATTTACTCGGTGCGGTTCAACCACCCGTCGAGCTTACTGCTCGATCGTAGCTTCCCAAGGGCAGCAACAATCGGCGGAAAAAAACACGAAGATATACTTTAAATCACACAAAAACAGCAACAACCGCAAATCAAATCTCTGGGATTGCGTTTCGAATCCACTGGCACGATCCAATTAGAACCGAGTAAACGCACTATCAGAACACTCCACTTTTCACTCGAAAATCTCACACTCACGAGGATCGAATCAAATCGAATCGGATGGGATCGAAATGGAGCGGTTCGGATCGGATCTGTCGTGCGATCCGTGCGTTCGTTGAGCGTTGTGGATGTGTCTCGCACACCAACCTGGCCAAGACTGACTAGACTTGAGGCCGAGACGCTCTCGCAGTCCGTCAAGACGGCGTCGCCACAACCGGTCTTGCCAAGATTCGGAGTGGCTTGTCGCTTTGGGGGTTTTCGGAGTATTTGGCAAGTCCGAGTGCGCTCTTAAAGCAAGCTCTTTAGTTAATAGTATCTCTAGTATTACCTGGTGTCGCTGGCAGTTTTTCAGCACTGCACTCGGCGGGGAAGCCACGCTCCGCTGGCTCCCTTTGCCACACCAACGACTCGGGATTGTCTTTCTAATGAGTGCGGTGCGGGATAATTAGAGGTTTGTCCCGGTGGTCATCCCATATCGCAAGGTCCAAGGGCTACACTTGGGAAAACTATACTAAGATGGGAATAAAATGTTCTACTTTGTGAATATATTTTATTTTTCTCAAATAGAACAAGCAAATGTTCTTTAAAAAACCTTTCTAAAACTAGTAAAGTTTATTTCAAGTGTCCAAAGTCATGCTTTTAGCCACAGCTGTGTTTAGCTGGAACTGGTGTCCACGTTCTGCTCAAACTTGGCAACAGACTTGGCTGCAATTATGGCCAATGTGTGGGCTGTCACCAGAACACCTTGATGACGGCATATATAGCCTCTGTTTCTACTCAGCCTCTCGACTGATTGGATTGACTCAACGAGCTCTTGCCGTGGGACAATTGCCTATCTTCTTTTGTTTTACTTGTGCCGCCCATAAATCTTGAACTTGCATTTACATTCCCTGAACCCAGAGGGCACCCTTGCACCCTCAGGGTCACAGGTACAATCACAGGTAGCACACACAGGTGACATCTAGAGAAGGTCTCGCTGTATTGTCCCATTTTTGGGCATTTCCCTTTAAGTCGCGTGTTTGTACTTTTAGTTATATTTATGATTATTATGCGTGCTCTTTATTCTGACATTTTGATATTCTGGCAGGGATCTTCTAAGATTGAACGAAATATTCTTTTGAAACGTGAGGGAATTCTGTGTAATTACCATTTGTGATATTACCATACTCAATTCTTTATAATATGTATGGTTTTTGAAATTGGAAAAGCATAAATTAGTTAAGCAGAAAATTCTGAACAACATTTTCAACAATTGGAAAATATTTTTGAAATATTTTCAGTATTATATGTATTTTTTATATTATTTGAATTTAAAGATTTAATACAATGTAATTTTAAAATATTAAATTCTTGAAAAAAAATAATTAAAAAGTAAAACAACAACTGGGAAATATTTTTAAAATATGAAGTTATCTTAAAGCTTACTAAAAATTAAATAAAATGCAGTTTTAAAATATTAAATGATCTTAAAAATGTTTAAAAAGTAAAACCACGTTTGGGAAATATATTCTAAATATTTTCAGCATTTAATATATGTATTTTTATATCATTTGAAGCTATCTGAAAATAAAATATATAGTTTTAAAATATTAAATGTATAAAAAAGTAAAACAATAATCATAATTCAATATAACCCAGGTTAATACACTCCTAAACTGTCTTCCACATCTTCTAATTCAAGGCTAAACATCTTTGAAATTTATCTTCCGCAAGCTTCTTACTTTAAAAGTATTTATTTCTGATTCAGTTACATCATTCACATTCTGAAGAGCATTGGCAAAGTCAGCCCACGCGAATCTGTATCTTTTGTGTGAATTTTAACACCCACACTGGCTACAGTTTGATTGAGTTCCCCCAAGCAACAGTCATCTGAGGGGGAGACAATCGAACAAACCAAAACGGAAAAACCACCCCCAAAGGGCCAGCAACAGGACATGGCCGGGTGTCCCAGGATTCCCAGAAGCCAATGCCCGGAGCAGGGGGCCAGGACCAGGGGACCAGGTAGCCAAGGGTAACTGTCACTGTTTGGCGGCCGGAAAATTTATTTACTCCTGGAGTAAATCCATCAAATCAACTTAGTTTTTCGACTCAGGCGGCATAGCCCTTCGGAGAGTTAGAGCAAATTGAAACTGAGATAAATTCAATGTGTTTAAATTTTCCAGGTCTTTTATATTAAATCTTAATTATTATAGCCAAAGCCAAGAACACGGTGAAATAAGGAATTGAACGCCGTTCAAATGGCAGAGCTTTTGTGCCGTGAAAAGGAACTGTTCAAAATTAACCAGGAACTTAACCTGCTGTCTCTTACCTCCGCTGCCGATGCCATGTTTCCAGGCAAGCCTTCGCCTGCCGCCTGCGCAGCGGCACCGGCACGATATGCCACCTTCCAGAAGCAGAAAGGTCCGAGCACCCTGCTCCGTAAGAAGAACGCAGTTACGTCCCAGGCGAAGCAGACACCTATAGCTCCGTCGGGCAGGGATGCGGCCGCCGCCGCCGCTGTTGTCATGGCCCGAGCGGTGGCCACATCGCCACCGCCTGATGCATGTCTGCTGACCAAGTCAAAGGCGCCCGATTGGAGAAACACCAAAACCGTGGGCGCGGCCGCTGCATCACCCCCAGGCAACCGTGCAGTGCCCAAGTTCAGCACTTATACGCGGGATGTGAGCAGCAAGACGGCCACGTATGTCAAATACCGGAATCCCAATTTCAGCGAGAGCCCCTCTCTGGACATGCTGCTGCGGAACGGCGCTGAAGACGCCACCAGGAACGATGTTGTCGAGGTGGAGGTCACCCAGAAGCGGGAGAGCACCACCGTGGTGAATGGCCAGGCCAAAAAGCAACTCACTCAAGACAATTTCATCAAGTAAGGAGGCCTTAGTTTTACTGTTTTATGTAACAACATATCTATAATTTAGATTCCTGAAGGCCAAGGTGGCCATTCTTGAGGAAGACCATGCCCAGCATGCCTCCGAGCTGGCCCGCCAAAAGGAGCAGCTCGAAAAAGCCCTAGAGGCGCAGCGTAAGTCGGAGCATCAGCGCGACCAGACGCTGAACGCCAACAAGCACCTGACCGAGCAGCTGATTCGGACTGAGCGGCAGTGCGAAGACTCTAGTCGCCGGCAGAAGGAGCGCCAGCAAGAGTTCACCAGCCAGCAACGAGAATTGGAGCAGCTGAAACGGGAGAGTAAAGTGGCCAGGCAAACGAACGTGAATCTGGAGAACCGCCTGTCCCGCGCCCAGGAGGATGCAGACACTGTTCGCCTGGAGCTCAAGAAGTTGCGCGAGGAGCAGCGCGAGCAGTTGGACGTCCAGCGCAAGGAGCTGAAGCAGCGGGACAGCCGGATCCGGGCGCTGAAGCGGCAGCGGAACGACCTGCTCAACGCCTACAAGAAGCAGCTGTACATGATCGACAACCTGAAGCGGCAGACTAACTGCATGGAGCAGTCGGCGGCCATCGGATTTGGCGAGAAGGAGTTCAACAAGGTGCTAGACTGGAATTCCAAGACGTGAACCCCACTTGTCCATGGATAGTAGTGTAGCCTAAGTTAATACAATGTAAATATGTTAAGTGGAATGTAATTACATTTGATAGTCTCTCACGCGAAAAAGTCCCCAAGCAATCTCTTTTCAATTAGCGGCGCATAACCCAATTAGGCCGAGTTCATCTGCTCGCTGGGCTCGGATATAAAAGCCAGGAATTTCCCTTGGATAGCCACAGAAGGCATCCGCTAGCTCCAATCGCTCGGACCAGACATTGTACACTGCCCAGAAGTACGCTAACAGACGACGACTGCAAGATGGCTCTGCGATTCACTCTCACTCTGCTCCTGGTCACGATCCTGGTCACAGCCATCCTGCTGGGCTCCAGTGAGGCGGCCTACAGGAAGCCCCCCTTCAACGGCAGCATCTTTGGCAAGCGCAACAGCCTAGGTAACCATACTTTGCTATACATCCCTTTCTCTTAAATATATACCCCAAATCCCTGCCAGACTACGACAGTGCCAAGATGAGCGCCGTGTGCGAGGTGGCCATGGAGGCGTGTCCCATGTGGTTTCCACAGAACGACAGCAAATAGGACCACGCCCTGCGACAGCGCCTCCAAGAACTGATCTCAAGCCTACGAATCGTACACCAGCTGCAGGTGGGCGGCAGGTGCTGCGCCTGCACCTGCGACTGAATGTGTGTGGAAAGGCCGGACGTTAGAAAAGTCATGTATAAAATTTATAATGTAAGCCGTGCAGCATATACATACGTACATAGTTACATACTTATGCCATACATATACATCATAAAATACTCAATAAACTAACAGCACTGAATACCTCGCTCTCGTTTCAAAATTATTGAAATATTCTAATAGATACTTCTGAGATACAATCGGATTACAGTTAAAATACAGTTCCTGGCTACTAGTGGGTCCTGGGGACGCGGCCACGACCCCGGTGCCTCAGTTCGTTGACATGCTTGCGCAGGTTGGTTATGTAATCGGTCATGGAGGATGTGAGGGCCTGCCAAGAGTTACACGTAAATAAATAAGGATAAGAATGGACACAAAAGTGCTTACCGCATCCAAGACATAGCGGGGTATGTAGCCTTTCAGGTCCAAGCACAGCACCCATTCCACAATGCAGCTGTCCGGCTTGCCAACGATTTCGCGAAAGGCAAACCCAGTCACAATGTTCTCTCCTCTGCAAGAGGAAAATAAAGGTAAGAAGCGTTTATTTGTATAAATTTACATTAATTACCTCGTGTACTTGGATGATGGCGGCATTCCAGCATATTGCACACTGCTAGCAGAGCTAACCCATACTTTATCCTTGGTCTTGCCCACGCTTGGGACACTAGGTTTGGCTTCCGCCTCATCCACCCTATCCTTGGCATCCTCAAACTCATCTTGATCCAGCGGCGGTGGCTCTTCTTCAAAGTTGAGAATGGGACCTAGGCTCTTGGCGCCCAAGCTGTTGCCCAAGGTATCGAATGGCGTGGCAGGACCTGTGGACGAGCTGGGAAACTTGGCCTTGCAACTGGAAACGCTGCCGGGTAATGGTGTGTTGGATTCCCCATCGGAAAGGGTGCTCACACTGCCCTCGCAAGAGCGATTAAGGGGACTATCATCGTCGCTGCTCAGCTGGGCGGCTTCATCGTCATCGCAGAGTTTGCCATTGTAAAACAAGCGACATGAACGCAGATTCACAAAGTCGCGGCTCTTGACCATGCCACCACCACCGCCAATGGACACCTGATAGGTTATATCAGTGTAGGAGTTGATTTTCTATAAAATATACTCCATATTAGCATTTTATTTAATTTACAGCTTATCTTAAGACTTACTCGCACAATTCTTGACTCCAGCAGCGCAGGATTCCACTTGGGACAGTCTTCAATGCGGTAGAACAGATCTTCCATTAGAGCCTTTGCTGGGTACTTGATTCGCGCTGTCAACTTGTAAATCTTGCCTATCTTCTCCCGTTGGGTGCTGTGAATGGTGTCGCCCTTGTGTGTCACCTTCTCCACCTTCCAGTCGCTGGACTCTATGATGGCATAGGCCTTTCGCAGGCAATCCAGGCCCATTTGGTTGTATTCTTCATCCTAAAATACAAACCAGTAACAGAGATTAACTGGGTGGAAAAATCTAAAAAGAACTACCAAAATCATTTGGCTGCTGTGCTTCCCTTTGCTTCAGTAAAGCTTCTTATATATGTCCCCATATCCACTTTCCCATTCCGTAGATATTTTAAAATGCGCATTCATGAATAGCTTACCTCCTCTTCCTCCTCGTCGGAGTGACGCGCCGTGTCCATGGGTGAATAGAAATCAGTTACACTTTGCGGCACCCGTTCGTTCTCAGTCAAAATGGCCGGCTGCACCAAGGGAGTGCGATCATTCGTCGATGTCATGGCTAAAATATACAAGAGATTTCATTTTAATCAATAATTTCAAGTACAGATTAGTGTTCTTACATCGGAAATAGTGCCGGGCATGTCGCTCTTGTGGTATAACCCGGCAATCCAGGAACCAGGCTTCGCCCCAAGCCAAAATAAACGAGGTTATTATAAGTATAACTTCGAATACTTGTTGCTTTGTTTGCAGCCACTGTACAGGAAAGGACAGCGTTCAGTTTCAAATCAGTTTGAAAAGAAAATATTAAAGTCTTACATCGAACACAAACACCTTAGAGATAAGGAACAAGCAAGACCCACTTGTAGAGAGCTGTGAAATAGGAGGTGAATATAGATATGAGTTTATAACAAGCCTACTATAAGGTGATTGGAAACCCACCGCTATGATGGACCAGTGATTGATGTACAATATGGCATAAAAGAAAATGAGCACCACGAAGCGGCAGATGGCAATGGCCACCACATCAAAGAGAGACTTGTAGATGGTATACTCCAAGATCTGCTTGCGAAAGGCATTGAATATATTGTCACCGTCGATCTGTAATATAAAGGTTGTACGATCTGCCGAATCTCATTGGAATAAATCCCAGACATACCACAATGCAAATGAGCCAGAGCAGCGAGACGAAGACCAGATCGAATGTAACAAACAGGCAGAAGAAACGCCGCACCACAGACATGCGACCATCCTGCATGTAGCCGGCCAGGAAGTCCTCCGTAATCAGGTTGATGGAATGTGATCGCGCTGCAATACCATATACAGTTTAAGTAGGAAGTAAGAATATTATAGTATACAGTGATACTCACACATGTCGTACTGCATGTGGTAGGCACTATTTCCCTGCCGCGCATTGGTCAAAATGAGCTGGGCAGCACTGCGAACATCGTTTGGATCGCTTTGAGACATGATGGTTCCGACTTTAGCTCAAGTTTTCCATTCCGAAATCCAGGATTTATCTAGAGTTTGTAGGCATGACTAATTTTAAGGCCCAGAATTTTGCAGATAAGAGCTGTTCCATATGCGAAATGATTGTAGGGACCAATTAAAGCCAATACAAGTAAACATACCTTGATTGAGCGTAATCGCAAATAAATGGCGTTGGAAATCTGGGGCAGAACCTATATTCCTACAGATAGTTTTATAGATTACCGATACGCACAAGTGACTCGTCAGCTTCGGTTTGGGTTTCTTTGTTTTCTTCTTTCTTTTATGCATAAACAAAACTCCTCATATTGCAGACGCCCGCATAATTCGCAAAATGTAAACCCTATCTACTTGAGCCATTAATTACTGTTGAATACTTATATTGAACTAAGCTAATAAAGTGCTGATATAGAGGAATATATAACTATTAGACCATTTGTCCTACTTTCTTGAGTTTTAAGGAATACTATATGAACAAAAGAAACACCGACGAAGATTAAAAATGCAAAAACAGCTGTTTAGAGGGACCAGTTGCGTTAATGCACAAAATGCCCAAAGATTTAGAAAATACCAAAACCAAGAAAGGTACCTTTTATGGAGTTTGTTTGTAAACAAATTTGTTAATGGCTTTATATTTTATTATTTAATTAATTGTACACTTTCCTTTAAGACTAAACGGCTGGCTTTTTGGGCAGAGAGCCGAATGCAGAGATGACGGTTCCCTTAGTGCCCGTAACTGTCGTGGTCAAGGCCGGAAGCGTGGGCTTAACCACGGTTGAAGACGGAGCCGGCTGATCCCACTTGGATTTCCTGCAAATTAACACAGATTAAAATCTAGACAAGTTTTCTAAGAGCTGGCGTTATTACCGCTTCTTGGCCTCCTCCTCAACCTTCCTGGCCAAGGCTGTGGCCTGCTCCACCTTGTCCATGTCCTTGCGGTCCTTCTGCCGCTTCACCATCTCCGTTTTCTGGACCGCCGCCAATGCCTCGTAGTAGGACTCCTCGCCCCATTGCAACGGATCGTAGATTTCCGGCGGATAGTTGGTGCCAAATTCGTTGATGTCGCAGAAGCTGATCAGTTTGTCGTAGATGCTGGGATTGCGGAACTCCTTGCGGTCCTGGATCACCCGGTTCATGTCCATATTGGTCTGCCGCATCTTGGTGTACATCTTGGTGATCTTGGCCACCAGTTCCGCGGACGGTTTGCCCTTGGGCTCCGGCGGCAGCTGGAACTTGTACTTGGCGTACTTGGGATCCTTCTCGTAGCTCTCCGCAGTGCGTTCTTCAGCCGGAAAGCCCTCCGCCTCTTCGTCGACCTCCATGGGAGTGTCCGTTTCCTTGGCCCCGTTGCCCGTGCTGCTCTTATCCTTGGCATTAGGGCTGTCGCCGCCTTCAGAGTTGGAGCTATCGCTGTCGCTGGAACTGCTGGACTCCTCCTCGCTGGAGACGGCTGCTGCGCGATCCTCCTCCTCGTCGGAAATCAAGTTGTCGTCCTGATAGCTGACTAGGCGGCGCACCTTCTTGGCGTGTTTCTTCTTCTTTTGCTTGGACCGTTTTGTTTCCGGACCCTGTTTGGTGGGCGTGGGCGAGGGTCGCTTGGGCGGAATGATCACCTGTAAAAGCATTTTCGTACAGGTTTTCCTTAGTTTCCCGAATTTTGAGTGGATTTTCCTGGGGCTCACCTGGGACGCTGTGGAATTCTGGGAGTCCGGGCTGGCCTCCCCTTCCCCCTCCGAGTCTGTGTACTGGGCGGTCAAGCTGGCCAGGGCGGCCATTGTTTCGGCTGGCCTTGGGCTTTAAATAACGGGAATTAAAGGTTATAAACAATTTTCAACTAAAAATGTTTTCTTTTTGCCAGTGTGACCAGTTTTGGGGGAGAGGGAAATGTTTTAGCCCCGTTGGCTACTTGCTTAGGCTGGTCACACTTGGAAAGATGAAGACAGAAAAGCAGGAGGACCAGGACCGGATCCAGAAGAGGGTCAACAAGATCCTGGAGGCGCGCCTGGAGTCGGACAAGGTGAGCCTTACCAAGCCCGGGAAACCCCCCCTTTAATCAATCGCTTCCCCTCCGCCTAGGACACCTTGGATGCACTCAGCGGCCTGTCTACGTTCTTCACGGAGAACACCCTCCAGAATCGCCGGAATCTGCGCAGCCAGATTGAACACCGCTCCGTGGGCATCAATGAGAACTTCCTGAAGGCCTTCCGCGAGGTCAAGCTGTCGCTGGACGCGGTATGCGCGGATCTGGACACAATGGCCACGTCAGTGGAGACCATGAAGTCGGATCTGGAGACGTCAAAGGCCCTGACCAAGGATCTTATCGAGCAGACCAACACCATGCAGCGGGAGCGGGACCGTTTGGAGGTGCATCAGCAGATTGCGCAGGCCTTTTTGGCCAGATTCCAGCTGAGCGGGCAGGAGCATCAATTGCTATATGGCGCCGCCAAGGATGCACCCATTGTCCACGACTTCTTCCGTGTGCTGGACAGGGTCCAGAGTATCCATGCTGACTGCCGGCTGTTGATGCAGTGTGGCTATCAAACGGCCGCCTTGGACATCATGGAGGAGATGACGTTGCACCAGGAGGGAGCCCTAGAGCGGCTTTATCGCTGGACCCAGAATCACTGTCGCAGCTTGGAGAACAATGAGATTGGTCCACTGATTGTGGAGGCCATGAGTCGGCTTCAGGATCGTCCAGTGCTCTTCAAGTGGGTTTGGTTTTGGTTTATTTTGTGGGTTGTGGTTACAAGTGGATCTCTTGAATCTTCTTTAGATACGTCATTGATGAGTATGCCATTGCCCGGCGTGCTGTCCTGGTGCGCCAGTTCATCGAGGCCTTGACGGAGGGCGGCCCTGGCGGCAATCCCAAGCCCATTGAGCTACATGCCCATGATCCTAAGAGGTATATTGGCGATATGTTTGCCTGGCTGCATCAGAGTATACCCAGCGAGAAGGAGAACCTGTCGCTGCTGTTTAAGAAGTGCGACAAGCAAGGTTTGTATACCTTCTTCTAAATTAAGCCTTATCCTTATACTCCTCCTTATATCCCACAGACATTTCCGACCAGCTGCAGAGCGCCTTGGGTTACATAGCCGATGGCGTTTGCCATCCTTTGAAAGTCCGCGTGGAGACGATTTTGCAGGCGGAAAAGGACACCATTGTGCTGTTTACCATCTCTAATTTGTTGCGTTTTTACCAGCAAATAATGCGTCAGGTGGTGCAGGGCGGCAGCCTGGAGGATTGCCTGGTGGAGCTGCAAAAGAGCAGCGAACAGATTTACCTGGGTGCCCTGGCCTCCCAAGTGCGCAGTGTTTTGCAGCGTCCTTCGGGAGGTTCAGGTTTGGCTTTGGAGCCACCACAAAGGGATCTGATTCCACCGCCCAGCGTTGCCCGTCTCCTAAATATGCTAAAGGAGATCCTATCGGTGGCCACCATGGTCGATGGCCGCCAAGCGGACATCACCAAGATTGTGAGCTGTGTGATTGATCCTTTGCTGCAATCGGTGCAGGAAAGTGCCGCCCATCTGCCCACCGTGGACATGGGCGTTTATCTGCTCAACTGTCTGCATCACATGCAGAGCTCTTTGGCTGTTTACGAGTACATGGACGAGCGTGTGGAGCGATTGCAGGCCCAGTCGGATGCCCAATTGGATACTCTCACCTCGGAGCAGGCCTCGTCGCTGGTGGCCAATCTCAATCTGGGCCCCATCTACGCCATCCTGCAGAGCAATCAGTCCAAGATTGAGACCAATTTGCTCAAGATTTTCATGTCCAAGATGGATGCCTTTTTGGAGCTGCCCGATGTCTTGCTGTTGCCCCAGGTGCAGCTCATCATGTCCAGCAGTCATCGGGCCACGGTGCAAAAGCGCTCCTTTAACGTCATTGTGGCTATTTACAAGCAGATTTATGAGAGGGTTCACGATCCAGCCAATGGGTTTGAGCAGCCGGAGCAGTTGCTGCACAGGACACCTGAGCAGGTGGCCCACATTCTCACTTCGAGTTAGGGGGCAGGGGTCTGTGGTTATTATTCCAATTCGTATTGTTTATTATTGTGAGAATGTAGCCTACCTTAAGTATCTTTTATTAAATTAATTGCCTTTTCCTGAAATATTTCTCTTAGTTTCTTATAAAACATTTATTATGCACACAAATTTCACTCATTTTTACTTGCATTTATAAAACTAAAATCGAAACACACATTTCTTACATTTAAGCTTTGACTTTTATGTATTTATATGCAGCTCCTCCTTAAGTTATGGTCACTGTGGCCTTTTGGAATAGCTCCAGAGTTAAGGCGGAGAAGAATGCTGGAAAGGAGTTGCTGGCCGCCAGCTGCTGATCAATTGCTGGCTTAAAAGTCTGCGAGTAGGGTGACTCCAAAAGAGCCAAGCAGTTGGATTCATTGAGAGTAATGTCCAAATAATCATCCGGACTCTCGGCATACATGCTGGAAATGCTGCAATAAAGGAAAATCATAAATATATAAATAAATAAAAGTATATAAGCAAATAACCCACCGATAGTTGCTGTTGACCCCGATGCGATCAATCCTGTAGCCCAGCAGCATATAGCACACATCGCGGAACTCTGTGCTGGCCGCCTTGAAGTACTCCTTCATCTTGCGCATCTTGCCATTGGCCGACTCCAAGTCGGCGCGCAATTGATTAAACTCCTTAAAGTTCATGGTCATGCCCCCGGTGGTGGTGGTCTGCTCTTCCTGGTCATCCTCAAGTTTCTTATTGCGCCGCTTCAGACGCTCAATCTCCGCCTGCAGCTTCTCCATCATGTTCTTGCTGACCTCGTAGGCTTCAGCAGCGGGATTTTGAGTAAAATGCACCACCTTGTAGTCACGCATATTAAAGTCACCCAGCAGGCAGCGATTCATTAGCTCCAATTCCATTTCGCTCTTGCGACGGCGCAGCTTCTCGTTCTCCAGCCGCAGCGTGTCCAGCTCCTTTTTGATGCTATCGTAACCATCGCCAGAGGGTTCGGCCAGCATCTCTTGCTGGCGCAATGCCTGAATCTCACGCTCCAATGTGGCACACATATCCTTGTAGCCGGTGACAGTACGTTCCAGCACCTCGACACGATAACGCACTTGCATGTCCTGCGTCATGTCGGCCACGCTGGCATTGCTCATGGTCATGTCCTTGTCGAAATTATCCACCATCTGCTTGTAAAAGTCACGCTCCTTGGAGACAGTGATTAGCTTGCGTTGCAACCGCTCCTTGAAGTTCTTGTGGCGTTTCAGGACCATATTGAGGTCCTCGATGTTCTTCAAGTAAACGGAGCACTTTTGCTCCATGTCACGCAGGGAATTCTGTGGAAAACGATTTCAGTTATATTATTTTAATCTACTTGAAAGTTATTATAAGGTATCTACCTGCAGATGCTTGGTGTCCCACTTGGTGGAGGACTTCTCGGCCACTTGGTTTATGTCCTCTTGCAGCAGCTGTTCGATACGCGAGCGCAGGGCCATGGGACTGACCAGTGTGTTGGGCAAGCAGTGATCCTGGGCCACCTTAACCCACATCTTAAGCTCCTGCTCCACACCCGATAACTTCACTTGCAGGCTTGCCGCCTCGGCCTGGACGCCCTCCAACCGGTCCAGGCGCGTCTTGTAGTCATTGACCTGCTCCTCAAGCAGCAATTTGTCCCCGATCATGCCGTTCAAGCGCTGGTTTTGACCACGCAAGCGTTCCAGCTCAGCCTGTATTTCCGGAACACTGGCCAGACGCTTTTGCGAGACCTTGGTGATCTCCTTCCAGTCGTTGTATGCGTTGATTTGGGACTCCAGATCCCGAATTTTTTCATTGGCCACATCGAGGCTGAGCGTTTGCAACTCGTACTTGCCGCGCAGCTCTTCGTACCCGGAAACTCTGGGCTTAATCTCGTCATAGGCACGACGGAAGCTCTCCAGCTCAGTTTGCGTGGCCTGCAGCTCCATATCGGCCCGCTGAGCCATGCGACGATACTCGTCCAGCTCATTGCTTATGCACAGCTGGACATCGCGGGAGTCCTGCTCCAGCAGAGCCTTCTCCCTCTCAAGCTTGGCCACAACGTCACCGTATTTGAGTTTCAATTGATCCAGTTCGGCTATGGCAAGACTGGCCTGCTCCTTTAAGGTTGTCTCCCGCTTGCGGCTGATCTTTAGCGACTCTGCCATCTCCAAATGAAGTTTGCTGGTGATATCGCACTGGTCCTTCAAAGCGGAGCTCTTGTTCTGCTCCAGCAACATGGCCTGGCGGTGCTCCGTTTCCCTTTGCTCCAACTTATTCTGCAGCTGCAGAATAATAGCCTTGGACTCGATCAGCTCGGCGCGCAGCCGGCTGGCTTCAAAGGAGCCCAGTCCATCGGAGGAGTTGTTTAGCGAACTGGTGCTGGCATTCAGGCTGCGGTCCGGGAGCTCACGCTCGAGGCGACGCTTCTTGGGAGCTATCAAGCAGTGGATTTATAGAGTTATAACAATAATATTGCAAGATATTGCGTGCACTCACAAGCCACAAAGTCGTCGGAAAAGGAAGCGGAAAGCCGGTTGAAGAGCAGCTTCTTGGGCGCCGAGTGTGTGATGCTCTCGTTGAAGCGCGCCAACATGTTGTCCATGCTGGTTCGTATATCGTCCATTTTGATGCCTTTTAAGCCTTTAAATTACTTGTTTCATTGAATTTTCTGACCTTTTCGTAAATTCCTAACAATTGCCAGTGTGGCCAGAGAAAAATACGCGCGCTATCGAACTATCGATGACTGCGAGCCTCAGTATTTAATCGGCTGCTCCGCGCACCACCCAAAAATATGCCACGAAAAATGCCCACGCTCGCGGCGAATGCCAAACCTATCGATAACCGATAGCCGATTGTGCGTCGAGTGCCGAAAAATAAAAATTGATTTGCATTTGTTCTCGGCTTAAAATGAATTAAATGTTGTTGTTTTCGCCCAAAAAAACTCACAACTCGTCACCATAACATCAATTCACTAGTTAAAAGGATAAACCCAAGGAATTAATCAACTGCCAAAAACTAGAACGTATGTGAAGAAAAGGCGTGTGTACCAATAAGAAAAAACGGTAAAAAAGAAGATATTCGAAATAGAGAATATAACCAGATAAAGAATAGAAATATAATACAAAATAGCTAAGAAATAAAACAAAACGCGTGTGCCGCAAAAATAGCGAAAATCGCAACAAAAAAGTGTATGTCAAATAGGAAAATGTGGCTCCGCCAGCGATAACGGTACTCCAATGCGCTCTCTCGCCCGCACACAGACACACACGAATACTACTACCACTGCCAATAGCAAATCCTGACCACCAGCAGCCGCACCTATAAAAGTGGGCGTAGGTAGAGACGAATTACAATTACAAATTGTCCAATAGTGATGTATGCCAATTGTTTAAACAAATGCAAGCTGGCTTAAACTAATACTAGTAAGGAAATTCCAATACACACCTATACGGGCACTCACACACACATATTCATTCCCACGCACGGAGAGAAGAAAAGGAAAGAAAGGGAAGAACGAAGCATCGGCGCGTTGGAGAAATGTGCGGGAAGAGAAGATTGAAAATAAACGTGTAGTAGAGAATTTTTGAAGCACTCATACACACACGCACGCACACTTCCCACACTCTTTCTCTCTCTGTCTCTCTGATTATCCCGTTTGCCGCCTACACACTCACACAAACACACGCACGCACTCCCGTATCGCGAAAAGCGTGAGCTTTGTTGTTGCTCCAGCTCTCTTTGCCGCCCCCTCTGCCGCTTTCTCGCAGGAGGCGCTGCTGTTTTTGTTGTTGTGCTTGCCGCTGAGTAAATGGCAGACCCTCTAAGCGGGCGCCGCTGGTGAGAACATGTCGTAATGGCCAGAGAGGTAAGTGGAAACGTGTTAAAAGCGAAGCCGGCAACTGCGGTTAAACCGTTAATTGTCCCGATCGCAAGCGCAAAATCACGACTTAAATCAGCTGCTCTCTCACTTCATATTCATATTCTCTTTTACATTGTAAAACCTTCGTTACGAACCTAGCCCAACAGCAAAACGGTGAATACCTTACACTGGTTTACACTTTATTACTACTTTATTATAAGCAATTACAAACAATAAATATGATTTTTTATTAAATTTTAATTAGTAATTTAACCAAAAATTACATTAATGTTTATATAATTCCGTGGACAATCATAGTTTTCAAACTTAAAAAAGTCCTTTATTCTGATTTGATTAACAAAAATAAATAAGATAATAGTTTACCCTGAGGAATTTTGACAGAACTTTGAGTTTTTTTGTGACTACCTTCTGCGAGTGTATCTAGCAAGGCGTATCGCTACTGCGGATATTCCGCGTCCGCATCCGCCAGAGGAACCTATTAAGCCTGTGTCCCGCATTAGTCTCTTTGTGTGCGTGTCCCCCAAGCTCTCCTTTGTATAAAAGTGTGTGTGCGAATCTTGCTGTGAGGGTGTGTGTGTTTGTGCATGTTTTATGCAGTTCCTTCGTTTCGTTTTGCTTTGCGGGTGAGTGAATAGCTTTGACCCAAATAACTGAGGTAATACTTACGCCCCACAGAAGCGCCACTCCCCCAACGCAACCCTCTTTCCACGTGCTGCTGCTGCAACTGTTGTTCTTCCTCCTCCCCTCCCACCTTCCACACACACCCCCTCGAATGGCATTTTTCTCCTTCTGGTGTCTCCAAAATTGTTGCTTTGCGAAGTCCCCAAAAAAGTGGTTGAGAATTCCTGGAGCCTGAGAATCCCTTTGACAGCTCCAGCTAGAGATGGCTTTTAGTTTTTGGCAGTTGATCTAGCATTATTAAGCATAAACAAAACGAGATTATCTTACTCCAATTAAAAAACTCGGCCAGAAGTTACAGCTACATTACAGCTCTGTTATCACTTAACAGTCCCAGCTGGCAATGCTGTTTAGAGAGAGAAAGAGAGCGTGTCCAACTGCATATAATATTGCATCTCTCTCTTTTATCCTTTTACTTTTTTCCTTCAACCCCCCTTTTATCAAAGGACTCTTTGAATGCTTAATGCTACAGTCCAAATGTTGAATTTTTGTAAGCCCCCCTCGGGCCCAAAAGTAAGCTCGCTATTTTCATTTGGTAAACAAGAAATAGTAACAGTTAATTGATCGGCTTTGATTGCGTGTAAATATTTACAAAATCAAACTCTTTGGATCCTTGGGAATACTTGTGGAGCGTGCGCGCGCCTTAGCGTCCTGATTATATCACATTGATGCAAATGTAGGGCAAAGCACGGCAAAGGAGTGTAAACTGTCCAAGGGGGATAAAACTAACACAGAAAGAGTTGTACAAGTGCATATGAGGATAAGTAAATGTTGTAGCATTTCGTGTTAAATAACTAAGAATGGCTTGTCTTAATTAGTAACGGTTCTGTCCTGTCCGCACTCTTGGCCCCCCTTTCCCTCTTCCACTGAGCTTTTAGCTGCACTCTCTCACATCCTGTTCTCACTGGAACTGCAATTCTCTCAAGCAGGATGCTTCGTGCTCATTTCAAGCGCTGTTAGAGCGCTGCAAAACGCACCCAGCCCCAAAAGAACAAGAAGCAGCAGCATCAGCAGCAGCAGTAGTAAAATCCGATGCAGCATCTCATCGGGAAACTCGGAAAACTCACAGTTTGCTCTGCCAGGCTGCCAGGCGCACACACTCGGGCAGCTAAAGAAAAGGCTGCTCCTGGCACTTTTCGCCTTTGTTCTGTGGCAACACCACGTTTAACTGGGTGTGGACCACACCAATAAAAATCCCAGCATTTTTCTACAAAATAACTTTCCGAACATTTATAAAATAAACACCTTTTCCAACTATAAAAAGGCAAATGCATATAATCGAGTCAGAGCAGCGTTGAATGCAAATGAAAAGGAAAACTCGGCGGTTTCACGGGCAAGAGGGGCGCTGTGCTGCAGGCGCGTAGTATCCGTATCCGTAAAGTGAAAGTGCGAAGTGCGAAGGTCAACCCGCCCTGACCTGCCCCAAAAATACGAATGCGAACTGCAAAGTGTACGACGAATGCGAATGCGAGCAGTGAAAAGCGAAATTTTAAGCCCATCTGCTGCTCGTCAAGATTTTTATAACAATCTTCCAAAGAATACAACTTAGTCAAGGGAAGAAAAACCCTATTTTTACAAGGAAAACAAATACATTTTCTGTGTGTGTGTGCCGTGTGTGTTGTTGAATTATTATTTTTTTTTTTTGTGATCCAACAAACAATTTTTGTAATAACGAATTTTTCCCCGAACGAAAGGCATTTAAACCCCGGACTCTCAAACAATAAGCAATAAGCTTTAAATTTTGTAAAAACTTTTCACCAGCGTCGTCGTTTCCAAGGCGGATTTTTACCAAAAACAAAACAAAAAAACGCGTTTATATAACGATTTTTTAAAGAGGAGCGCTAGCCACACTTAAACATGGATTACTCGCCCCCCAACCGCCGAGTGTGAGACGAAAGGACGACCTTGAGCCAAAGCCAGAGCCAGAGAATCGAAAGCCAGCAGAGCAGCAGCCGCAGCAGCAGCAGCAGCAGAAGCAGCGCAGGATCTCGGCCTAAAAGTGGCTGGCAAGGGCGAAGCGAGTGCCATCTGCAGCTCCAGCTCCAGCCCCAGCACCACCACCATGTGGTCCAACGCCCTGTGCACGCTGGGCGTGACGAAGCCGCTCTGCAATTGTCTGAGCATCAGACAAGTGGCAGCCGCAGCTGCGGCGGCGGCCCAGGCCACGCAGGGCGTAGCTGCCTCTGCCGCCACGGCAGCTGCAGGTGTGGGTGGCGTCGGTGGGATGGGTGCTGGAGTGGTTGGTGGTGGCGCGGCTATCACAACGGGTCCCTCCGCGGGTGCAAGCCTGTCCGCACTGGTATGGTCACAGACACTGTCCCGCTTTCAGCCTCCGATAAGGCTTATCATATCCATTCAAGTCCATTCAATCACACATTTCTGATAAGATAGCTTCTTCAAATATAGTTGGAATTCTTTTAAATCGAATTACCCTTATCAAGAGTTATTTTTACATATTTCATCCATTAAAACTGGTTCTCCTTGTCGAGATTAAGAGATTGCCTTGAGTAGTTTGGCCTAAATGTTTAACTATAAATTGATACGGAAGCAAATATCAATTAATATGTTTAGCGTTTTGTATATTTTAATATATTATAAGACAAAAGAAACTTGGTTAGTTAGTTGTTTAGGGTTCTTAGTTATATTTTGAAAAGATGTCTAGGGTTTTTCTATATTTCTATTTTTTTTTCGATATCCTATCAAAAATCTTTGTTTATAAACTTGAAAATACTTATACCTTCTCTTGACAAGTGTGTTTACTGAATTTTATTTAAAATTTTGTATAACAATATCATAAAACCATTTGATTTTGATTTCACACACACTTTCCTTATACAAGTTTGCCCCTTGCTTAGCTATTCTTTTGGCCTTTTGTCTACCTTTACTGGGGCTGCTTAGACATTTATTAATTTCCGAATTTATAATACCCAATCTACTACTACTACTACACACACACACATCGCTCTTAGGAACGCCATATGGCGCTGGGGCGGAGCAAACTGACCTATCCCAAGCCAAAAAAAAAAAAAAAAAAAGAAATGCCCGAGCCCGAAAGGGGGGCAGCGAGGGGGGAAAACACAGAGCGAAAGAAATGAAATATTTTTATGAAAAGTTTTCTGCTTGTTTTCGGTGCGAAGGAATAAGCAAAATGTCAACATGAATTTTTTGTAATTTTTCAAACATTTTATTTGGCTGGAGAGGAGGAGGAGGGATTACACGGGGACATGGACGGGTATCCAAAGAGAGAGTGTGCTTCCTTTTCATATTTGTATTTGGGCTCGTGTGCGCTGCACTCGTTACTGGGTCACTGGAGCGCCACACTCATGTCCTTGCAATACATTAAACATTGCAGCTTTCGTCCTGTGCGCTCGCTCGGTTCGCCCGAAGTCGCTGTAGTCGATGTTGTTGTTGTCGTCCTGTTACTGTTAGCCAACAGCTGTGAGCGCTGTTAGCCTAAAAGGATACGTTTCGGTTCTTGGCCCTCTTTTTCTTTTTGTTTTCACTTTTCGCCATACGATGGAGATTTTTCGTGATTTTTTATTGATAGGAAATATGAGGAATTTAGCCTTATGAAAGATATAAGCTATAAGGACTTTCTTTAAAACGCTTTAATATACCTTATTTGATCCTGCAGCCTTGTTGGCCTTGACATTTGTGCCCTTTTTTGAACCTCAATTAGCGGAACTGAGGGAATTATGACATATCCCGGGCCTTGCCACACCCACTTGTCACTGTTTTTTGCCTGCGCAGCGTTTCACAGGTGTCACGCCCATCCTGCATCACACAGCATCCTTTCACCTTTTCCATAGAATCCATAGAATTCCATAATCCCTAATCGTTTATTTCTTCGCAGGAGTCTCGCGGCAAGAGACCACTGAAAATCTGGGACAGCTGGCGGAATGTGCGCAAGGGCGTCGTAGTTGGGACCTTTGAGGAGCTCTTGGTCCGCGGCAAGGATAAGCTAGGGGTTCCTGCTTCAGAACCGGTACGCGTTGTTCTGGAGTGTGATGGAACCCAAATCGAGGATGGCGAATACTTTCGCACCCTGGCCAACAATACGGTGCTGCTTCTGTTGAGGCAGGGCGAGCGCTGGTATCCCACTGGCGTTGATGTCATAAAGGCTGGTAAGTGTCTGGTTTATACTGGCTGAGATCCAGAAGTGGGAGCAGGCAGAAGATCTTCTCGAAAAAATAATAGTAAAAACAAATTAAAGAATAAAATCGTTGAGTTTATTAGGAAGCCAAAAAAAATGGAAAACATCTTGTATTAAAATGGGGGAAAAAAATCGTTTGCCCAGCAATTGTTTAAACATTTAATTTCTTTACAAAACTGTTTACAAATGGGTTCTAAAAATCCCTTAATAGTTCCTTGGCTTTGATTTTATTTTAATGCTAAAGAAACGCTAATTTAAACATATAAATCCCAGGGTTATTTCGGATTCTAGCATTGTTTAAAAGCACATTTCCAAAAGTCCAAAAATAGAACTCAAAAGCAATAAATTTTCGTATTGTTTTAATGCGATTCTGTCAGAGAACGATAAAGGTTTCCATTGTTAACATTTAATTTCCTACGCAAGTCGTTAAGCGAAATAAAACAAATGCCGGAGGAATAGGAAATATATCTGCTCTCCTGAGCTTAAATTCTAAGCAAAACTCAAAAATAATATAGTTACAGTTTAGTTATTATAATTATAAGTGTATATATGCTGATCTGATATATTAAATTAAATTACCTTAAAAATATCCACCATTTAATCAAATAATTTATCTTCCAGCTATATCAGCTATACCGAAAATCGTCTGTGAGACGATTCATGCACTGGAGCTGCACGATGAAACCCCGTCGTGGAAGATCATGGACAACAAAGGGCGTGTCACGGTCGTTCTGCATTGGGATCAGCGGCAGGGTGGAGGCGGGAGCAGCGGTGGTGGTGGCGGCGGCAGCAGCGGTGGCGGCATGTGCTCCGGCCTGGGCAGCAGCAATGGACTGCTTACCTCCGACAAGTATTCGCCCTCGAAGAAGGGCCTCTCCGCGCAAAGTTCGCTGGACAACAAGTCGGTGTCGTCGCAATCCTCCCAGCCACGCTATGCCAGCCCCCAAATAACGGTGATCAGTGACGACGGCCCGGCGAGCATATACCATCCCGGCGGCGTTGTCCTGCCACCAGGAGTTGTGATACCCGGCGGCAGCAGGCGCCTCTCCAAGCAGGGCAGCTCCTTCGACAGTAACGTGTCGGGTGGTGTCGGCGTGGGAGCTGTCCACGTTCATACGCCGGAGTGCGCCCACCACGCCCACACCCCCAGCAGGGCGGGAAGTCCCAGCACCACGGAGTGCGACTTCCACTGCTGTGCACTGCACGAGGAGGGGCGCAAGATAGCCGTGCACAAGAGCGTGGCCACGTCGCCCATTCAGGACGGCAGCTGCAGCAGTCCCCAGCCGCAGTCGGCACCCTCGGTTATGGATCCTATGCTGGGCGGCAGCGGTGCAGGCGGTGGCGGCAGCGGTGGAAGTGGCAGCATGCAACGCCGCTCGTCGGGAGCCAAGGGTCATGTACGTTTCCTGGACATTGCCCCCGAACGGGATAGCTCCGAGAGCGAAACGGAGAACACGGTTATGGAGGACGACAAGACGACGACGGAGAAGTTTCTGCTGCTGATCGACCAGCTGTCGGTGGACCAGAAGCGTCATCTCAGCATCAAGGACATCGGCATCATACTGGAGCGCCTCAACTCCAAGATACTCGACGTGGAGCGGTTGGATCGGGAGTCCGAGTCGGACGATTGCTACAACTGGACGATAAAGGCGACAATACGCGGCGATGCGCTGCGCGAACTGGGCGTCATCTACAATGGCAACTACTATGCCATCTCCGAGCATCCCGGCTACAAGGAGGAGCTCGAGGAGAACGGCGAGGAGGTCGAGGAGGAGGAAGAAGAGGAGGATGAGGAGGACAGAATTTAGATGGGCAGACCCACAACAAGTGGTGGAAGGTATCAATAAACTAGCGCATTTTACAAAAACAAAAACCGTAAAAAAACGACAAAAAATTGACAAAAAAAAAGATGAAAACCAAAAAATATATAGGAGTAGCCCAGCAGCTCAACAACACACTCAACACACACACCAACAGCCACACATGCATACATATATACATATATACTTATATAAAATAATTACGAGAATATAATAATGCAAGTCGCACATTGTACAATAGTGAAGTAAGCATAAACGTGAATTATAAAAAACAAAATGGCAAAAGCAAAGCCAGTCACAACACACACCACAGACTCATACATACACTCCCCCCACACACACCCCCAACACACACAAGCGCGAAACCAGGTAATCGCAGTTTTTGTAGCATTTAGCGAGAGAATTCTCATAGACGGGGACCGACGTTAAAAGAAGAGAATATCTAAAAATCGAATTGGAGTAACCCACGCCAACATAATAATTCACCAACAACATGCACTTCCGGAACCCCCCATATAATCCCTGTGTTATTATCATTATTCTTATTATTATTATTATCGTTGTTGTACAATAGATGTTTCGTGTTCCGTTGTGATTGTGTGCCAAAATAGCCTTATTTAGTTGGATAGAACACAACCCCCACAGACACAGACTGCCACTCGCCACTAGAGTCAGGAAATCTCTAATCTGAACCCAAAGACTATAAGTTGTGAAGAAAAGAGAGATATATAGATAACACAGAGACTATAAATTGTTGTTGCCAAAAAAAAGGAAAGAATGGGGAGACGTACACTGAAAGTCTAACTGTTAGTTCAGAGTCGGTCTCTCATAATATCCTATGTAGTGTTCCTCAGAGTTCCTCAGTTGTTTTTTTGGTACCCCCAAAAGCCTAGAAAAAGAAAGTTACAGGGATGATGGGTCTTAGAAATTGCTAAGGATTTGAAATGTACTCAAAATGGTGGCCAAAATGCCAGAAAAAGTGGAATCCTTAACGATTTCTTTGCCCCAACACCCTGTATAAATCGCATTTGTATAGTTCCTGGACAGCGAACACTCGATTTGAGGTATATTATTTGTTAATGTTGCTACATTTTCCACACTCCCCCCCCCATAAAAAAATCTGTGCAACAATTCCCGACGAATCATCATCCGCATCAGCATGTAAAACTGCCGTTATTTGTAGTGTTGTCAAACGTTCAACAAAAATCGCGCACAATGTTAAAATTAAACACAGAGTATAGAAACAATAAGCAAAAACAAAAACAATGCTCTAAATGCCTGACAAACAGACTAAAAAAAAAAATGAAAAAGTAAAAAAGATAAAAATTAATGTGTAGTAGTTATAGACCGCGCTAATTGGGTAAAGATCAAGATCCATCGGAACTATCACACACGCACACATACACACACGATCGCAATCGAAGAAATGTAAGCGAAAAAACCACTGCCAACATCTCGCCATCAAGATGCATTCGTTGAGTTTATAGGCTTCCACTTCCAGAACTTTGACTGTTCCATACGGGTATCAAGCAATCGAGTTAAAAGAGCAAGCGGCTTTTAAAGAGGTTTCTGTCTGAAATCAGGAATATATTTGAGAAGGATTACTTTTAAGAAATCTGGAGAATTCGAGGAGGAAGATATTCAGACTTTGAAAGTTATCATTTTTCAAGATTTCGAAGCTAAAGCAGATTTTCCATTCTAAAATACTAAAAAATCTTTTTGAAAAGAACCATTTCATAAATCTCCAGGAAGAAGATATTCATTTTTAAGATTCTATAGTAATAAAAGTAGGTTTTACCTCTTAATATATTGAAATTCCTTTTTAAAAATACTTATTTTCGAATAAGTTCTTGATTTTAGACAGATAGTCCCCCTCCTTCTGGGGGGGTCTCTTTCCCCAGTTGCTTTCCCAAGTAGCCGTAGCTGGTCTACGCGCTCATCCCTCTGTCCTGGACCAAATCTATGGGCATGAAAGGCGGAAACTAACACCGCTGCTCCAACAGACACCGCGAGTAGCAAACAGGGAATCAAGCAAGCGATTGGGACAAGTAATCCAAGCCGAGGTCAACCACAGACTGTATTCTGCTCTAAACAAAAACTAAAGAAAAGTAAAAACAAATAAACGAAGTAATAAAGTAAAACGGAAGAGGAAGGCGGAGACGAAGGCGAAAAGAGAAAGCGATTTTTAAACAGACGTTTGTCCAAGGCACAAAATCTAAGCATTAATGTGGGAAATTAATGAAAAATGAAATTCCAAAGAAAAACCTAGTATGTATAAATGAAAAATTAAAGTTGATAATTAATTGATAAAGAGATAAAGATAATAATAATAAAGCAAAGAAGAAAGGCAGAGGTTGGGAAAAAGTCAAGCAGAGAGAAGGAACGTTAAACGAGAACTCACAATTAGCGAAGCGAAAAACAAATTCATTAGCGTTGTTTTAATTTATTAGTAAGTCGAGAGAACGGCAAGAGACCCAAAACCAAAACCAAACAAACTAAAAACACGATGATGAATATATCTCTCCATGTGTATGTATGTATGATTAAAGGACCGAGTTCGAGAAGGGCGGAGATCGAATCGAAGCGAAGAATACCTATACTCGGCAAGCATTACATAGTTATAAGACGGGAACTCGCAATACGATGATAACGATAACTCAACTTCCAAAACCGATACAGACTTCTTCAGCTGACTTCCATAATCATAATCATTGTTAACACTTAACTATAGAGAATTAACGCAATAAAAGACACACACAAAAACACACACAGCCCTTGGTTCCGGTTGCGTTAGTTAGGTTTTTCCGTTTCGATACCAATATACCGATTACCCCAAAAGCTACCCTACCAAGTCCTAGACAAATCCCGTTTCCGTTTCCGGTACCGATTTCCCTTTCCCTCTCCCACTCAGACTCGTCGTCGTTGTCGTCGTCACACACTCTGTGTAAATGCAATCAGTTAGATTTATAAGATGAGATAGAGAGTGCGAGCTCCCCGAATGAAGAGGCATTAATTAAGCTACCAAAAAAAACAATTTGCAAATAATATTCATAGAGAGAGAGCAGCGGCAGCATCGTCATCATGATGCAACATCATGCGTTACATTGTTTTAATATATGAGAATTACGAATAAATTGATCAATTAACATATACACATACAACAACAACAAGAACAACAACAACAAAATAAGTGGAAACAAAAATTACAAAAAACTGTTTTTATTAATTTTGTTAAACGATAATGAAAATCATTAAAATAACTCTAAACCGAAAACGGAAAAAAACAAACAAAGCTAAGCGAATAACAAACAACAGATTAAAATTAATAACATATATATAAATCGATATATAAATACACACACTCACACACACATAACATTGAGCAGAAAAAAAAACAACAACATAAATTCAATTAAAAAGAAACAAAGAAAGCAAAAGAAAAAAAAACAAAGTTTAAAGAACAAGCTCAAGCTAAAAACAAAAACGGAAGGAAATAAACAAAAAAATAAAAAATAAAATTTGTTCACAGTGTAAATTGTAACACACAGAGAGCGAAAAAAAAGAAGAAAACGCAGTGAGAGGCATGTGAGCGAGGAGCTATTATTAAAACATTAAACGATTTAAACAATAAAAAAAAACGAAAATAAATAAAACAAAAAAAAAAATACAAAAATTTAAACCGAAAAATTCGAAAAAAACAAACTTTTGTTTTGTGTGCAGCAGATATTAACCGGAACTCGCATCGATAAACATTCAACTGTATATATTCAGGGGATTCACTGCAAATGTTTATTAAACATAGATGAACATGAACTTAAAGGTTGCCTACATTTCAACAATAAATTACTGAGCCAAAACAGTTGAACAGTTTATTGCTGCGCCGCTCAACGCTAGCTCATTTCCGATACGGCAAACGGTGCGTTTCATAACCATAAATGAGGCGCGTGGAGGTCGTGCTCCGATCAATGCCCGACATTGAGCTAAATATAGTTTTGAAACGCACTGTGTGAGGTATACAGTACTGGTTAGATTAGTATTAAGTGTGCTGATTAAGTGCATATAGCCAGTACATATATGGTCACGCATTCACAGCAATCGGTGAGAATCGGTAACAGTTACGCTAATCACTAGGGACCTGCCCAATGGCAAAAATAAACAACAATAAACAAATACTTAGTGCTAGGCTATAGAACCACATTGAGCCAGACGACACAGTCACAGTCAGAGTCAGTAGTGATAAAGCACACTGCGCTTAGACAACCCAGTGGACAAAAAGACTATAGTAAAGGGAAACTATCGTAAAATGTTCGTCAACATTAGCAAATACACTCAGAAATGAGCTATTAGAGAACAGAAACAAAGGAACAAGAATTAAACCGTTTAAAATTATCATCCAAAATATATCGCTTAAGACTCGCAAACGATCCGTTTTGAAGCTACCGAAAATTAAACTTTAAAATTGAGCGGGTCTTTTTTAATACTATTTTTGGATCTCAGATAATAGTCTTATTTGCTTTGGTCTACTGGGAACGCCCAGTCACAGGCACTAGTACAAGTACGTATACGTTATATGTGGTCATTACTCATCCAAGATGATGGGGTACATTGCGTTTGCGTTCTGGGTTGCTATATAATTGAATTAAGTAAGTCACTTATCGAACGCGTGACTAACAGTTAATTGAGCGCTTCGATTAGCAGTCGCCACATTTAACCTCCTCACTCTCAACGCAATTGCCAATTTGTCTGTTTATCAAATCTACAATATATATCATCGTATCGTATCGTATCAGTAAGTGTTCGTTTTAGGTCGTTTTGTGTGCTTTGTGCGCTTTGTGATATACATCTGGTGCAGATATGTGTACGTACATATGTGGTATTGTCTTTATTCGTTGTTGTCTTATATAAGTTAACAAGTGCGTCTAAGTAGTATTAAGTTAGTTATTTGACTTTGATTAGGTTTTACAGACTACGGATTATCACTAAGCATGGAGGGTGGTAACTAGACTGGGCACACACACACACGCGAGCAGGAGAGATGGGGACTCAGCCCGGTGTCTGCAGCTTGCTGCTCGATCGCGAGAATAGAACCTTCTTCAGTATATTCGGCTGCCATTTAATGGAGCTCTTCTTGCTCTCCGACGTGGTGGAGATATTGGAGCTGCTGGCACTTAGTGTCCTCTCCCGTTCCGTCACATTGATGGTGCTAACGGAGTGAGCATGCCGCAAAGGCTTGCCACTATCGCTTTTTGGTGTTTTGCCAAAGCTGTGCGTGAACTTGCGCAGAAACCGGTCCTTCTTCTTGGGCTTTAGCTCCGGCAGCGGCAAGCTGGTATCGCCGGATACCGAAACTAATGTGGTTTCCTCGGCTTCTGGGACACTGTTGTAGCTGTTGTTGTAGCTGGGCATATCGGTGACGTCTTTGTCGTTGATCTGTATCCGTATGCTGGGGGTGGTCACTCGCTGAGGGCCCGATTCATCCGTGGGAGAGGGTCTGAATGGGGGAAAAATAAGTTTAAATTAGAAATCTGGGTTTAATATATTTAAAATATAATATTTTATTTAAATTTCCAGTTTGAAAAAGCTCTTTAAGCATAGGATTTTTCTAATTAGTATTTTAATGCAAAATAAATACTTGAAATGTCTCTGGTATTAAAAAATTCTAATTAAAATTCCCACAGTAAGTACTATATGAGCAAATACCACACTGCGTATGGGTAATCAGCTTTGGTTAATGGGCCTTGGTATATTACCCATACGCAGTGTGGTATTTCCTCATATATTTTGTTTACAACCATTTGTGTGAGAATTTGTAGCCACTAAAAGTTATTGCAAACAAAGAATAAGGACTTGAGGTAATAAATTTAATATTAAACTAATTTAGACCACGACTTTTCTTCTTTATCTCTATATATTCGATATAAGAGCCCATATAATCGCTTAGAATTATCTCAAGATTAATTTTCAACATCACATGACTGCCAGCCACTTGAATCGAACCACTTAAAGAAATCTAAATGAAATAATAACTCACGTTTGCACTTGACGCGGAGCGTAGATAGAGAAGGCATCCAGGTCATGCAGCGACCTGGCCAGCTTGTCCCAGAAGTTGAACAGCTTGGAGTCACCGGCGTATTTAATGTGCGTATAGATGCCCAGGGTCTGGGGTATGTGCATGTCTGTCTTGTACAGTATGGGTATGATTTTGCGAGTGTGATTCTCTAAGGGAACGAAAACAAAAACTGGTCATTTGGACCGATCTACAGTTACACCCAGCAGCAGCACTCACCGATTTGTATCTTCTGGGTGAAGTTCACGAGGTACGTGTTCTCCGGACTCCGGAGAAACTCCTCGGTGAGCACAACAATCAGGTGATTACAGCGGGTGGCCATGAAGTGGGAGAGCTGGACATGTTCGAAGGGCACACCCATAAGCATGTCGCGGTGACGCAGGAAGAGCTGTAGGTAGAAAAATTTTCAAATTTAAATGGCATTCCCAAGCAAGGTAACATCTATACCAACTCACCCTGAGATTATACCTCTCCGATTCCAGATTATTCATGATTTCGGTGGCATGATCGATATCAGCTTCGGCGTACAAAACGCAGGCATTGTATCGGGGCAGCGGTTGACCCATTTGCACACAACGCTGATCCTCATCGCTCAAGATTTGGACACTCTGGCCCACGGTGATGTTGTTGCTGCTGCTGTAGTTGCTATTGTTGTTGTTGGCCTCGAAGCAGTCGCTGGGCGGCGGAGGACAGGCCTCTACCAGAGCTGCCTGTCGCTGCTCTCGCTTGACAATATAGCGACTGGTGTCCTTGGCTGCAAATCAAATTTAAATAATTTTATTAATTTAATTAATTAATAAAAAAAATGTTGCTAAACTTCTTTAATCAAATGTTTGTTTCGCATTCGCGTTCGAGTTTGGCCTCCACAAATTAAACTTCCAATTTGCACGATTTCCTCGGAACATTAATTAAGTCTTTGGCCATAGATAAAATACCTACAGCAACGCTGAGGCATCTTTCTAGAATGAGGAATTCGATTTCTAGACCGAAAACAAAATACATGTGTTCATAGTCAGGGCAGTTTGTTATTTTTTTTGAAATCAACAAACAACAACAGTCGGTTTTTGTTGATTTTAGAACGCAAATTCTAGAATCAACAACACAGGTCTGGGAAAAGGTCATTTTATATATTTAAATATTTAATTTAATAAGAAATGGATGTTTTTATTAAATTAAATATATTTCAGTAGAAACTTACAAAAGCTTTTGGAATAACTTATATGTTATTATTATTTTTAATATAAGAAACTATTGTGTTGTGCTTTTTTTATACGATATCTATCACTTTTCTTAGGTAATCCCTTAACGGTTTCATAAATTATAAATCGTTATTCTATACCACTATCAGTTGTTCACTTTTTCAACAACAAATTGCCAATATTTCTTCCCTTTTGACACAGATTTTTATGGGGTAAGTAATAAAGTTAAAACAAGACATTAACGTTTTTGGCTAATAAATAATGATGCCTCCAAAAATTAATCATTCGGAAATTATAGTCCACCTTTTCATATGCCTTTTTAGCTAATGATAGTTGGCGTTATATAAAGATAGATAAGAAAGATATAAATGCTATCTAGTTTAACTTGGATAACGTCACAAACATTCCCACAAACATTATGACCAACTCGAAACGTTTTTGTGCTAATAATAAATCTAACAACTTATCTTTTGAATAGCTTTGCTCATTGGGTTTTTGGCGATAAGTACAGGTAACACAGACAGGACTAATTGTTGCAGATACCACCGCTTTATATATGCAGTAAATATTCAAATAAACACGAAATATAGATATAATTTCTAGTTGGAGTGTGCTGTTTTTAGAAATGTTTAAGATAATGTTGTATATTAGAAAAGAACTATTTACAAAAATAACCTAATAATACTATCTAATGAATATCTTATAATTTACATTGTTATATCTTTGGAAATGAACTCAAGCTCTATTTACTTTTTTTTTGTTATATCATTAATTTATTAGTTCTCGGTAAATACAAGTATTCAGAATATTTATGACTACAGAAAAGCTAAAGCTTCTAACTGGATTATCCAATATACATTTGTACATACATGCAAATATATCTATGAACAATATATCACATACTGGAAATTCTGCTAAGAATGACTTAATAGTGTGAAATTCATCTTAGTCATTTAAATATCTTTATATTTTATATAAAACAAAATAAGAAAACCCTCAAGAAATATTCCTAAATATCGTACAATATTAAAGAAATACCTAATAATATAATAATTAAATTGTTTAAGGTATTATAAACATCGCAAAACCTACCCAGATTCTCCTGGATATCATCGCAGACATCCCATCGATCAATGATGCCGAGAAAGTTCTCCAGGTGCCCCACCTTGGCGGTTTGCGGACTCCTCTGGCTCCAACTGATAAGTACCAGATCCATGGGATTATTGGCATTCTCATCCACAAAGCCCTTTTGCTTGGCCAGCTCCGATATGCCACGCCAATCCCGCTGGTAGCCCTCCTCCGATCGCAGGACCTTCTTGCGGTTGAGCATGCGTGACAATTGGGTGCGGGTCTCTATGCTCAGCTCGGAGAGCGGTGTTTCATTGAAGTGTCCCGATCCGTTGGAGGTGTCCATGACTCCCATTCCCATAACGCCGCCCGACTCGGCCACCACCATGCTGTTAGCGGTGCGATAACGTCGATAGCTGACGTCAATGTGGGAATGTGGACGCGGCTCAGGCTGGACGTGGTTATGGGAATGGGTATGGGTATTGGAATGGGAATGGATGTGGAAGTGGGAATGGGTAGCCGCCGCCGCCGCCGAGTGCTGCTGCTGATGGCATACAAATCGAGGGCGCATTCGCACTTGGCGCTGGCTTTATTGGAATAATTGGTGTTTGTTTGCTGGTGTTTGTTCCCCTTTATTCCTCGCCGTTGCCGTCGTCTCTGCTTATTCCTGGTGGATGTGGTGGATGCGACCGACGATACGTATTTATCAACTGACGTTTATCAGTCGAGAGCGCGCACACAATAATAATAAAAGAGAAGCGCGTGAGCTTTGCTATTGTTTTTTACGTTCTCCTCGCTGCTGTTTTTTTTTTTTTTTTGGGGAAGATCGCGCGTGCTCTGTTGCGGGCGGATGGAACTGGAACTGGTTACGCGTCCGGGGGGTGGTGTCAAGTCGGGGCGGGGGACATGGACAGGGGGCAGACGACCGTGCGCGAAATGTGCCGCGAGTGACCTCCAGCACCTTTGCCGCGTCACCGTCACCGTCGTTGGCGTTGTTTTTGTCCCTCGATTGTGGTTTTGTTGTCGTTTTTTTTTTTTTTTTGTTTTTGAGGATTTTAATTCGGTTTTTATTTATCTGTCTGCCTGCTCGATCTTCTTGTCTGGCGTATGATTTTTGTTTAAATATTATAATGAATATATATGTATATTCTCGCACACATACACTCACACACGCGCGTACTAAACACAAAAATAAATTTCGACTTGGCGAGAGATTGCTCGAGTGCTCGTCCGCTCCGGTTTGTTGTTTTTTTACGTCTGGTTCTGTCCGCCGTTTTGTGCTTTTGTTTCTGCCCCGTTGTCTCGTCTCTCGTTCTTCCTCTTTGCCCTGCTCCTTCCTCGCTTGTTTATTTTGGTTTCACGTCCACGCGGAAAGCTTGCGGGGGCGCACGGGTGGAATAACGGGAACTATCAGCTCAGCTGGTTCTAGTCTGGCGGCGGCTGTTTTACTCGCTCCCAGTATTTACACACTGGTTAATTGCTAATTGCTAATTAATTTCTGTTCACTTTTTTCTTTCTTTCTGCTATCTTTTTTTCATTCTGCGCTGGGGCACAGATCACGATAACAAAATAAGCTCGGTATGGGTATCGATATGCCCGATAGCTGCGTGTCTTGGTATTTTTTAAGGTCATACTGCTGCCACCATTAAAATACTCAGCTTGAGCTTCTGAATGGCTCTATCGTTCTGAAAGTTTTCAACAGATGGCGCCACCAAGAAAACCGCGGCGAAATTTAAATAATTGCTTCGTTTGTGCCTACAACAACAAGAATAATCTATTAAAAACAACAAAAATTAAAAAATGATATATTTATTTATATATATTAGTTTATTTTATTGAATTTTAGAAAACCCCTATGCCCAAATAGTAACTTCCATTGAAAACTTTGGCTACAAAACTTAAGAAAATAAACATTTAAACATTTAGACTGTATAATTAACCAACAATACATACCTATTTGTTATTAATGAAATATTTCTAATTAAATTCACAGCGCAAATACCCCACTTTGGCTTTGAAACCTTTGCCCCCCAAATATTACGTATACGCATAAATAATACAACAACTTGGTTGTCCACTTGTAAATTCAGTTTATTTTCATTTGATTTTTCTTCGCTTTTATTTTTGTTTCGTATTTCTTGTTTTTGTTGTTCGCTGCCCGCTTTCCAACAGACTTCAGTTACAAATACTGAGATATACTTACTACGCAGGTGACACAAATTGATTTATCGCTTGTATGGCTTTTGTTTGACTTTGACTTTGAGTTTTACTTGTTACTTGTTAGGTTTTTTCGTTTTTTTCGATTTTTGATTTGCATTTGCAACATTTCTTTGCTTTGCTTGATGAATAAAACGCTGAAGGCGTTCAAATGTATTTGTTTTTTAAATATATATTTGTTTTCGCACGCTTTGTTTATGGTTTATTTGTTTTTCTTTTTGGTTTTTCTGCATTTCCCAGCAACAATTAACAGTTAAAGTTGATTCAACACACAAGTTGAAGTGTATTATTACCTGTTTTTTGTTTGATTTCCGTTATTAATTTATTAAATGTTGATTTACTTGGATAAGCCCACACATTATTTATTTATTTACTTGGAATTTACCCACTTTGTGTGTTGTTTGTTGTCCTATTTACAATACATTTGCTGTGTGTGTGTGTTTGTGTGTGTATTTGTCTTTCGTTATATTTTTCATTTGTAAATAATTGCTCAAACTGGATTGGGCACCAAAAGTCTCTCGTTCAAAGGCTAAAAAGTTTGATTTTTACTCGAGAAATATAATTTTGTTATTCATTAATTTATGATCGCTGTGGCTGCGTGTTTCTGTATTATTCATATTTTTTGTTGCCCTAAAACGTTACGAGTATTTCAATTACATCAATTTACTTGCTTCGATCGTAGTTCTTCTTGGTTTTTTTCTTTTGTATAATAATTCAGCTTACATTTTTACATTTATCTAGCCATAATTACAGACATTAGTTTGTTTGGGTTTTTAATTAGTTTTCTCTGAATTTACCTTCCTCGCCTTCGTCAGTTAATCTCCGGTTTACCTTTTCGTTAGCTATAGCATGCGGTTAAATCAAGTATATATATCTTCGCCTCCGCCTGCCAACTTTGTTAAATGCAATTATCAAGCACAATGTTTTGCTTCTGTTTTTGTTTATATATTAAATATCCCCTGTGGTTTGCCGTGTCTCTGTTAATCTGAATTTAATTATTTAGCCTCCGTAGCCTTTGTGTGTGCCTTTGGTCAAATATGATATTGATTCCAGGACCAAGAAATGCAAATCTTACAAATCTGAATGAGGTGTGTGTGTGTGTGTGTGTGTGTCTGTCTTTGACGTACTTGTATTTGCATTTAACAACAACAACGCTCCTGCCGCCCTAAGTAGATTAAGTGTTTTTTGTTTACAATTTATTGAGCTAATTTAAAGCTTTCAATTTGTTTTTCGACCTGTCTGCCGAGTTGAACGTCTCCCTTCTCCAAAATTCTCCAAGAAATGTGCGAAATTTTTAACTTATTTTCATAAAAAAAATGAAGGGAATTGGTTTTTAAAAAAGATTTTTTTTAAGGAATTTAATTATGTTTTTATAAATATTTATCAAAATATTCAAACTAAGCTCCTCTAAAAAATTATAGTTTATTTTTAAAGGATATAACATCCAAAATAACCATTCGAAACAATAAAACCAATTATAGAATGTATTTTAAATTATTTAAATTAACCGAAAAATTGTTAATATCATTTTTTATTTCAAAAATATTTCTTAAAATAACTTGAAATGAATATTTGAGGGTCTCTAAGAAATAATAAATTTATAAAAAAAGAATACAGTTGCCAGAAAACCTCTAAAAAATCAAACCCATAAACGAATGTTTTTAATATAAATATGAATGTGAACTTATTTAAGGCAAAACTATTTTTTTTGCAATAAATATTCAACAAAGAAGCTTAAAATAAACAATTAAGATTGTGTAGAGTTCTTTTAGATAACAAAAAAGCCTATAACTGGCAATTAACTTCTCGAAAAACCAATTACACAAGATATTTTCTAATCTAATTTTAAAATAATGGTTTATATGGAATAAATTCCCCGTAATAGCTAGCAAAACAATTTATTTAATACCAATTACAATGACTTTGTAATTTTTCCCTGTCTATATATCAGACATGTCTGATTTATGTGAATAAATCAATGGCAAACCTTGTGGTTTGTGGCTGTGGAAACGCATTAAGCTAATGTTTAGGCTGTCAAACTCACATTTGTCTTGGCAAGAAGGCTTTTAATTTGCAAAATGTGCAGTTGAGCGAATGTTTTTGGGCATATTTTCCCAATCGAAATTGTAAATTGTAATTTAAGGGAGAAAGTTGAAGAAGGCCCAATTCGTTCGTTTATAACTTTGTATTCAAAAGCAATCAACGCTCGTCTCTCTGCTGAAACCGATAGAAGTTAGCTTCAAGCTAAATTTTGTCGTTAAACTTTGCAACTGAGTGAGCACACAGGCTGTTTGAAATTAGTACATATACTATACAGTACATATATGGTAAGTATAGTGAGGGGCTAGCGCTGCTGCACAAATTAATTGTAACATTGAACACCTAAAAAAACATGTAACATTTAGCTTAGTTTCACTTAGTTTTTAATTCATTCTTTAAAATTAATTCGACAACAAGCTCGTTTTGCACTTAAGTAACAGTTTCACATCGATCCGCTAATTAACTCTCACACTCCTCATTATTTTTTATTAATTTTACTCTAGGCAACCTGGGTTGCTTTGTTCCTACTAGGATTTCTCCCTTGTTTTTTTTGGCACAAGTTCCACTCCTTCCAGGACCAAGTGGGGGAATAAATCTATAGATTCTTTTACAATTATTGTGTTGTGTGTTTATCCTATGAAAATCGTATTTTTCTGTTCTGCTACCGAAACTGTATTTTGGAATACTGCTGCGCTTCTCATTCATTTCGCCATCTAAGAGATACAAAAACTTTTCTGTTGTTTATTGCTATTAACATTTACTTAGGAGTACTTTTCAGTTAACAACTTAGTTTCAGACATAACTACTGACCAACTTTCTTTTCTGTACTATTTTTTTCTTTTGCTCGACGACGCCGTTTTATGGGGGTGGGGGCGGGGGGCTAAGGAAAACCTAGGGAAAAGCTCTGCTAAAGAAAAATTGAAACCATTTGGCTAATCAACTGAACAATCGAAACCTTTCGCTTAATTGGCGTCGTCGTCCTGCACTAGATCCTAAGCACAATAATTACAGGACAATCGAGTCCGTTCTGGTAAATGATTTCGCCGGAAATCGAATTAAAACCATATATATTTTTACATCAGACTTAAATGAAACCAAATATAAAGATCTTTAAATGGGTATACACATATTTTTTTTGTTGGCGAATTGAAGAACCAGAACGTGCCGGACCTAACATTTAAAATGCCATCGAAGTAACTCTATAAACAACGTTTTTGACTAAACTGACATCACTTTTGATTTTCTTCTGTTTTTTTTTTTTGTGTTTTGTTTTTGTTTGCTCTAAGTGGAGTCTACCTCTCAGTTAGATATAAAACAAGTGATTTCCGCCGGGGCAGACTTAACTACAATTAGCATTAACTTTAGCTTTAGCCGAGCACTTCGGAGTGCTCGCTCCTCCTATTATTTTTTAGTTAACAATTTCTCTCTTTTGTTTTAGGTTTTCTATGTTTTTGTTTTTTTTCGATCTCTTGTTGTTATTCTTTGGTTGCTTTTGTGCGCATAACGTTGATTAGGGCTGAGAAAACGAGGAGGACGAAAATTAATGGTTAAAAAGGGGACAAGGCTGGAGCGGTACAAGAAGCTCCCCTCTGGCTTCCTGCCACACACAAACTCTTGGTTGTGTCCTTGCCAGTGTCGTCGTTGTTATTATGGTTGTTGCTGCCAACCGCTGACATTTCCCCCTCTGCGCATCTGACATCGCATCCGGATCCGGTCGCATCTGTTGCCATCGGTGTCACTTCCTTCCTTCCGTTCACGGAACCTGCAGCTGCATGTCCATCTGCTGGCGCTGCAGATTCAGCTCGGTGCGATTCTTCATCATCCAGGTGCGCTCCAGATTCTCGCGGAAGTTCCGCTCGTTCTCCTGTCGCACTGTCAACGATAAAAAGGCGGAGGTGTAAGTGATATTGGTGTGGTTTAAATTTTCAAAATAGATTTTCACTTTTGAATTTCCGCTTATAAAATATTGGAAAATAGCTTAGGGGGTTTAAAATTCTTTAAATATATGCCGAAAAGTATGCTTTGGTTAACATTTTCTTTGATTTTCTGTTTAAAATTTGTCTTAGATTACTTTTAAGCATATCTTAAAAAGATTTCATAAGAAGAAACCTTGGAAAATGTATGGACCTTAATTTGATTTGTAAAATATTTCGTTTTTTAGTTTTAGACATATTTTAAAGATATATCTAATATGGGAAATTGTTTAAAAATGCGCAAAAAGTTGATTTTAAGAAAATATAGACTTCGGTGTTCTTTTAAAAATGTACCATAGCATACTTTTGGGCATATCTAAAAAGGATTTCAAAGTGGTTATATTTTACTGTATTAAACTCATTTCTATTTTACACTAAGCTATAACTCTTATGGAACAAGTTTGTTATTTTGTTGGATCAATTTATAAATATATAAAATATACAATAAAAATTTCACTGCGCACTCGTTATTATCCAGTTGCATTTCGTTAGAACTGCAGTTGAAGTAAATGCCTGTTGATGAATTCTCGAATACAACTTTCATCAATCCAGACTATTTACTTTAAGCACAGTCCAACATAGTTTAACTTCCGCTGTTTCCGCTTTTTGGGTTATCACATTTCGCATCTGTATATGTACAATATATCCCCCACCCCCACCCTTTTTTTCACACACGATATTTCGCTTTTTTACAAACAGAAAAAAAAGATAAAACCCCCCTTGACATGACCCCCTGCGATTGTCGTCGCGGTTGCTGTTTGCCCAACGCTTTTGTGCATTTTACAGCAGTTTTAATTAACGCTCAACAAACTGAAGTTGGAATGGTACAGGGAATGGAAATCGTTGGGCAGCAGGACCAGGAGGAGGAGGTGGAGGAGGAGTAGTATCAGGAGAAGCAAACATTGGTTACCCACCTTCCCGCACCCCCGTGGGTGTTGTGTAAAGTGTCAAAATTTGTTTGCCAATCAATCACAAGCGCACATATATACACACACACAGAGGCAGACAGAGAACCACCAGATACGGATACGGATACGGATACACCGATATCGTTACTACGTGACTGTCCAGGTGGGATTGTTTATTCGCATGCGAAACTGTTGCTCACTTAATATGTTGAAGTCCTTTGTTGTGTTAAATTTGATTGATTTGCTGCGAAAAGCGCTGCTAATTCAGAGGGAAAGAGCCAGAGGCTAGCCTGAATGCAAGCGCTAGGGAAAATTTAATTAAAAAATTCTTGCCACCAAACAGACCAAAAACAAAAACGCACACAGACAGGCTTTCGCTAGAGCAGCAAGGCTAGAGCAAAAATGTAAGTAATTTTCCCCTTTTTACGCTCTCATTTAATTGCAAAAATTAGTAATCCCATTTCCAGGCCGCAGCCAGCGAGTGCAACATCACACATTGTTGGTGCTGCTGCAGCTGCTGCTGCTGCTGCTGTCGTCATCAAACTCACATATACATATGTATATGGATATATATGCATATATGGGCCAAAAGGCCACATAATAAGTGTGAGCGGAGCCCTGGACACATCCTGGTTTCCCGACTACCAGTTCCCGTGCTCGTGGCTTTGCATGGTCTATGAGGCGTAATCGCAACGTGTTAATGCCCAAGTGGATGGGGCATAGGGAGGATGTGGCAACAACCCCTGGCTGATGCTGCTGCTGCTCTGAACAGGTGACGATGCCTGCCATTATTCACTTGGCCCAAGTGCTGTTTGCGGCCAGCCTTTGTATAGAAGCTACTCAGCAGAAGGCCTGCTCTGCTCCTCCAATCGGTTGAAAGGGTGGATCTGGGTGTGATGCTGCTAATATTTATGCGCAGATTAATAATCCTTTGAGCATGTGTGGAGGAGAGTCTGTGTTTGCCTGGGGGGGAACAAGCAGAGCTACTTAGGGACTTAGGGCCAGCTGGACAGGAGCTTAGGCTTTGGGCGGTCTTTGGTGTTATTTCAAATATAGAATAGATTCATATATTCACTAAAGAAGGTTTCTGCTTAGGTAATTATTTAATAAGTCTCATTACTATTGAAATTTGTTTCTAGAGGTTTCAAAATTCTATAATATAAAACATTTGAGGTCCGTCTGGAGAAGTATAAGTAATTTCCCTATTTTTTTATTTTCGTTTTCCTACCAAAAATGCCTTGTTAACTCTCATTTCTATTAAAATTTCATTCTAGAGCTTTCAAAACTCTTAATTTGCTGCCTAAAAGTAGACTCTAAAATACATCGAAATACTCTTTCTGGCCTGCCTTATCTTTATCCCCTTTTAATGCTCATTTAAAGCTTAGAACCTGTTACAGGACATCGTCTAGTTGATCATTCCACCTGTCCTCAAGGACGTGGGCGAGCCATGTGCGTGCCCAGTTCCTGGAGCAGCTCGCGTGCGCCTGTGTGTGTGTGTGTGTGCGAGAGGCTATACGAGACCAATTAACATATAACTTTCCCACCGGTAAACAAGTTAAATTGTTAACAGCCATTATGGGCGCTCATAAATGCTGCCGAGTAACTTTGAGCCTCACGCCAACGCCAACGCCCTCTCCCCCGTTCCGTATCCTTTTGTGGCACGTCCCTCGCTCCTCATCCTTTCTTCGTCCTTCCATTCAGTTGCCTGCTCTGTCTGCCGGGCGCTTTGTCTTTCATGTTGTTTAATTATAAATGTGGTGCTGAAAGCAAAAGGGCCCCCGCTACCAGCATCCAGAGCTGGCTCTCCCACAGATTCGCTCTCTCTCTTTCCTGGCCTAGCCAGCTGCCGTCACGCCAGTTTGCCTGACGGATGGAGACCGACGCCTAATTAGCAAGCCGGTACTAGCACTGGGAATGGGACTCGTCCTGGCCCCAGGGATTGTTTGGCATCTATTGTACCTTTAAATTGAATTTATTGATGCACTTTTGTTGCTTCCCCAGTCCAATGGTTGTGTGCCAGTGGCATTAGTTCTCTTTTTTACGGTTTAACTAGAGCATGATGATGATGGGAAGCATGCAACATGCAACAGATTTGAGCGGCGTCGTTAATGAAGAGCTTGTTGGAACAACTCGCCCGTCATTGCTTTCAATTACGAATATTACAACAGGAAGGACGTCAAGTGCAAATAATTTAACATTCATTGTGGTCCGTTGTGGTGTTGCGGGGGTAGAAAGGCCAATATAAAAGTACTTTTTCCTGTTACAGCTTTATAGGTGAAGCTAGATGGATATATGGTCTGGCATAACTTTTTCCCTGCCTGAAGTTTGAGCCAACTTCAAGTTAACCACTCTATTGAGAGCTATAGCCCGAGGACAGACATATTACCACTCCTTTTCTGCTTGGACAAGCGGTTTCCCTTTAAAGTTCACTGTTGAACTTTTGCGATAAGAGGCAACTTTCTTTTGATAGTTCTTTCTCTGACCTCTAAGTTCCTTCAGTGAACTGTCAATTTGTCGCATTTCTTTCTTGGCAATTTGGGGACTTTAGCGGTCACACGGGACCAGGACTCTGCCTCCCTCTCTCTAGACTTTTCCAAAGCAAGGCCATCGAAGCCAACTAAGCATGAGTTGCTACTACTACTGCTACTGCTTCTGCTTCTATGCTACAGCTTCTGCCTCTTGCTTTATAATAAACAATTGTTGTTAGTTTATTTTTTTTTTATATTTTGTATTCTTTTTTTTTGCCTTGTTGTTGTTGCAGTTGAAAAAGTAACCTAGTTTCCATGTCGTCAACGTGGAATTAAGACTGTGTGTGTGTGTTTGGCCAGGAGGCACCTCTACCTCCTGTCTGTGGGCACACGCACACATAATAAAAAGAGGAAACCAGGCGTACCGTGCCGTAATGATGCTGCACACTCACTCACACGTTAACAAACAAAACTATTAAGCGAGAGTATAAAAAAAGAGCAGGATAACCAAGGAAAGGTCTCCGCAGGCCTTGGTTGCTAGTCTGTCTGGCAGTCTGTCTGTCGGTCAGTTAGTCACCTTGCCAACGCCCACCGAGAGTCGGAACACACACACACATGCTGGCACGCACACACGTGCTGATTAGTTTGGCTTTGCGGCAAGAAGATGCTGCTGCTGCTCCGACGGCTCCTGATGCAGTCAAAGTCATTAAAGTCATGGTAAGTAAGTACAGCATCATTTTTTATGGCCCTGTGCGTGTTTGCCTGGCAGGTTAGTCAGTTAGTCAGTTATGTAATGCTCGAGATTTTGCTGAGCTTTTGCCAGCTCAATATTTGAAAATTCCTTGCCACACACACACACGGAACACACATGCAGCTCCTCCTCATGTTTGTTTTGTTTGCTTTGTTTGGGGAATGGGGCAACGTTGGTCGGCGTTTGGGGAAAAGGATGCGGGGGCGCTTGCTGACATACATATTTGTATTTGCACAGTTTTATGGTCTGTAAGGACATATGGCAATATTGCCCCACTGACTGTAGTTGCGTCGGTTACGTGCTTTAAGCCCGATAATGGACCCAAGCTGACCTCGTTCATTGATTTGCATAGTTGGTATGTACAGAGATGGAAACTCGTTTCGCTTAAGTATTTATAGAAATAATTGACGATTTCAGGGAGTTGTTAAAAAATAAAAGAAAAGCATGCAGCAGAGAATTCCAATTGTTGAAGGCTCTCTGATGGGATTTTTTATTTAATTTTAAAACGTTTTCTGTATTTTGAGCTCTGCTCAATGTTGAGCAAATAAATTTGAAAGTTATTCCCAAACTTTATGATTGGTTTTTGGACAAACTTTCTTAGATACTTAACATATCAGAGATACTTAACCCCCTCTAATCATAGCTCTGAACTTTCTGTGGAAACTTATCAAAGGCAAAAATTTGGTCAGCTCGTGTTTCCATCTCTGTCTTGGGAGAGGCCACACTCAGGTCTTGCCTACTTACAGACTCCTTGATGGTTGCTGCTCTTTATCCTGCTTCTGCTCCTTCTCCTCCTTGGTGGCAGGACGTCAGATGAGCGGTCCAGAATCAGAACCAGAATCAGTACCAGAACCGGTGTGAACCGGTAGACGCAGAGGAAGCAAAACGTAGAGCGGAACGAAAGCATATAGTCAAAGCTGAAGTTGAAGCTGTAGCGAAAGCGGAAGCGGAAGCGAAAACGAAAACCTTAACGAAATCCAAAAGTCCAGAGTCGGCAGGTTGTAGGTGGTGGTGTATTGGCCAGAGCACAGCCTGTGCGTTCGAGTTCATGATGGTCGCATGCCCGTCCAGTGGACGGGGGTGTCCCTGCTGAACGAGTGCGCCTTCTTTCCGGCCTGGCCGGAGCTGGAGGTCAGCGTGATGGTCAGCACGAACACGCTGGCGCACACCAGGCACAACAGCACCGTGGACAGGACGATGCACACGATGCGCTTGCGCTTGCGGTCCGCCGCCTCGTCCTCGTCCGTCTCATCGCTGAGCGACTTCTTCTTCAGTTTGTGTGAACCCCCGGTCACGGAACCCTTCCTTCCAGCAGCCAGTTTGTGATGAAATGGCCTCAGCACCTGGGCGGCAAAGGCGGCATCGCTTAGCTCATGGTCATAGGTCAGCGATGTCTTTCGCTCGAAGCTGGGTCGCTTCTCCTCGATAAAGGCAGCCGCTGCAGCCGAGGCGGAAATTGGCCTGGGACTTCGCTTGATCTCCTCGATGCTCGATCCAGGCACGGCCGTGGACAGCGGGCGACTGTTGCGTCGGTGGGGTGAGCTCAGCTCGAAGTCGTCGCCCGCCTGAGGACCGCTGCCAGCGCTGGCATCTCCGATGAAGCTCTTGGACTTCTTGGAGGCACTGAGGGTCTCCCGATAGCTGCGCAGCCGCACGCTGGCGCTGTGCAGGGCCTTGGCCTGTTTCACGCTGGCACTGGCATTGGTGCCCTGGAAGGCGGCTGCTGCGGCCAGAACACCTGGCCGATGGACGGCCATCTCCTCCAGATTGCTGGGCGACAGATACAGCGATCGACCGTGCTGGGCGCCCCGCTTGAAGTGGTACGCCGCACTGGCCGCCGCCGCCGCACTGTGAAGCTGCAGACCATGTCCTCCGCCGGCTGCAGCTGCCGCCGCCGCCGCTGCTGCTGCTGCCGAGGTCGAGGGACGTCCATCCAGCTCCAGGCTGTGGGTACTTTGCTGGCGGGTGTGGGGATGATGTGATTCCCGCTTCTGCTTCACGCTATTCGCTGCCGAAGGCGGGTGGGTGGCACTATGACCGGCGGCCGCATCCTCAAAGGATCCCGCTCCGGAGTGCTTGCGCAGTCGCTGCACTGCCACAGCGGCGGCAGTGATCTCCGCCAGGCCGAGCTCCTCCATTTTGGTGTGACTGTTGCTCCGCGAGCGCGTGTCCACGAACAGTTCGTTCTCCAGGGACAGATTGGTGGGCGCCCCAAAAAGATTTCGTCCGTTCATCGGCTCCATCAGATCATCGTTTAGCGAAGGATGCCGTATCTGCGACTCCACCACCGAGTCGGGCTTGACACTGGGCCTCCTCCCAGGATCGTTGAAGGATCGATGCGAACGACAGCCCCGCCGGCTGGGTGAGGGCGAACGTGAGATCTCCTTGGCACCCGCCGGTGGGCCAGGCATTAGGAAATTGCCTCGTACGGAGCTAGTGCGTCGACTCGAGGCACCCGAGCCGGCGGCCACGGCCAGCTGTATTTGGTCCAGGGCGGCGGGATCCTGTTGCGCGTGGAAGGAATGCGTTTTCTTCATCTGAAAATTGGTAGACGGATGGACGTCAATGGTGTCGGAGCGCCGGAACAGATTCTTCTTCAGCGGATGCGTGTGCATGGGTCGTTGCGAGGCAATCGTTTGGCCGGGCACAACATCGTCCACATCGATGAACTGTATGGGCGATGTGCTCCCGCCCAACGATCGTCCCATGCCCATGCCCATCCCCATCCCCATGCCCAATCCCAGACTGGCCACACCGACACCATCGCCCAGGCTGCTGCTGCTGCTGACCAGATAAATGTCCGGCTGCTGTCGGTGCTGTTGGCCCAGCACTGGGCTAACAGCGTGTGAGGTTGGTGAGCTCTTCGGGTGCGCATGCGGATGTTGTTGTTGCGGATGTTGAAGCTGATGCGGATGTTGTTGTTGTTGGCGGTGCGATAGTGTATGCTGCTGGTGCGGATGCCGTGCAGCAGCGGCCTGTGCGGCCAGTTGCTGAAAAGTGTGTAAATGCAACTGATGTTGCGCTTGTTGTTGGTGTGGCTGTTGGTGTTGTTGTTGTTGCTGAAGTTGTTGTTGGTGTTGTTGTTGTTGTTGTTGGAGTAAATGATGTTGGTGTTGCTGTCGGGCTGATAGCGCTGGCGACACACTACCACTGCCGCCACGCTGCAGGCTAGGATGGGAGGACTGTTGCTGTTGCTGATGTGCTGGGATTGCTAGGGTCTGCGGGGGTAGGGCGCCGGATCGGGAATGGGGCAGGGGCGAGGCCGAGCGGTGGATCAGCGGCTTCTCACTGATGACAATCCCCTCGCCCTCCATATCCAATTCCGTATCGAGATCCATGTCCATGCCCATCTCCATGCCCATTTCCATGTCATAATCGAGTTCACCCAAAGACGACGTCGGTGCATAATTATCGATGGCCATGGACAGGGATCGATGGATGGGCTTCAGCTTGGGTGGTTTCTTCTTAGTGGCGGGATTGTCAAAGGACGAGGTGCCCGATGTATGCTCCTCATCCGCCCCGCCGGCAGTCAAATACGGATCAAAGCTATGCACCGCCACCACATGCTGATGATGTCGCGACTGCTGTTGCTGATGATGATGCGACTGCTGTTGCTGGTGGTGGTGCGACTGCTGCTGCTGCTGCTGCTGCTGTTGGTGTTGGTGGTGGTGCGACGACGACTGATGCTGCTGCTGCTGACCACCGCTGGTGCCGCGCTCCATGCGGTAGTAGTACTGCCGGGGGTATCTATGGTAGTAATGTGCAATTGTGGTGCTGGTATGTGGTTAGGTGGTGTGGATCAATCGGGGATCGGAGCTAGCGGGAGCTACCAAGGAGGCTAGGCTAGGCTAGGCTAGGCTAAGGTTGGTTCTAGGGTGATTCACTCTGACCTGTCAGCCCCAGGGAGACTTCACAGAGAGTGCGATCGGTTCGGATCGGTGGTTCAGCTGGCTGGCTGCGCCTTTGGTTTGGTTTTTTTCTGGTGGCTTCACGCGATTATTATTGTTGCTTTGTTGGTGGTTTCTTTGGTTTTTATTGTGATAGTGCTTGGATCTTTGCTTGCTTGATTTCTTAACTTTTCGTGCTTTAGATGGTGCTGCTATACACATATACACGCACACCGATCGTGGTTCGGATGAGGGGGAAGGTGGTGGTGGTGGTGATGTTGGTGACTGTGGTTCTGGACACACGCATATATATATGTGAACACGGAGAGCTTAAAGGTGCAAGGACATTCGGAAAGACAGGGTTTTGGGTTTCTTGAATACTCTCTCTCTTAGTGGGTTTCTTGTGCGTTTTTTTTTTTTTTTTTTTTTTTGGTTTTATCACTGTGTTGTTTCTCCTGCTGTGTTTTCCTGGCTATTTGGGTTTCATTTATGGCTAACACCGCAGATGCTTGGCTCTCGTTTCTCGTCTCTAGTGCGTGCAATTAAATTCCTTTTTGGCTTTTTAGATGCTACTGCTGGGCTGCCTGTTTTATTGTCACATTGTGTACGTGCTTGCTGTTCTTCTTGTTTTATTTATTGCAATTCAAATGAGTCTTTTTTAGCCTGATGATAATGGTGCTAGCTGCTTGTTGTTGTACAAAATGCTCTATTCTTGTAGTTTTGTGGTGTATTGTTGTTGTTGTTGATGTTTTCTCTAAAGTTTCTGGTTTCTATTTCTGTTTTATTGGATTTTGTTTTGGATTTAGATTTGCTACACTCAATAAAATTGGCAAATACAAAAGCACAACTAGAAGTAGAGAAGAGAGAAATTCGTAAAAAACGTATTAGCAAGCTGTGAGGGGGGACGTGAGGGGTGGTGTGCTAATGGTGGTGTGTTTTTTAAGGATCTGCTAGATGTGTGTGGTATAGTGCAGAGAGAGTGAAGTAAATGATTTCGTGTTTTTAATTGATGAAAGACAGCCTCGAAATGTCACAGAAAGAGAAAAATAGAAAAAAGAGCGAGTGGAAGCGAATCAAAAAGAGTCAAAATTCGTAGCAAATGAAGAAAAAAACACCGTGGATTCCCCTAATTGAGTCGAGTCAAGCTCTAATTAATGAGTCATTGAGGTTGGTTCACTGGTTTTCAAGAGTTCTTTGACTCTTTTTCCGGTTTCCATAAACTTGAAATTCATTTAAGCTAGGTTTTGCAAAGTAAAAGTGGTTAAAAAGTTTGTGGTTGAGAGAACAGGCTTTAGAGGTTTTCAAATCACTTAACCAAGTACCTAAAAGTATGCTATAAAAATGGTGTTTATATCGTCTATTATTCTTTGATTTTATTTAAAGCTTAAACAACCATTTAGCAAACTAATATTTGTTCACTTAATTCAGCAATTCCCAACTATCTAGTTTTGAATGCCTTTCCAAATACATAATTAATTCAGTTAGATACCGACATGTTTGGGGGGAATACCCGCTTTTAATCGTCCCATCGAGAACTGAAAGCCAAAACCGCAACCGAAAGTTTCTCATACATTTTTAAAACGATAATCCTTTTAGTTTTTGGCCTCCGAAATGCTGAATGGCTTTATGGCCCTCGACGATGGCCATAAGTCCTTCTGTCGATCACGTAGCGGACTCGTTGTCGTTGTCGGGTAATGTAGCATAATCAAATTTAATCTATGAAACTGCCCTCGCCAATTCCCAGCTCAACCGCACATACACACACAAACACACAATTCATCATTTGGCAATACCTTTGGCAGGCCACGAGCGGAGGAATTGTAACGTTTTGCATAATTTAAAGCGACAGGCCTCAGCCACTTGCCACTACCCATAACCCACTTCCCGTTCCCAAAAGGAGAAAGTCCTTTGCCACTGTCACTCACAGTGTTAATTTTTCAGGGCTCATTGATGGATGAGCGCGCCGGGTTGACATTTATGTACGATGCCGGCCTAGACTGTCGACCCGAGGCATCGGCCCGTTAAAAATTAACGCCACAAGTTCCGCCTGCTCGCAACCAGAAACGAGTTAAACATATTAAAATTTGCTTATGCAAAATGGTAGGAGGAGTGAGGGTAGAGGTCGCTCCCAAATGCTCGGGAGACACTTAACATCACGTACTTTAAATATGTTTAACGGAGCTTAAGTGGAATGAAAAGCACGCAGATATCTTCAATATATACGTGGCCACTCCATGCCGGCTAGGAGTACCACCGTCTGGTGTGTCAGTAACCATATGCCATTGTCAATGGCAACAGCAGTGTCTCCTCTAGACTCCGGGCATTGTATAACAAAGTCTTGAGTTAGGAGGTGGAAGAAATCTGAAAAGGAAGGAGATGATGTGGAGCCTATCGAGTGTCCTTCCTTTGTGCGCGGCACTTCTCTTTCGGTTTCTTGTGTGTGTGTCACATATTTTGTGCAAGATGGATTCCCTGCCGAGAGAGCCTAGACTGGCGGCTGGATTTAATTTCAAAATCATGTTCGGGGTCAGAGGTTCAACTGTGATATGCTCAGTAATCCCAAACAGGATCCAGCAATGCTGGCATGCCGGTTCAAAAGGTGAAATAAGACTTACTTAGGGGCTAAGCTCCTTCCACAAACAGAATTTTCTTTTATAGAAATAAACAAGTGCTTATATTTTAAGGGGGGTAATGTTGATGTTTTCTTTTGTAAGCGAAAGTACTGGTAGCTGAATAGTATTTTTTATATTATTTGTTCTAGTGAATAAATTGAACTAGAGCAACCATTTAGTGACCCCATTTCATAGCCTACTATTGAGCAGGTTTTAAATTTCTTCTTTAACTTTTTGATATATTTTTTAAACCAAGAAAAAACCCAAAATCATTACATAAAAACCCTTTAAAAACCAGTTAATCCCCCACGTACATACTTCCCTTTTCCTTAACCATGATTTAGCTTATCTTAATTGCATCTTTGGGAGCTCTAACCGCCCCACCAATATGACCCTATTAAGACGTCTATTTGCCACCTAGTTAGAACTCGCATTAATTTCCCGTTTTCTTTCCCCCAAACCAAGTTAATACAATTTGCACCCGCTTTCCTCCCTTCGATACCGCTTGCTTGCCCTAATTGACATAAACAATACTTAATTAACATAAAACTAACATTCCCGAGACCGAAAACCCAACGTCCCAGTCAGCGCAAACCCAATTTAAACAGGCATACGTGCGTAATTAAGTCCGCCCTCGGCAGGGCCACGCCCTCTGATAACTTCAAGTGGAAAAGGGGGCGGGAAAATAGCAGGTCTGGGTGGGTGGAGAGAAATCCAGGTCTGCTGCTGCTGCTGCTGGTGTGAAAATCAAAGTGACATTAAACGCACGCTCACGCACTTTGGTCAGAATCTGGTTGGATATATATGTATGTATATATCTGGTATCTGGTTCATTGTAACCGTAACCGTAACCATAAGCGTGGCTGTGTAACTATAGCTGTAACTGTAAGTGTGGAGATTGTGGAGGCAGTAAGTGTGGAGAGCAATTAATTGCCACGGTTTCTGGTGGAGCGATTGCCGCCGCCGCCGCCTGTCAAGACAACAGACGTCACTTAATATTATTAAATCTGTGCGCCTTAAATCTCACATTTTGGCCATACCGTAAATGTATTTACCCAAGGACGCCTCAACGACTCAATGCCGTAAATCCGATTAAATGTCGAAAATTATGCAAGGGTATGCATTCGTTCTCGAGAGCTCGTTGCAGGAGCTGGGATTCCGTAGCGACACATCCTTCGACACAATTAAAATTCCCCACATACATGCTTTTGCTTTCGCTTTCGTTTCTGCTTTTGCTTTTGCTGTTTTTTTTTTGCTGAATTCACACTATTTAGTTCTCAGGGCAGGCCATTGCAGATGTTATTTCTACAGGATGATGATAATGATCCTTTTTCGGCAGGGTCCTAATCGTAATCGCTTGCACTAGATACTCATTCGTTAGTTTATACGACACCGAGTAGTGCGTTTTCGAAAGGATTAACATATTTTGCGGTTTAAGTGCATTTCAGTTAGAAGCAGCGTCATTCGACAAGTGGCAGTAGCATTTGCCATAAGATGATTAAATGGGAATGCCATTTGGCCACATTTGCACCTGAATATGCTGGTGGAAAATCCAACCCACACGAACACACTCAAAGCCTGCTTTTAGTGTGATATTGATTTAATTTCCAATGAAATTTTAAATTGAAATTGAAAACTGCAAACTGGTTGGAAAAGTCTGCATGTTTTTCATGAAAACTTTTTACTCTTCTTCGCATTCGGAATTTTCCATTTGGAATTGCTGTCTTTTCACACACAGAGTTTCCTTGATTAATATTTACTATCCGTAACCATAAAGTGCTTTAATGGCGTTGCTACTGGCCAAACACATTTTTCGGTTGGGGGGGAAGGAAGGAAGCACATTATTTCGCTCATTCTTTTAGCGGCTCCATCTCCTTGTGCCTTTGCTTTGACTGAAAGCCCAGCGCCTGCAGTTATGCAATATTATTTTAAAGCAAATTCCAGTTTCACAATGCAGCAGCAGCTCCTTCAGCAGCAGCAGCAGCAGCAGCTCCCTTTTTCCTATATAACACACTATGTTTTTTTTATGTTGCGGACACAATTCTACTCCTCCTCCTCGGCGGCTGCTGTCAGCGTCAAATGCAAAAGCCAAACTCGAACAAGCGAACGTGGGGTATGTCCGTCAGTCCATGTCCTCATCCTCGTCCTGGTCCTGGTTCCCCGGTTCAGTTCGGTTCAGTCTTGGTCTCTCTGTTCAGTTTAATTTGAATTGTTTGCGGACGGGCAAGCATTTTTACGGCCACTGTACTGGCAATGTGCTAGCCTGACCACGCCCTGTCCATAATCTTATTAAGTGCG